TAGTTGTGTCTTACTAGTATAGCATATCAGCCGCGAGGTTAATATAGAGTCAACCATCCCCTTGTGCATCTGACTCTTCTGCCTGCGATGTCCTGAATCGAATCGCCATAGCTCATTCAAAGCTCAACTTCAGATATCCACCCGTCGTTTGGCGGAGATATTTAGTTCGTATTAGGTTCGATTCCTAATGGCGCTGGTACAATGGTGTTGCGGTGCTTCTTACTTTCTGGCAGCCCTATTAGCCGTAGGTTTTAAAGTTCCGTCGAACGGTATTGACGAGGGCTTAGGTTCGAATCCCGTGCAACGCATTGATTTGTGAAGCGAAATGTTCCCCGGTAGTCATAGTCCGAGGGCGGAGACCTGTTGGTTGTGATCGTGTTTGGCGGAGATATTTAGTTCGTATTAGGTTGGATTCCTAATGGCGCTGGTACAATGGTGTTGCGGTGCTTCTTATTTTCTCCCGTAGGACCGAGCTCGCCCAAAATGTCCTTCTAGCATGTGCGGAGACCAGAGCTTCCCAGAACCTTGGACGGTGTAGGAGGCCGATCATGGCGAGCGTAACAAGTCAGTAGCACATTTTCACGTTTAGACATCTTTAGTCGGATGCTAAATCTTAGATACCTTTACACTTTAAACGCCTCGTTCGGAAGGGAGCGGAGAGACCATTTTGCACCAAACTCAAAGAATCAGGTAGCAAGAAATAGCACATAAATATCACGACAAGTTGGGGAGGAATGCAATTTGAGATTGGTAAGCAGAGAGAAAGGAACCACTGGCTATGAAGGGCGAATCGTTTCATGGATATGTAACTCTTGGGTAAGAAAGAAAGGGAAGCGAAGTTCTGAACTATTCGTGCATTCATGACCTTGGCGTCGAGGAACTTTCCTCCCAGAAGGCCGAGATAAATCCAAGTATCTCCTTGCTCTTAGAGACAGGCAGGTCGTGACCTGCGTCAACGAATTCAAATCTGACACTGTTCTCCCCTAGAATTTCTGTAGCATCTGCAACCAGCTCGTCTTCGACAATGATTGCATCTTTGTGTCCAGCTATGATCAGTACCTTGCCGTTCTGCAAACCTTCTTTCTCAGTTCTCTCCTCCGTGGAGGCATTCTGTGCAGCCAATCGTTTGGCAATCCGTTGCCAGTCAGCATGTTGTCCGGTGATTGGCCCATATCGAATACTAGACATGAAGGATTTGATGTATCCTGGATGATTGTCAAGCTGCCATGGCTGAAGGAAATCAGATAATTCAACCATCATTGCGACTTGCAAGATGTAAACGTACTATGATTCCCGAGATCGTGATGTTAGGCCTAGTGTGTGACAAAGATGGTGGGGTGGGTATATCTTCTTCTCTCTCTTTTGGTATCTCCTCTCCAATAGCGGTTCCTATCGATGGCTTCTTTTTTAGCTTAGTAGGCCTTGCCGGTAGTTCTTCACGTCTCATTCGACCTATAACGATCTTCTCTAAAGTTGTTTCGTTGATCAATCCTGTATTGTAGAGTATTTTGTTCATCAAAGTAATACGGCTCTGGCGGATAAGACCAGCCGGAGCGAGGAGGACCAAGGAAGAAATAAGAAAAGGAAAGTAAGAAGTGAAATTGACGACGATTCCACCGCCTAGGGAGTAGCCAATCAAGGAGAAGGTCTCGCCATTGCCTGTCCATGATAGAGGAGACGAGGTCAGAGCTAAAAGGATTGTAGTGGTGTAGAGGCGGTTTGAATGGGGAGTAGGGACAGGTGTATCAGAATATCCGCGACCTGGAAGATCAAACATCATCACTCGACACCCCTTGTCAGCCAGGCCATGCGCAACGGCTCCCAATGCAATGCACGGATTCGATATCCCATGTACAAGTAACACTTTTCTCCCATTTTCTGGTCCCCATTCGTAGACTCTCAAGCTTCCATAGGGTGACTCGACATCTCTTGTACCTGGATAGGCATCCGGTGGGTATGGACAGCTTGCAGTCTCTTCAGGTGAAAGCTTTGGCAACAAGGTCTTGCTTGGGGAAGGCACAATTTGCTCATCTTGGGCTCCGCCAGTCTTTATCTTATAGAGCTTGAAACCGACGGTGATTGCGAGTTGAAGACCGAGCAGAGTAGCAGGAAGGGTCAATGGATTGCGGCGAACCCATTGCTCCATGCTTCAAGATCTCGGGTGAGCACTTTGGGCTGTTCAATAAAGTGACTCTTCACATTGCGTTCATCTAACACAATTTGTTGACTCCACAGAGTATTCGTGTAGGACATACTCCATTGGTCGAGGACCCTGAGGAGGCACTCTCGCACTGAGGCTCCCCGGGTGCCCGGGCACAAGGGTTCATTTGCTACATCAAGGCCGTATTATTGCAATGTAGATAGAACAATGGGTATAAGTGCAGGACTCTGCCGGTCCCCCCTCCTTACAAGTCCAGCAGGCTATAAATGTCTTAGCATCCGCAGTGCCTCATAATCGATAAGAGACAGCAATGCTGCCAGAAGTGGTCATACAGCGTCTCACGGTCAGAGACTCTAGTAGAGAGTGTCACATCAGATTGATCGAGGAGAGAGGAAGAATGACACCATGAGTGCTTTGATGTTTTGGCTATACATTCTGCACCTGTCTCAGATGCCAGATGCGGCTCTTGCTTGGCTTGTTTCATTCCTCAATCTCCTAATCCGAAGCGTCATATTCTGGGCTTGTTTCTGAGCGCATCTCACCGCAAGCATGGTGCTGCATGTTACATTCGTATCCTTTGTCTTTGATTCATTGTCTATGGCTCCAACTTGGCTTTGTCAGAAGCCTGCCTGCAGACAACTCTCCCCATCGATATCTTTTCTCTATGATTGCGATTACAAGAATGCCGACCGCTGCGCATCACTACAAAAACAAGAATGGCCACATTGAACGATCTAGCGTTGCGTTGATCAATGTTTGCAAAACATTGAACTCGCTGCCATGTTGGGGTTTTCTGAACTCTTGAAGTCCAATTTCGGCGAATCTGCCACACCCCTCACTTTGCCTTTAGAGCCCCGTCTGAAATCCGGCCAAAATGCTGCTACCGCTGCTCCTCCTGAATTCTTCGAAACACTTGTGGGAGAGCGACGTGTGCCTCGGGACAAGGACCCCAAGAAGCCCAATTATGAGATGATCAAGGATGCTCGTAAGGGTATTCTATCGGGATTCCTCCGGTCAGGCAAAATCTTTCGTGCTTCCGACTTCGTGGGGTATGCGAATCCCAAGACAGCAATTATCACCTTGGGCGACATTTACGACTTCGAAACTCGGTGTCTTGCGGCTCTAGACGACCAGCCAATCTCCCGGCCTCCCTTGAGCTCCATAGTCCCTTTCGGGAAAGCAGCTGACAAAGGAGCCGACGATGAGAAGAAAACCCTACGCAATTTGTTTTTCATTGCCTTAGCTCACGATGAGTTACCTTCCTTCCATTTCTGGACGAAACCAGGTGATTTGGATCCTGTGACCGCTGGACAACCGATCGACTGGGGCAAACATTTCGACGAAAATCCACCTTCGCCAACGACAAAAGCCAAGATTGCGATGCTAGAGAACGAGCGGAAAGAGAAGGTACAGCGCGGGGCTGGGGAGCAGCACAATACACAAAACAAACAGGCGCTTGGATTCCTAGATCGTTACAATGACATCAATTTGCCGGGTTTGGGAAGAGAGCCAACTCAAAGGCAACCTACTGATGACATCGACTCGGGTTCTCAAACAAGTGCAGCACCGATTTTCGCGCAATCCCCGCTTGAGGCTGAAGTCCTACTCCAATTCAACAGAGGAGGCATGTATCTCAGAGAATTTACCCACAGAGCTCTCTATGCCATGGCTTGCTGGCTGGTCGGGAATGAGGAAGAGGATGAGGAAGAGAAAGCGAAGGAGGGTCCAACCGAAATTTGGGACATGTTCCTGGATATCCTGGGTCCTGGGAAAGTTATTCGCGAAGAGAAAATTGTCTCTGTATCTCGGGCCTCAAATCGGAATTTTCAGGACAACATAAAACCAGTTTTTGGCCGGCCAGACAATAAGTTTCGGATTCGCTCCACGAGGTATCAGTCTTCGTGGAACCTGGAGTCAGGCTTTGACTCAGGTGGTGTGGGCGAACTGAAGTATGATCTGAAGATAGTGCGCCCAAACGTTGGCTACTGCTATTGCTCGGCAAATTGGCACAATACCGGAGATTTGTACTTGAACAATCTGCATTTCGAAAAGGCACTTAAATTCTTATTCGATTGGGACTCGTCTGCGTACCCGAAATCGAACAATTTGAGCCTTGATATACCCGGCCACGGCGCCTTCGGCCTCGATCGTAACTCAAACGTGGTGGTGGACGACAACATCCAAAAAATCTTTGCTGAGCTCTCGGGTACCCCAGTGAAATCGGATTCTCACCCTGTAGAGATTTTCATTCGCGACGTTTTCGAGGATGTAACAGACGGGTCCGACTCCCTAAGTACCAGTTCTCCTAGGCATGGGAATGCCAAGTCTGAGACGGGTCCCGGAGAAGTACCCGACGTGCTTCAAGCACCGTCAGGAGCAGGTCCACATGTTGATCAAGGATCCATAAACGCTTTGGGCATCCCTGATCAGCCACCATCAGATATCCTCGGTAGCTTGATCACTGGTCAACTCCCTGAACCTAGTTCCATCAAAGCAACAGAGGGTCGCGGAGGTCCAGATTTTCTTTCGATACATCCACGGTTGCTCACTAATGCTGAAATAAATGAGCTCAAAGATCGGTTGAAGATTGCAGAGGCGAGCGTTGTTGAGACTGATGGCCTACAAGAGCGGCTGAGAATTGCAGAGGAGAAGCTTTCTGAAATGAACAGTTTAGAGCAGCGGCTGAGGACCTCAGAGAGCAGAGCTAAGCTGAAATCCTCTTGTCCATTCTGTCCCCAGGACTGGGCAGGGGTGACGAAACAGGTAAAAATGCGCTAACCGTTGCAAACTTCATAATGCTGACTCTCCGTAGCAACAACAAGACCACCTTAAGCTACATCAAAAGAAGATTATTCGTCAGCCAGACCCGCAAAAGTGCCCGCAACCAAATTGTACGAGTTGGTTGGGTGAAAACCAGACAGAATCAAGCTATGAGGTAAGCCCAAGTGTCACGATTTGCAAGCCATCATCTGATGAAAACTAGGCCATTTCAGAACATCTGCGACTCCACATTGAAGAAGAACACGCTGAAGATGGCATCTGTCAACATCAACATTGCCACACGAACATGTATGCCCAGACGGCCAAGGTAAGGGTAATTATCCGGAGTTAGTACAGCGGCTGACAGCAACTAGCAACAAGAGGAGCATGAGTCCGTCCATCGCGATAATGAAGAGACCGAAGAGGAGCGTGATCGACTGCAAGAAGAGGTCAAAAATCTCGAAAGAATCGTAAAGGAGCGTGACCAGTTGCAAGAACAGGTCAGGGATCTTCGAGACACGGCAACGGAGCGTGACCAGCTGCAGCAACAAGTCAGGCACCTCCAAGACGCCGCAGACGAGTGGGACCGGTTACAGGAGGACCTCGTGAGTATCACAGCGGAGCGCGACTCGTTGCGAGACCGGGCGATGGAACTCGAAAGGCGTTCAAAAGCTGGTTCAGGCCTCGATGAAGGGATGCAGACGAAAGAACCGGTGACAGAGGCACAGGTGGATGAAGATCCCAAACAGCCAAGTCAATCTGAAGCTCCTAAGAAACTACGATACTGCAATGTCTGCTTGAAGAGCGTGGACAAGATGAGTGTTAACGTGAGACTCTATCCATCTAATTCGAGGCCTGTTTTAATCTCTGGTACAGGCCAAAACTAAGCATGCAGACAAATGCGAGACCAGCGTATCGGAATTCTTGTTATTAAATCCGGCAGAAGCAAAAGTCATCAGGGAGAAGCGAAACAACAGCCGCGACGTCGTCAGGCCGCAAGCACCAGAGGGTCCGAAAGAAGAAAGGGAGATGCCTAATACAGGGGAGAAGAGTAAACAGAAAGCTTCAGCTACAGCTGCCCCATTGGAAAGTGGGCAGGACGAAGCAGAAGATGCGAACGCAGCTCAAGAGCCAGAGGCCAGCAAGGCCACAGGTCGTAAAAAACCAAAGCGCAAATTCGACACATTCAAACCTCCAAAGGAAGATGAGTCAAATAGCGAAGACCTCGAGTCTCCCAAGAAGAAGCCTAAGCTCAAGGCGAAGGCACCCAAAGCCGAGAAAAGAGAAACCGCGCCTACGAGAAGGTCTGCTAGGGGCAAGGACATATATGAACCACCTGAAGAGGAAGAGGATGTGGAGGAAGCATACGACGAGCCTTCCTCATCAGCAAAGGGAAGCAAGAGGAAGAAGAGGATGGCTCCAAAGAAGACGAGAACAAATAAATAGCCTTCAGAATACTTCAGATGGGCGAATCGATGGACGTTGAATATGTGGGGAGCAGGCTGCTTCTCGTGTGTATGTTAGCATTGAAACGGTAGTATCTTAGCTAAGTTAGTATAAGAATGTTTGGTAGCTACGACAACATTCACTTTGACCAACATATGGGCCCTGCATACTTTGCCACCAAACTTGAAGCAACCACTAAAGTAAACAATTACATCCTCCCACCTTCCTTCGATGTCCAACTCATTTAGCTCCATTTGCACCTACCCCATTCGCTCCGATCTGTTCGCTCAAGCCATTCACCCCAACGTTCCTCTCCTCGCTCTAGGCCTCGCCTCAGGCCATGTTCAACTCCAGCGCCTCCCTTCCTCAGACCCCAAGGAGGCGCGCAATAGCACCATCGAAACCGCATGGCGTACGCGTCGTCATAAAGGAAGCTGTCGCAGCTTATGCTTCGATCATGATGGGGAGCATTTGTTTTCTGCTGGGACGGATGGGATTGTGAAGGTTGCGGCGACAGAGACGGGGCAGGTCGCGAGTAAAATCGCTGTACCGCTACACAAGTATATTTACACCCCCACTTGGTTCATGCGCTTCGATTGAATTTTCTAACGTGTCTGTGGGCCATAACAGTAACTCAATTGATCCACCTTCCATCCTCCACGCCCAAACGCCCCAAACCCTCCTCCTCTCCACGGACTCCTCCGCCGTCTACCTCTACGACCTCCGCGCCAACTCCACCCTCGCATCCTCCAACCCACAACAAACGCACCATCCACACGACGACTATGTTTCCTCTATGACACCACTACCGCCAACTGAAAACTCCAGAAGCGGACTCAGCAAACAATGGGCTTCCACAGGCGGCAGTACCATAGCGATAATGGACATACGAAAAGGAGTGTTGATTAAGAGCGAGGATCAGGGAGAGGAAATACTGAGCTCTTGCATTGTGGATGGGAAGCTGGTGGTTGGGAGTGAGAAGGGAGTCCTACGGATATGGCAAGTGGGGTCGTGGGACGATAATGAACAGACCGTTGCTGTAGTGGGGAAGGGGGCTAGTGCTGATGTGCTGGCCGCTATGGGGGAGAATCCAGTGGTGGCAGTGGGAATGGATGATGGGTGCGTCAGATTTGTGGATATGGGCAGGACAAAGCCGAAGGTACTACATGAGACGGAGGTGAGACACGATGAGGTGGAGGGGGTGTTGGGTTTGGGGTTTGAGATTGGGGGAAGGATGATTAGTGGGGGTGGACAGATTGTCAAGGTTTGGGAGGACAATTATGGATTGGATAATGGAGAGGACGAAGAGGATGAAGTCGAGGAAGTGGGTGCTAGGAATGGCAAGAGGGCCAATGGGCTTGACAGTGATGAGGATGACCGCGGAGCTGATTCGGTGGAGAGCAGTGAGGAAGAGCAGCGCAAGAGGAAGAAGAAGAAAAGGAAGCGAAATAAGGGTAAAGCCCAAAGTGGTGTGCAGCATGTCATGAGTTTCAAAGGCATGGATTGAATTGCTGTGCTCTCGACATGCCACATCCAGCTTTTAGAAATTCACCTACCTCCTGACCCAACCAGCTGAATGCCCCCAGCTCATATTTGGCCACGACCGATACCACAAAATAGCAAAACCACCCGCAACCGTCCGGGTCTATGGACAAATCAGACGAGGCTCCGCCTATAACACGCCATACTTTGTCTGGTCTGATCATCTGCCCAAGAAGTAAGGGATCTATGGACAAGATAGGATGAAGCATGTCTTCATGAAAGAGAAAACCATACCTTGTCATACTGGAGGGTATGCCTAAGGAGTAGGCATGACCAAAGCAGCAGCACAAGCGGCTTGACAAGATCCGAAGGCTGCATTGCAAGCTAAGACTGCAGGAGGGGCAGCAGCTCCGGCCGTCACGCCCATGATTGCTCCAGCAGCTGCGTAGCAAGCCACGGCGACGCCTGCACATCCTGCTTGGCAGATACCATAGGCGGCGGGGCCGGCGAGGGCGGAAGTGATTATGGTGGTCATTGGGATGAGCTTGGTGAGACGCATGGTGATGTTTGTCGTTGTTTGATGGGAGTGGTGTGGTGTGGTGTGGTCGGATGTGGGTTAGGTGTGTATGGAGGCTGAATGGTTCAAGTGAGGGAGGTTGAGGCAGTGCGGTGGAGGTGAGGAGGAGATGTTTTGAGGGATGTTAAATGAGAAGTGAGAGATGAGAGATGAGTTGACGGCTCAAGAGGATCGCGAGTTAGACTAATGCAGCTCTCTGCTTTTGGCGTTTCGGAAGGTCTGTCCGTCCCATGAACTACGATGGTATTCTGTTACCCCAACTCCTCTCTTCAGTTGAACAAGGCTGACGTTACCATATTCACAGCACGAGGCCTACCAATACGCCCACCTGCATATGTGCATCCAATGGGAACCATCTATATTCATGTAGTCTGAATCCTCTAGACTGACGAGTACCCACGATAGCCACGTAAGCCGGCAATAAATCATCTGTGCGTAGTAGGCCACAGCGACACCTGTCTCGCGGGCTAGAGTGGTGGTGATCACGATGATGAGCACGGGATGAGTTTATTGAGACGCATGGTGAGGAAATTGGGGTTGTTGTGAATTGAGTGGTGGAAGGCTGATCTATAAAAGGCTTTGGGGATGTGATGAGTGTGAGATCGGACTTTCAAGGAAGTGGCAGAGGCAATGGGGATGGCCTTTGAGACGTCAATACCGCTTTGTAGCCAGTATTGCATTCTGGTTGAAACTCAGGTCTGAGAGTTGTTCTCGCAAGATAGAAAAGAAGGGATCATGAACCGAGTCGTAGAGCGTGCAAGGCTGCAGAATCGCCGAGGCCTACCAAAAATGAGCACCTGCATACGTGCGTCCAATGGGAACACCTCTTGATGATTCAGGCTAATGCAGGCCGCCTTACGCTCCTTGGAGATGATGGGCATAAGAGTTTTTCTTCATCGTCCATGCATTCTATGCCAGCTGCAGCGAAAATCAAGTATTTCAAGGCTCCCTACGTGTGCAGACAGACTTCGATGTCTTCTCCCTCGAATTCCAACCTCGACGGGACTCTCGAGCAATCACAAGAGAATTGATTTCGCAGCAATGGCTGCAGAGGACATGAGGAGCAGTGCGAGTATACGCACCCTCCAATGGACTTTGTTCCCCAATATCTTCCACCCATGCTGCAACGCCTCAGCACCTAACGACAGAGCCTGTCAGAGAACCTTTTACTCCGAGATTCGTGACATCGCTACGCAACATTGTATACCACACATAGATTGCAGACCATCCCACGGAGACTGCCTTTCGAGATGCTCGCTTTTACCTCTTTCATTTCAGTCGCAGGAGCCATTAGGAGTTTCGAGCACTGGCTTTCTCTTTTATCTTCGGTTTGGCGTTGAGCCTCCATTTTTTTGGCCGCAACCTGTTCGTTCAGTGTACAACCTTTTACAATGATGCCTCGATCAATGATCCTTGCTATACATCCTCTTCGTCCTAAGAACCAACAACGAACGAATGCAGCTCATCCCGAGTTGCTGGATCGGTACATTTCCGTAGCGGATGGGGCTGCAGCTCTTTCAACGACTGTGTCATCTTCTTCACGTTCTCCATCCAACTCGCCTGCATCGTCGTACTCACCCGCCTCGACGTCGGGATCAGTGCCCGCGGTATGGGAGATAGCACCGCTAAGATTGCCTGGGCCGTGTCCTTGTTGACCATTCTCCCACTTGTGTATGTGGCGTTCAATCCTGGCCTCCTTCGTGAGCCGCGGCTGGACCACGCCAGTACTCCCAAGGGCCAAAAAAGCCGCAAAGAGCAATCGAGGTTTCTCCTATTTGCACTGTGTTCGTTGCTGTATATCTATCCGTTCATGAGCAGGATGATGGAGAGTTTTGGATGGAGTGGGGTAGGTGCAAAAAAGGTTAACTCATTTCAACAAGTGAGTGGAATGTGATCGAGACAGCTTGTACTGCAGGTGCTAATGCAGTGTCAAATCAGGAGATCCTTGCCATGGATTCTTTCAGTGTGATAGGATCTGTCTTTATCCGTCTGGCGGCATTGACTGAAATCATCTGGCTTGCAGTGCAAAGGCACCACAAAAAATCCCGGCTTGTTCAACGAGTCCGCAGGTTCTGGTCCAAGAACAGTCCTCGGCTGTTTCAGTTATCGATCATGCTCTTCATTGCGGTACCCATCATCGCGATGAGCCAACCGTGGCCTGTCTTCGAATTGCGGAGTTTCCAACAACAGATCGCTCAGAACGCGGAAAATGACGACTCGGACAGCCGGTGGACATTTGGTCAGATAGCGGCGTTGACGCTAATGGCCCCGTTGTGGTTGAGTGTTGCTTCGCCTGGCTGTAGGATTGAGGGAAGAGGGGTGACCTCATGGGCAGCGAAATATCACACGCCATCCTGACACCATCGTCATCGAACACTCCGAGCACCTTCTTCTACTACTCGGGACTTTCTTCAAACTTGAAACAGAATATCAGGAGTGTTTTAGAACACTATGAAACAAGGCAGGACTGGCTCTGAGACTGGATCAACCGAGCTCACCAATGGATTGGCTTACTGGCTTACAGTATGGGTCGCGGCTCAGTGTGCTAAGTCGTTCAACTCTCAGGATTCGTACCATTTGTCTTTGCAGTTGCTCTATTTTACGTGGGAATGAGAGGATTTTTCCCCACTTCGCAGGCGCGGCTGTGGTATCAAATACCTTCACTGGGGGTTTCGTAGAGTCTTGCCTATCCTTGCGAGGAACAGCATGTTGAGGACCTGCAGATTGGGGGAAAGAGTTTGGAGTTCCAGTGTGGATATGATCTTTCTCAAATTCGGAAACATCAGATATGAGTCTCGGAAGGTCCTTGGAGTCTCAAGATGTGCAAGATGCTCAGTCACTTTAATGTGTTCACGGTTTTAATCAGCTAAAATTAATGCTAAGTTTGTAGGCAATGTCCAACAATCTCACTCACCCCAACCTCTTCCCTTCTCAAGGGCTTCCCTCCCCCGGCTTCTCAAAAACCGGCTTCCAAAAATCATACCACGAGGAGCGTCTATTGAGTCCCGTCCGTCCACCCTCCGTGCTCACGGGCGACGACTGCGATCTCGGACTCGCCGGCTCCGTACGAGCCAAGGCCGCTTTCGAACGCGTTCCGGGACTGACGGAACTGGACCTCTTCGGCCGATGCGCAAACCGTTGAGGGATCGGGGGAGGCGGGTACGGGAAGTCGACGGCGGGCTCGTCGGTCGGATAGACGCTGCTGGCCGGCCTCGGCTTGTGGAGCGGCGCCGGTGTGCCGGGGGGAGACGGGTATGGGTAAGTGGTCGGGTTGAAGGACCGGTCTTGCTGACGGCGCTGTTTCTTGGAGGGTTTGGCTCCGGGGAGGTCGGGAGCGAAGGGGGCTGGGGCTGTCCTTGATGCTGTCGATGCCGACGAGGGTGCGTACGGGTGCTTCGTGCCCGGTTTGCGGAGGTAGGATCGGTTGTAGTCCATGGCTGGGAGGGTCGGGGAGTCTTGGTAGTATTTGCTGTCTTTGAGCGGGGGTATGGGCCGGAATTCCTCCTCCTCCTCCTCCTCCTCTTCCGAGTCTTGGAGTGTGATACCGAGTCCGATTGGCCTCTTGGATAGGGGCGTGGTCGCTCGTGTCTCGTACGAGTCGTCGGAGTAGAGATGATCACTGTCGTACTCCGAGATGGGCACAGCGTGACTGGCTAGCGAAGCACGAGAGCTATGGTCGTTGAGCCTTGACGCCGGCTTCGGCTTTGATGTGGCTTTGCGAGAAAACTTTGGTGACGGCGGCAGCTCCTTCGGCGTAGTCGGGCTTCGGCATGCTTTGCACATCCACAACCCATTACGGGCATATCCGGTATCAGGGGAATCTGCACCGCAGACGGTGCATTGGACGGGGCAAGTGTCTTCCTGTTGCTGGCAAGCTACGCAGACCCACAGGTTGGTAATATTGTCGCGGTAGCCTCCGGGGCTGTTGGTGGACGCAGTCCCGCAGATGTAACATTTGGGGCCTTTCGCTTTCTCGGCCTCTTTGGCTTTCTTGATCGCTTTTGCGGGATCGAGGACTGATGAGAAGTGGCTGTTGCGCACCAGGTCGGCGTCTTCACCTGGTCCGGCGTAGGTCCCTTCCGTTTCGCCCAACAGAGCGGACGGCGCGTTATGCTCCTGGTGAAGGAAGTCGGAAAACTGTGTATTGCGATTGAACTTGTCCTTCTGGCCACGAGCAGGCGAAGGTCCGGCGCGATAGTTGTTTGAGGGGGTGTGCTGAAGATGAACGCTGTTATGTACTGGAGGTAGCTGAGCGATCTTGACGGCGTGCTTTTGAACCTCACCTCTCTTCTTGTTGTAGATGGGAACTGGCTTCCTTGCTATGCCTGGCTGGGAGTCGGCTGCATGATCTTGATCTGGTGGCGACGGGGCATTTCGAGGAGGCTCACGTCGGTTTGTTGAGCGACCGCGAGATGACTCGTCCCTTCTCACGGTGGCCTGGCTCCTGGCGATCTCCTCGCCCCTTTTCTGTCTTGCTTGATCTGCTTTCTTCTTAGCTTGTTGGTCCTTCCAATTTCGGTACAGATAAATGAGCTCGCCCCACGGCGTATGACGTTGAGCGATGTACTCACGCATGTCTTCTCTGTCTGTAGCCTGTCTTCTCACTGCTTCCGGTGATGGGGTAACTGCTGGCCTGGGCACTTGACGGGCCTTGCGTGATGAAGAGGGAGTTGACTTGGGTTGTCGTGAAGTTGACGTGTTGACATTATGTGACTTGCTGGATTTGATCTTAGCTCGCCGTTTGTCCATGAAGTCATCTACCCACTTCCATAGCAAAAGGAACTCGTCTCCAGCCTTGTAGTGCTTAATCTCCCCGAAACAGCCTGTTTGTATTTGATCGTCGTCGTCAGGTTTGGTACGATCCACGGGACCTCGGGAGTTGTGGAGTCCGATCGACCTTTGGGGTTTTTGATGCTCGGCCGGCGGCATCGACTGTTGTTGGTATGTTGAAGAGGGCTCTGTGGTACGTGGCGCATAGAATTCTTGGAATCCGTCGTTGATGGAGGACGCGCCGGGCGCCATGATGATGTACTGCGAATTGATACTGCCTGTGTGAGTATATCAACGATGATATGATTGCAGCGCAAGGTGGTTGGGTTGTTGAAGGGTTGGTGAAGGGTTGAAGAGCAATGTGGCTTAAAAAGCAACAAAGAGGTGTTGTTACCAACAATCTATGAACAATGACTTGCTGGATAAAGAACAAAGATTACATCATGGGACGCACAAGATCTTGGTTGAGTCACCATGTAGTGACAAAGGGACAACAAAGCACTGGAAGTTGTGATCAGATTTGATGAGCATAGACCACAGATCGGTCAAGATGAGAAGGGGTGAAGATAATAGTATTGATAATTATTGTAACATCAGAGTATCATCCCACGTAAATAAAGTCCTTCAGTCCAGCTTCCACAATGGTAACAAATACCTTAATCGAATACAACAGTGACGCATCCAATCAACGCCTAGGGTAAAGAGGTTAACACATGCCAGGTAAAATGAACACTTTAAAGGAGCATACCTAAACCAAAAACGAAGCGTAGCTATTGATCCTTCTTGGTGTTGTTGATCATAGTACAAAAGCGAATCCAGTAATGAGAGTCACCAGTACAGTTATGAAGGATGAGATCTCGATCGCCGAAACTAGGCTCGCAGCACCCTTGAAGGGAACAGTGCTGTTACCGTTGGAGGCTGGGGCGCCACTCGCAAGGGCGACCTGGCCAGCCTGAGATGGAAGTGGGTAAGATGCAGGGGCTCCGGCAGACGATCCAGCCGGAGCTGCGGCGCCATTCTCGGCGGGAGATGCAGCGCCATTCTCGGCAGGAGATGCAGCACCACTCTCGGCGGGAGATGCAGCGCCACTCTCGGCGGGAGCTGCAGCGCCACTCTCGGCGGGAGCTGCAGCGCCATTCTCGGCGGGAGAGGCAGCACCACTCTCGGCAGGAGATGCAGCACCACTCTCGGCGGGAGATGCAGCGCCACTCTCGGCGGGAGCTGCAGCACCAGGAGCTACGGCAGCATTTTCAGCGTTGGCGGGCGATGCGGCACCGGCAGCGGCAGGAGCAGCAGGGGCACCAGCGGCAGGGGCGCCAGCAGCAGCAGGTGGTGCGGCACTTCCGGGTTTGGCTAGCGCAGTTGGGACTGTGGGGGCCGGTGCTGGAGCAGCGAGAGCGGAAGCGAGAGCGGGGCCGGGCGTGGTCTGCGCATACTGTGACTTGCCTGCTTCGCAGACAGAGCATGGCACAGTCGTTACAGTGAATCCTTGTGGAACATAGCCAGATCCTCGTGCAAGACCGGTGCTTGGGCAGGGTTCGGTGACAGTGTAGGTTGCCTCCGCAAGACCGGTGGGGCAAACCTGGAGGAATTTAGTCGTGTACGTCGTGAGAGATCCACCGGCAAAAGTCGTCATACCCGCCGCCTCGCATGGCGGACAGTAGGTTTCTGTGACGGCGGCCGTTACGATACCCCCGGAGGAGATCGAGCAAGTGTTATAATATTCAGTCCTTGTTGACGTCGAGTTCTGCGCCGTGGCACCGGCTGCCAGAAAGGCGGCGGCGATAGCTGTCTGCTTCATGGCGATTATCGGGCCAACGGATTATTGGTCGAGGGGGTTATGATGATGCGATTGAACGGGCTGATGGCTTTGGATGGAACTTGGATGGGATAGAGTTTCGATGCGAAAAAAGAGCGACTGTAGGAAAGCTAAATGGTTTTGCAGCAAAGACGAACAGATGCAGGGTCAAGAGCGTGGGGGAGCAAAGTTGAAGACTCGAAACGGCAGTCGAGTTATAAGTGATGGCTGGGAGACGTGCTGTTAATTGCATATCTTGGAGATCCCAAGCGAGGAATGCCAGGCACGAAAACATCACAACAAACTGCAGGAATGAGAGATTGCCAGTTTTAGATGATGTTGAAAGAAAAGTTAGCCGTATTCATTCCCGAGCCAGGCCGCAAGCGATCGAATTTATATTAAAAGCACGAACGAACGCGTGATGCAGCAGACACGCCATCTTTCCTGTAGTACTTGGCATTGAACGCATCTAATGAGTCGACACAAGACTGAACAACTGACAACTGAGAACGCGAACTAAACACCCAGACTGAAAGCATGTAGCCCATCTATCGACATTCCCATCCCATCGCCCTTAACTAAAAAGACTCATCGAGAAGGAAACTTCCTATTTATCCGGGCTTTGAACTTGATCTCCGGAACCACTGTAACGCGATGTCACATGGCAACACATTGCTGTAGAATCCATTTCGGCTAAACAATGGTCGTGGCTGGTTCCGTTGCTTTTTTGATGCGGAAGGAAAAGAAATTGAAAGCAGATTGTGATTTTATTTTCATCTTCAAGACGCTAATGACGCGCTAAGCCCGAATGAGTTACATTCGACGCGTCTGCCGAGCTTGGTAAGATCAGCTACATTACTAAAGTACTCATTTTCTTGGTGCTCTAACTATCTGGTATCATCAAGACCAAATGCTGCTCCGCTCCCGATGAACTCTCAAGCAAATGCACAGTTTTCCCCCAACTGATGTCCATGTAGAATAATACGATTTCGAAATGCAATAATATCCCACGGCAATGAGGCATTTTCTGTTCGATTCCAGCCTCATATGATTAATTATCGACCATGATCTTGACATTTTTCTCTGGCTCAGGAATCACCTTGTCCTCCTCCTTTCCCTTCAGAGACGGAAGCTCCTTCATTGCGTCATCCATGATCTTCAAGGCTTTCTGAATTTCCTGTTCAGTGATGACAAGCGGAGGCGTGAGGCGAATGATATTCTGATGTGTCGGTTTCGCCTTCGAATCATCAGCATCTCCACTATTCTTCACATGGGCAATCCTCAGAGCTCTGCCCACCAATAAGCCCTTCTCCTTCATCAGCATACACAGATCCCAGGCACTATGGCCTCCTGTCTTCGTCTCGTCGATGACTACGGCATTGAAAAGACCTTTGCCTCGGACCGTCTTTATCATTGGATTGTTGAGTTTCTCAATCCCATTGCGGAATAGCTCGCCCAGTTCTTGGGCACGGTTGACCATATCCTCATCTCTGACTATTTCCAGAGCTCGAATAGCGACAGCACAACCAAGTGGATTTCCACCGTACGTTGACCCATGAGTGCCAGGCTCGATCGTCAGCATGATGTCTTTCGAGCCCAGGACACACGACACTGGGTACATGCCCCCGGAGATTGCCTTGCCCAGAAGCACCAAGTCAGGCTTGATACCGCTCCACTCATGGCATAACAGCTTGCCAGTCCTTGCAATACCACTCTGAATCTCATCACAGATCATGAGTACGTTGTGTTTGTCACAGAGGTCTCGAATGTCCTTGAGATAGTTATCGGCAGGCACAACGATCCCTGCTTCGCCTTGGATAGGCTCGACCAGGAAGCCTGCGATTTTGTGCCCATGTGCCAAAAATGCAGACTTGAGTCCATCAATGTCGTTATAGTGAAGATCCTTCCCTGTCTTAGGACAATGAGAGCCAAGATTCGGCACGAAAGGGCCATAATTGTCTCGAGATTCAGAATCAGTGGACATGGAGATTGCGGAGAACTAAAAGAGGTCTATGAGCACCCAGAATCGATTCACATGATTAAAAAGATCGCTTACTGTCCTGCCATGGAAGTTCTCCGTTACACTCAAGACCAATGCTTCATTTGGTGGGATGCCTTTCGTCTTGTAGCCCCATTTCCTTGCGATCTTTACGGCTGTCTCGACCGCTTCGGCCCCAGTGTTCATTGGCAGGACCATATCAAATCCGAAGAATTTGGTAACAAATTCTGCAAATTTAGGGAAGACATCGTTATAGAAGGCTCGCGAGCTCAGTGTCAGCCTTGATGCTTGTTCAATCAAGGCTTTGACCAATTCTGGATGGCAGTGGCCTTGATTGACAGCGCCATAAGCCGAGAGAAAGTCGAGATACCTACGCATCTTAGAGTCAGCGTGACTCCTTTGGGCCAAACACTTGGTTCAAAAGACAAATCGGGGAAGTAAGAGGAGCTTTTGCATTTGAAAAATGTCTCGCCAGTCGAAGTCTGGTACCGAATAGGGAAGTCGGCTAGGAAGATCACACATACTCGTTGCCCTCAGGATCCCAAACAGAACAGCCTGCAGCTCTGGAGAAGACGATGGGAAGCGGATGGTAGTTATGGGCCGCGTGGGTGTGTTCACTGCTAATGGCTTCGTTCGTCGAGGCAGCGTGATATTTGGATGGATCTGGGGTTCCTGTTGGGTGGAATGAGGGCGCGGTTGCTTTCAATGTGGTACTATTAATGTTGCCATCTGCATGGTTATTCGTGTGAAGAGAAGCCGCTGGTGCCATGTTGGGCGTGAATGGATTGCTTTTGGGTCTCGTTGGGTTTCCAAACGACAAAACACTGAAAATGGAGGAATGTTTTTGTACTTGGAAGCAGAGAGGAGTACCAAGGGGCGAAAGATGTGGCTTTCTAGCAGGGTGGGGGTGGAGAGAAGAGTTTTTCGTGTAGGAGGCCTTTGAGTGCAATTGGTGGCCTTTCAATGGGTCATAAGCCGTAAATGTAGGGGATTTCTTGTAAGTTTTCAACAGATTCGTGTGTACCTGCTTTTAGAGGAGTAGAGGCTGCATGTAGGCGACGGCCTCTCGGTCTTTTGGTGGGGCTCGTGGGGTTCGTAGGGCTCATTCTCATAGGGCTCGCGGGGATTACCTTATCTCCAACGGCCACCATCAGCCAAGCCCTCTTGGCTTGGCAAGTACCTCAGTTGTCCCGCGAGTCCTCATTTGCGCCGTGTTCCCCAAACTTCATTACCCTGGGCATGAGCATTCGCCCAAGGCAAATGCGAGGCAATGTCATCGCCCCCGACGACACCCATATCGCAGGCCTCAACCAAGTTTGGCCTCGACAATTCCAGCTACCTCGATGACAACAAGAGTTTTCGGAGACACGCCTTAGAACGAGTCAAAGAGGTGTCCGTTTCGCAAGACATATTTTTATTTCTGCTCGCATTCAGGATTCTTAACGCGTTGAGTATCAAGACCTTCTTTCAACCTGACGAATTTTTCCAATCGCTCGAGCCAGCATGGGAGATAGCGTTTGGAGCTGAGAGCGGAGCATGGATCACCTGGGTAAGCAAACACACAAACAAGCCATGAATGACAATTGCTAAGGGCCGGCGCAGGAGTGGAGACATCACCTTCGTTCTGCGATTCATCCTGCAATCTTTGCCGCCGTGTATAGGCTGTCGTCAGGCCTCTCCTGGGTCCTGCATCTGTCTCCCACATACCGCGCCGACCTTCTAGTAGCCGCGCCAAAAGTAACCCAGGCCATCTTCGCTGCGCTGGGGGATTACTACACGTGGAAACTTGGGGAATGTGTCTACGGATCAGGCAGTAATGAAGCATGGGCGGCTGTATGTAGCGCCAATGATATCCACTTTGGACGAGTCAGAGCGTCAGCTGATTGCTAGGGTCTCTGATTCTATAGCTCGCCCTCACGGTTTGCAGTCCATGGCAGTGGTTCTGCTCGACGCGCACGCTTTCCAATTGCCTCGAAACAACCATGACGGTTGTTGCGCTGAATTTCTGGCCTTGGCAGTGGGCGATGGACGCTGAAGAAGACGATGAGATTGATAATGACGGTCTGCGCATAAACGAGAAGCAAAGCAATGTTGACGAGAAGGCAAAGTTGGTGACCGGTTCCTGAGATCGCAAGCAAAATCCTGACTCGAAAAATAGACTTCGTCGCTGTCTGTTACTTGCTGCTTTGGCCTGTATACTACGACCAACTAACATTCTGATTTGGATATGCTTTGCTACCTTCGCGCTATTGCGTATCACGACGCATGGAAAAATGCTGTCGTTACCTTGGGAGGGTATGCAGATATGGGTCCACATCTCCTCTCTGTCTTTTCTCCCTGCTACTAAGCAGGAGCGCAAGGTCTTGCTGACAGAGGCCTGTCTTTGCGGGTAAGTTTCTCGTCGTAGTCAACCTAGCGTGGCTCACCAACTCTCCAGGTCTTTAATGTTGATGCTTTCCACACTTGTTGACCGTCTCTACTACGAACAATGGACATTTCCCCCCTTTCGGTTCCTCTATTTCAATATCGCACAATCCCTCGCAGTATTCTACGGCAGAAACGACTGGCACTATTACCTATCGCAAGGATACCCACTGCTTTTGACGACTTTCCTTCCATTCGGCTTGATCGGCATCTGGCAATCCCTCTTCCCTCCCGAGCATCCTCCCCAATACCTCAACGACTCCACTTCTACGAAAAACATCAAATATCAACTCGCCACGACAGCGGTCCTGGTTCCGTGTGTATTGTCATTCATTCCTCATAAGGAGGTCAGATTCGTCTACCCTCTCCTCCCTCTTCTTCACATACTCGCTGCGGTACCCTTCACGACGTTTTTCCTTCCTGGTGTCTCCCTAGCCATTCCGCGGTCTTCACAATTCACAGCCAAGCGTTTTCTTCTTGCCCTTCTGTTCATCGTCAACATCAGTATCGCGATTGTAACGACAACATCGCACCAAACCGCCCCACTTACAGTTATGACCTATCTCCGCAACCAACACACCAAATACTATCTCAGCCAGCCACCTTCCGAATTTCTCGCGCCTGCACCATCTACGATGACTGTTGGCTTCCTGATGCCTTGCCATAGCACGCCCTGGCGGTCTCAGCTTGTCCATCCTTCCATGAAAGCCTGGGCTCTGACATGCGAGCCCCCTGTCAACATGAACGCCTCCGCTCGAGCCAACTATCTGGACGAGGCTGATCAATTCTATGCTGACCCTAAGCAATTCCTTGCTACAACATTAGGAACCCCTCCCACCCTGAAGAAACGACAAGCCTCATGGTTCGGTTGGTTCGGCACCCGCAAGCGCCGGAAGAATGGATTTGGCAGAGAAGACATGATTGAAGCAGATGCGTGGGATGGCAGGGAAGGTCGAAAGAGCTGGCCTGAGTACGTTGTCTTCTTCGAACAGATGGAGCCAACGATGAAGGAAGTTTTGACTGGAAGTGCATACAATGACTGCTGGCGGGGTTGGAATAGCTGGGGCCATGATGACTGGAGGAGGAAAGGCGATATGTTAGTGTGGTGTTTGAGGAAACAAGGGGATAAGGAGAGAAGCAAAGGCCTGCTTTGGTAAGGCGATGAGACATGGCATGTATACATAACAATGGCTTTGGCACGAGATACCAATACTGTAGCGGATACATTCTACTGGACACAAAGGACCTGTCAATTCCTTCGGCTGTGCAGGTTGCTGACCTAGGTTGCCTCGTATGTTGCAAAATGAATTCCCAGCTGAAACCTTGGCCCTGCACGGCTTCCCAGCCCTAGGTAAGCCTCAATAATGTGTTTTTCCCACGACATTTCCTTCTTCTTCTTCTTCTTCTTCCTCTCTTCCCTTCTTCCTTCACAGAACACCTCACACCGAATACTGTTAGATTCCACCCTGAGTGACAGAAGCTCAATTACAGCGAAGAACGCTTAAGATTAAAGGTACTTACCCTTCTATATGATTTATCACTAAATCAGTCTGATTGTTCGAAGACGCTCAGAGAGCTTTTCGAGAACTGCTACCGAACGGGCTGTCGAAGTAAGCTCGAAGTGTTATAAATAAGGGCTTCGAGCTTGCTTCGGCAGCCCGTTTGATAGTAATCCTCGGAAAACTCTCAGAGAGTCCTCGAATAATTAGAGTGATTCTAAATAGTAGGATTTGATTCTTAGGGGGAGACCCCCTAGAACCCCTCGAACCCTTCGGGGGCTCTTCGAGAGCTTTTGCCGAAGGGGCTCTTCTCGTAAGCTTAATAATTCATATAAATTTGAGTTTTTTAGTTATATCTTCACGAATACTTTATCAAATTTCGTCTACGCTATATTATTCAAACGCGTATAATTAACTCTATAACTCTATAAACTTATATTATTATTATATTACAGATAACGTGAAAGGAATTAAAGAAGGTAAATTTGAAGATTTTGAAATTCTTTTCCAGCTTCCTCTTTGGGACGTATCCGCGTGTACCCGTGTTTAGCTTAGAGATGATGAGGTTTAGCGTAAGGATAACGAGATCCGAGGATCTGATTGGTCAACCTTAAATTTATGGTTGTCGTGATTTCAAAGCAAGCTTTCCAATTACCCCAGCACTACGGTACTCTATGGCTCGGCTACAGAGGCACCATCTTACAGCAAGCTGGACCAGCAATGTTAGCGTCATGCTCTACGCCCGCTGCTTGGTACGAGTCCATGGATAAGTCAAGCGATCCTAAACCAAAATCGGTGGGGGTACTGATCTTGTAGCTATTTATTTTCAGATGCTGCGGTTTGACCTCCTCGTCCATGGGGGGCGCCTACTTGCCCGAGGTCGAATGTTCAACGGGATGAAAGGTTGAGCAATTACAAATGATGCTTTTCAATCAACTCCAGTGAATCCAAGGCAACAAAGGAGACGTAAAGGGAAAATGTCCGGCTTCTATTTCCGAGAGCGAACGCCGAGGACTGTTCCGGAAAAAGTTACCTCTGATTTTAGTTTTCGGTGGGGAACTTAGTCTATTTATTTACAAGAATATCATCATCCTACAGGCTTCACCGAATATCTTCCGTCCTTGAAGACATCGCCAGTCCCATAGGCTTCTCCCGAAGCCAGCAATAACCCCCTCATAGAACCATGGCGGAATCAGGCAAGCAAGAGAAGGAGTACGCTTCTACAGATCCCCTTGGAGTTGCCAACCAGACAAACTCATCCGAGCCTGTCGCCACAGCACCTCTACAATATGTAGGATCCGAGAGCGATCTCTCGGATTCGGATCAAGGGCAGAAGGAGGATGGTCAGCCAGACGTCCATAGGACCGCCACTGCAACTACGACTACCTCAACCGTGACCGTGGTATCGCAATCGGAGGAAAAGAAACCATGGTACAAACGTCTGAATCCATTGAAGAAATCGATCAAACCTCCAATACCGAAAGAAAGGAGGGTGTCAAGGGAATACGGGGCCTCCTTCCTCAGTCTGTTGACCTTTCAATGGATGGCGCCACTCATGAGTACGGGGTATCAACGGACACTGGAGCTCAACGATATTTGGCTGGTCAATCCGAATCGCGCATCTCCCGTCCTCTCAGACAAACTCAGTGCTTCGTTTCAGAGGCGAGTGGCTCGCGGCGACAAGTATCCCCTTTTATGGGCCATGCACGAGACCTTCAAATTCGAATTCTGGCTCGGAGGGATTTGCCAACTGTTCGCCAGCATCTTCACGGTCATGTCACCCTTCACGCTTCGATATCTAATCGCTTTCGCCACCCAGGCATACGAAGCGCAAGTCGACCATAAACCGGCACCTCACATCTCCAAAGGCATAGGATTGGTCATTGGCATTACGGTCATGCAGATGTGTCAGAGCTTGGGAACAAACCACTTTATCTACCGAGGCCAGATGGTGGGAGCGCAGTCGAGAGGCACATTGATAACGGTCATTTTTGAAAAAGCAATGAAGATCTCGGGACGGGCCAAAGCAGGTGGGAAGGCCATTGAGGATACAATGAAGCAAGATGGGGAGGTCAATAAGGAGATGAAAAGGCAGAACCTCTTCAAGCGCATGGTCGATAAAAGGTTCAACCCAACGGGAGGTCCGCAAGTCACACCTGACAAGGCGCAAGGAATATCCGGTGACGGAGCCGGTTGGGGCAATGGAAGAGTGGTCAATCTCATGTCTACCGACACCTATCGCGTTGACCAAGCTTCAGGCATGTTTCACATGGTGTGGACATCACCAGTGACCATTATGATTACCTTGGTTGTTTTGCTTATCAATCTGACCTACTCGGCACTAGCAGGATTCGCACTTTTAGTCATCGGCATTCCAGTATTGACCAAAGCAATCAAGAAGCTCTTCTCGCGAAGGCGAGCGATAAACAAGATCACAGATCAGAGGGTGTCCCTTACTCAGGAAATCCTTCAAGCGGTCCGCTTTGTCAAATACTTTGGTTGGGAAAGTTCCTTCCTCGAGCGCATTGGTCAGATCAGGAGACGCGAGATTCGTGCGATTCAGCTTTTGTTAACCATCAGAAACGGAATAAACGCAGTCTCCATGTCATTGCCCATCTTTGCCTCCATGCTCTCTTTTGTAACGTACTCGCTCTCTAAGCACGACTTGGTGGCAGCTCCCATCTTTTCCTCCTTGGCGCTGTTCAATTCGCTCCGGATGCCTTTGAATCTACTACCATTGGTCATTGGTCAGGTTGTGGATGCTTGGTCCTCGCTCGGACGAATACAGGACTTTCTGATCGCAGAAGAGCAGAGTGACGACTTTATATGGGACATGGAAGGGAAGCACGCCGTCTCCATGGAGCATGCCGACTTCACATGGGAACGGACCATCACCCAAGATCCAGACAAAAAGACTGGCGCGCAACTCAATAAGAAGCAGATTAAGAAGGTCAAAGATGCAGAGAAGGCGGCGGCCCACGGACCAAATCCCGCCGGTTCCGAGAGTGGAGAGGACAGCTCCAGCACTCTAACTCAAGTCGAGCCTTTTAGATTGCACGATATGGAGTTCTCTGTCGGACGTAATGAGCTCATTGCAGTCATTGGTGGCGTTGGCTCTGGCAAAAGTTCACTGCTTGCTGCCTTGGCTGGTGATATGCGCAGGACGAACGGCAGCGTGACCATGGGCGCTACACGAGCTTTCTGTCCACAGTATGCCTGGATCCAAAATGCTTCTGTGAAAGATAACATACTTTTCGGGAAGCCGTATGATAGGAAATGGTATGATGCCGTCATCGACGCCTGCGCTCTACGACCGGATCTTGAGATGCTTCCCAACGGTGATATGACTGAAATTGGTGAACGAGGTATCACTGTTTCAGGAGGGCAGAAGCAGCGTATGAACATCGCCCGTGCTATTTATTTCAACAGTGATGTTGTCCTCATGGATGATCCTCTTTCAGCGGTCGACGCTCATGTTGGGCGCCATATCTTTGATAACGCGATTTGCGGTTTGCTCAAAGACAAGTGCCGAATCCTGGCGACTCACCAGCTTCACGTTCTCAGTCGTTGTGACCGCATCATATGGATGCAGGAGGGCCATATTGAAACAGTGGATACTTTTGCAAACTTGATCAACAACAATGAGGCCTTTCAAAAGTTGATGGCAAGCACGGCTCAAGAGGAGAAGGTCGAGAAAGAAAATGCTGTCAATGAGGACGATGTTGAGCATGAGAAGAAGGACGCAAAGAAAAGGAAGACCAATAAGCGCGGAGCTGCACTTATGCAGCAGGAAGAACGAGCGGTAAAGAGTGTGAGCTGGAGTGTATACATTGCTTACGTTCGTGCCTCGGGCTCGCTACTATTCGCGCCGATGGTCTTCCTGATTTTAGTCATCTCTCAGGGCGCGAACATCACAACAAGTCTATGGCTATCATGGTGGACGTCAAACAAGTTTGGCTTCACGGAGGGACAGTATATCGGTGCCTACGTTGCTCTCGGAGTAGTGCAGGCATTATTGATGTTCACTTTCTCTGTCTCTCTCACAACGTTAGGCACAAGAGCGTCGAGGGTTATGCTGCAGAAAGCCATGACTCGGGTTTTGAGAGCACCGATGAGCTTTTTCGACACAACTCCACTTGGACGGATCACGAATAGATTCGCTAAGGACGTCGACATCATGGACAACAATCTGACAGACGCCATGCGAATGTACTTCTTTACCCTGGCAATGATCACTTCTGTGTTTATCCTGATCATTGTTTACTTCCATTACTTTGCTATCGCCCTCGGACCTTTGTTCCTAATGTTTCTGTTTTCTGCAAGCTACTATCGATCGTCCGCGCGAGAGATCAAGCGCCATGAGTCAGTGCTTCGTTCTGAGGTGTTTGCACGCTTCAGCGAAGCAGTCTCCGGTACCGCCAGTATTCGAGCGTATGGTCTACAAGATTACTTCGTCACAGGGATCCATAAATCTGTGGACCAAATGAATTCGGCTTACTACCTCACGTTCTCCAATCAAAGATGGTTGAGCGTAAGACTTGACGCGATTGGGAACCTCTTGGTCTTCACGACGGGCATTCTGGTGGTGACCTCGCGCTTCAATGTTTCCCCAAGTATCGGCGGCCTGGTTCTATCCTACATCTTGTCGATCGTGCAAATGATCCAATTCACCGTCCGACAGCTTGCAGAAGTGGAGAATGCAATGGTATCCACTGAGCGTCTTTACTACTACGGCACTGAACTTGATGAAGAGCCTCCTCTACACATGAAAGACATACCGGACAGCTGGCCCCAGAAAGGCGAGATCGTCTTCGACGAAGTCCAAATGCGCTATCGAGATGGTCTTCCCCTAGTCCTACAAGGTCTCAACATGACCGTAGCCGGAGGTGAGCGCATCGGCATTGTCGGCCGCACTGGAGCCGGCAAATCGAGTATCATGTCAACTCTCTTTAGACTTGTTGAGCTCTCCGGCGGATCCATCAGCATCGACGGCGTTAATATCGCTCAAGTCGGCTTGAAAGACCTCCGCACACGCCTTGCGATTATCCCGCAGGACCCTACTCTTTTCCGTGGTACGATTCGCTCCAATCTCGATCCCTTCAACGAACATACCGATCTCGAGCTCTGGTCGGCCTTACGGCAATCTGATCTCGTAGATGCGGACGCCAACCTCGACGACAAGGCCCACGGTCGCATCCATCTCGACGGTATCGTTGAAGAGGAGGGCTTGAATTTCTCCCTCGGACAGCGGCAACTCATGGCTCTCGCTCGAGCATTGGTCCGTGGCTCCCAAATCATCGTCTGCGACGAAGCTACTTCATCTGTGGATATGGAAACGGATCAGAAGATCCAGCGGACGATACAGACAGGCTTCAGGGGCAAGACGTTGCTTTGCATTGCGCATAGGCTCAAGACGATTATTACCTATGATCGGATCTGTGTGATGGACCAGGGAAGGATAGCAGAGTTGGATACACCAATTAGGTTGTGGAAGGAGGGAGGTATATTCAGAGGGATGTGTGATAGAAGTGGCATTCGGAGAGAAGATTTTGAGGAAAATAAAGAAGAGTAGCTTCCCACACGGGGGACTGCAAAGTCTACGAACATGACGATGACATGACAGGCATATTACGCACAGCATCTTGGAGGTGGTCAGCGTCTTGTGGGTTTTGACAGATACTACATATCCTATGCTATAGGAATCCATATATAATAAACAATCCGCTTCGTGTCACAGAACTTTGCCGTCTTCTTTCCACGCATTCACAAACACATTCGACGGGGCTTTTCCCTTCCTTTCACGAGGGTCTTCCAACCATGATCTTTGATACCGTGATAAATATAACCCGATGTGAGTGCAAATCTAAAGACCTGCTTCGAGTTAGGAAGGATGGGCCAGGAGATCCAACCCCAACCCCGAAGCGGGGTGGACCGACCCCTTAAATTTCCCGTCCCCCCAACTTTGTACGCTTGTATACGTAGTATAGATACCTCTACGCGCCGACCGTTTCCTCACCCTTCACCAACATATTTATATGACCCGTGATTGGTATGTCAGACCCTCATTTCAACCAATGGTGAGCGTGAGGCACGCGTGGCCGTTGGACTTGGATCGCCCGGTTCACAGCCCCGAGTGAGTAGAGTATTGGGTGTATTATACCTATTGTCCGTTGACTTTTACCGTCGACTTGGTTTGATTGTTTTGCCGTCCTTGGTCCGTAATAAGTTATCCAGCGACGCGCGTTCGCGGTTGGCTGATGAGTCTAGCAGTGGGCGAGGGGTGGCAGGATGCGTCACCTTTACCTAGATGTTTCAACTTATCCACACCATAAGGTACTCTCGGCCTCTTCGCCAAGGGGGATAATCTCCTTGCGTCAATATCATGTAGCTGTCCGTCTCTCGGTCTCGTTGCTTTACTTCCTTCTCGCCGTCGTTGTCGTCTTTTTGACTGGGTGGTCTCTCTGATCGCGTTCATTCCTTTCTTGCTTGCTTTGCGATAGCCGGTCTCTACCATTCTGTAGCTGACACTGTAAACATTACGTTCCTTACATCTACATTATCTTCCTCTTTTTTGGAAAAAATCTAAGCCATGCGTGCATCGGCTCTTTGCTGTTTGCTTTCTTGCCTTGCCTCTTCCGCTCTGGCCGTTCACCATCCTCTTCACAGACATCGCCACGACAAGGGAAAACGCACCGAGGTTCTCGTGGTGGAGGAAGACACTACTGTGGAGGATATCGACGTGACTGTTCATCTTCCCGGTCCCCCGCCTGAGGGATATGAGCAACACCAGGAGGGTGGGACGAAGGAGCGTGAGGATACTGAATACCCGTTAACGACTTATACACTCCCTGATGGATCCGTGACAGTCGTCTCTGGGCCAAAGCCGACCCATGCAGGATCTAGGCACGGCGCTGGCAATGGAAAGCACTTTGCACCCCCTTCCAAACCCGAGACTACCGGGGTTGATTCAAGCGCTGGCGAGGCACCTACGTCGAACCCCACTGCGACCAGCTCTGCCGCCGGCGACTCGGGTTCTGGTTCAGGTCCCAGCCTCCTCAGCGGAGGTGGTACCAGTCCGAGCTCCGCGACCCTTTCCGCCGGTTCCTTTGCCTCTCTCGAGAATCCCGATCTCGACTATGCTCCCTCAACCGTGGTAGATCACACAACGTCATCTTCAACAGCCGCCGATTCTCCGGCAACGACAACCACCCCTGCCTCCTCGGTGGTTCCGGCCAACGACTCCCCAGCATCCACCGCGGCCTCCTCTGCAGCGGCCCCATCTCACAGCGGGGGTTATCCATTCAGCGCCGTCGTCGCCTTTGGGGACAACCTGTCAGATAACGGGAACGGCAGCTACGCCCACAATGTCGCAGCTTGGAGTCCGACAAACGTGGTCGACGGGAACACCATCTACGGCGCCCGCACCTGGACCAGCGGACCCGTCGCCGTCTCCTATCTCACCGACCTCCTCGGCGTGCCTATGGATCAAAACTTCGCTTTCGGGGGTGCTTGGGGAGGGAGCCGTTTCGGCGCAACCATTGACGATACGATGCAGCAGTCCAACTTCAGCGCCAGTCTCGCGGACGGGCCGTGGTTCAATCCACGGCGAATTCAGTGAACCCTGCTGGGGAGCCCCGAGTGCCAAAGTCCAGATAAACGACTACATCAACGGCGGCGTCAACAAAAACGCGCTGCATTTCCTGTGGATCGGCGCCAACGACATGGACGCTGCCTACAAAGGCACCCTCGGCATCGACAACCCGACCCTCAACGACGAGTTCTCCTTGAACATCTCCACCAAGATCCCCAACCTCGTCTCCACCCTGCTCGACGCCGGGGCGCCGTACGTCCTCGTGGCCAACCTCTACCCCAAAAACCACGCCCCGCTCTGGCCCAACTTCCTCGGCATCAACACCACGTCGCAATGGGACGCCCTGGGCGCCGCCATCGCCTCCGCCAACGCCGCCCTCGAGGCCGGCTCTCGCGGCCCTGCCCCACGCCGACCGGGTCGTCCGCTACGACGCCTTCACCTTCATGTCGGACCTGTACGCGGACCCGGGCGGCGCGTTCCCCAACATCCGGGACACGAACGGGTTCCCCTCCTTCTGCGACGGGGACGCCGAGGAGCCGGCGGCCGTGCTGGCGGTCAACGGCACGGTGGTGGACGGGGTCCGGATCACGAAGAACTGGGACTACTGCGTCACGCTCAAGCATCAGGATGAGTGGTATTGGATGCAGTATGTGGACCCGATGAGCCATGTACATCAGCTCGTGGCGCAGGATATGCAGGAGACGGTCAAGAAGTTTCCGTTTCCTCCGCTGTGAAGGCGATATCGGTAGGAGGGGTTGAGGCGGCAGACCTTTGAGGGAGTGGGGTCGGCGATTGGCTGGACCTCGTCGGAATTTATTTTCTCTTTTCTTTGGGGGACGTTACGTACCTACGTGATCTCCCCGGGGGAGTCGTGCCCGTACTCGCAGCCGGTCGTAGACCTCCCGTCGCCATCACAAACAAAGAGTCCTCGTGATCTTGTATTGCACAAAGTTCCAAGCGCCCGACTTATTTCTCACATACCTGCCGTCACCGCTCTCCGCGACTGACTGACCGACCGACCACAAGAGGCGCGAAACCAAACCCGAAAAAAAGGGCAGCAAGCAGAGATGAGGGGGGGCGGAAAAGTGCCACGAGGGAAGTGACATCAGCAACCGCACACAACCACCGTCAACCGCAACCGAAACCCCCCCCCAGCACAATCCCATTCAACCCCCCGCCCCGAACGCCAATCCCATCCATCCATCCATCCATCCCAACAGAGCCACATCCCTACCGCATGCGTTCACGTCGAGCCGGGCGGCTCGTCTCCAGCCCCCCAGTCCCCTCTACACCATCATCCACCACGTCTACAGAAATCATTCATTCATCCATTCATCCATTCATCCATTCATCCACATGCTTCATCCGGCCGCCGAAGCATTCAAAACTGATCGGACCGGATAAGAACGACAGCGATGGAACAGTCAGTCACGGGGAAAAAACGGACATCTGTTCATTCTTCTAAATCCGGATGCGAGTGGTGACTCGAAGAGTGATATCCCATCCCGTTTGGGAAAGGCAAAGGGGGTGGTGGATCGAAGGCCTGAGGTGTATGGTTGTCGGCGCACTACCTGAGTGCGGTCGGATGATCGCCGTGCTGATGGCTTGCTGCAGAGAAGATGTGGTTGGGGTTGGGAAAGGGAAAGAGAGCGATGGGTGAGATGGATGGAGGTGCTTGGGAGGTTGGTATGAGCGGATCGCGGAGAGCCATCATTTGTGGTGCAGGGGAAGCAGGCCAGGGTGTTGGAGAAGAAAAGCATAGGGCTCCAGCGAGCGAAAGGGGTAGACAACGAGGTCATGACTGGCAGGCAAGGGTCAGGGTGGCCGAAGGTAAGAGGACGAATGATATAAGAGGACAAGGATAGGAGACTGTTATAGCATGACATTGGACATGCGAGAACGAATTCATAGAACGGAAGACGAATGATTGCTTCAATAAGGTGGATTAGCAAGCGGTGCAGAGGCCGCTTGCAATTGGCTGAAACTGTCCTCTTGTATTGGAGCTCCAGGCCCCTATATCGACACATATTACGCTTCGAATGTGACCATCGTTTCCGTGACCAACTCTGAAGACGTGCAAATAGCCAACCCAACTGCCTCCTCGCCAAGCCTGACATCCACGCATCAACATGGATCGACACGATATATACGTGTCTATGTGCTGCGCATTGAGCCGCTCTTGAGGAGAGAACATATACGCGCGGCGGACCATGAGAAAGTCGTTATAGCGTAGCGCCCTTAAGTCTGTAGGGTAAGGACCATGGAGGGCGCTTGAACTCCTCCTGACGGAAGAGAAGAGCGTTGCAGCAGTAACATGCTGCGATGCATCAGAGATCGGCGAGGGGGCTCGCTGCGCAGAATCGATTAGAATGTAAATGGAAACGGCCGCCCGAAGATTGCAACCGACTCCAAAGAGAGACAGAACACGTAAGCGTAACCTTTGTAACGTCAGTCTCGGTGATTCGCTTATAGCATGGTGGCAGAGGGATAGAACATGTGCATATCGCTGCGTACCAACATTATGCTGAGCCTCTCAATGATTATCGTTGTTCCCAATTGGAGCGCTTGAATCGTTGGATGTTCTGAAGACACCACCCCCAACCGCCTTCGTAATCCCGACTCCCAATCCCGTTATCGCCCCAACGATGATGACAGCAATCAAAGCTTGTACCCAGAATTTCTGCCTCTTGCTCATGCGTTTAAAAGGACTGTATGAATGATGCTTCTTGCTCTTGACCATTGCCTCGTGCTGTTTTCGGGCTCTACTGGATGGCCATACTGCATCGTCTGTATGAGATGGTTGAGCCAGATCTGATTGTGTGAATTGTGTAACCCGTGAGCCAGCTTCGAGATCGTGTTCGTAGATTTGGAAGCGGACTTTCGACTCCGACTTCTTTTGTTCCAGGGAAGTGCGGGTTGTAGGATGGGAGTAGAAAGGGGAGAATGGATGATCTGAGGAAGGTGGGTAGTCGTCTCTCGAGGTAGCATCGTACTCGGAGGAGGGATACAAAGTTGAGTTGGAGATGCTCTCGGTTTTGGTGAGGGTATTATTGTATGATGGTTGTGGTGGTGGTTCTAGGTGAACGACTTCGGCACCAACGATATGTTTCTCGTTGTAGGACATGACTGCAGCGGAGCGTGCAGCGTGATTGATGATCTTTGGAACTTGATTATAGTAAATGTAGTGAATGTAGTGAGTGTGGGCCGATTCCAAGGTGTCAGAGTTGCTGTGAGATTGGACGAGGAAGAAGGGTGAGTCTCCACTTTGAGGGCTGCTTTCAATTGCTTTTCTTTCAATGGGTCTTGTGATGCAGAACCTTTCGATTGATGGAAGGCGGTCGATAAGCCTGGACTATGAGGTGTATATTGAAAGGGAATGTTGGAGGCCGCCTCCTTGCCTCTTTGCACCAAGAGGGTGTCACTTAGATTATTACGCTACAGATGAGCCACAGTCGAGCAGTCCATTCGAACTCGCTCTCTTGGAGGGATTAAAGAAGGGCTGAAGGAGTGGCTTGACTTGAAGATGGATAGGCTCTGTAAAAGAGAGAGTGGGCGTCAATTGGAAAGGGAGAGTGGATGGGCAGGCTCACTGGCTTGGAATTGATTGTGGATCTCAATTTGGAAGGCGCGGCTAGTGGATCTTCGTAGCGCGTCATGCTTCCCGTTAAACTAAATTAGTGTCCGCTCTCTATCGGGTTTGCCTCCCACTTCGATATCACCTTGATCACACGCCATTCAAGTGAGAAAGGCGGAGATAGATGAGCATCACGCTCTTTGTTGATACGGCTTCATATACAAAATTCCATCAAAAAAAGGCGGTACAAAACTCGGAAGGCGAAATGCACGATGTTGTGCTTCTTCTGCACCAATCGGCATCGTTTTCCTGTTCCTGAATTCAATCGACTCGGCCCATCAAATATCATGAAACGTCAATACCAACGGCCAACTTGAACCTACCGAGTACTTTGGAGTACTGATACGATCATAGGAAATCATGCAACATCTACCTGTCTTTTTCGTAGAGAGTGCCTTACCTCCATGAGGCCCCCAATAGTCGACGGGCTTACCATGCAGCTAGGAACGATAGCCTTGAATTGTGTGCGTATCAAAAGGAAATCTACGGTACTTCCTGCATCCAAGGTGTCGACGCATTAGGAACTCTGCAGTTGGACTAGGCATGCGATTATCAAGAACCGGTTATTTCATTGCCAGAAACGGCATCGTGCAGGTCCAGAATCTCAGCCGTGAGATGCTATCTTCATACCTCGTTGACGCCTTCATTGAACCGATCAGTTGTCTAACCCAAAGCGGCTTCATGGGCCTCAAGAGTCCAGCACAATGACGCGCCAGCAGGCCGTGAATGGCCAACAAACCTACGACAGATACTTGGAGAACCACTCAATGCCCTGCTGTGCCGACTCACTAGATTACATTTTCGCCGTCAGTATTGCCCATTTGAGGAGGTATAGCCAGCGTTAAAACGTGTTTCGAGAGTAAAGACTCCCGAGAAATGTCTCAAGACTCGAGACTTGCTCCAAAACGGGATAATATGGGATCCGCAAATACGTACTCCATAGCTTTCTTATCTTTATCGCTGCTCCAATCATTACGCAGTGCAAAGCCATGGATCTGATCCTCATACAGCTATCCCAACATGTCAGCGCGAATCCACCAGGTCGAACCTCAACTCCAAAGGATGGGCCAACTCACCCTAATCTCATGCGGCACAGCCGTCTTCTTCGCCATCAAATCCTGAATCTTGCCCACGGTCCCCTGATCCAAAAGAGAATCTTTTGTCCCCATCGCCAGACTTAGCGGCATCTCCACGGGGTCGAAGTCGGCTGGTACAGCTACGAGGCTCGGATGACACTAGCACAGTTCGGAGTCAGTATTTCGGTTTCGAGATAGTGTTCGCGTCGCGAGACATGTTGAGGGAATATAACGCGAGGGAGGACGAGCAATTGGCTCCCACAACATGTCTCGTGACTTGGAACGCAGTATCAAACAGGAAGACACATCTCCAAGAAGTGCCTCACAGCATACGCCGCATCCACGCCCCCAATATCACTGCCCTTTCCACTCTTGCCCTGCCCGTGGGCTTGCAGAATCGCATACCGCCCGCCCCAGCAGAACCCGATTGCCCCGATCTTGTTCGTGCCAGGCGTCATGCGCACGGTATTGACGAAGCCGTCGATCAAGGGCCGGGAGACACCTTCGCGGTGTTTGGCGAGCCACGGGCCTAAAGTGGTAGGCACGATGACGGCATCCTTAGCTTTGTCGACTAGGGTGCGTGTTTCTTGCGTCTTGAGAGGGGGCTCGACATTGTCCAGAAAGGACAATGGCAAGGAGTCGCCCTGATGAAAGTCCGGCACGTATGCGTAGAAGCCCGCTTTGGCATATTCGTCGGCCAGGAGGCGGATGTTGGGGAATGTGTAACCGAAGACTGAAGATTGGTGTGTTAGCAGGGCAAGACACAGGAGCCCAGGAGTATGGATGACGAGGATGCGTGGCAGATGAGGCAACCCACTGTCGCAAATGAAGATTATCGACTTGGCCTTGGAGTGGTTCTCCGGCTCCGAAATGTAAGTTGAGAGGCCGCCGATTTCATCCTCTCGGCCGGCGGGTTGGCCTTGATGCACCTTGCCACTCAGGCAGCAGTTGCTCATTCCCACGTTCTGAGACATTGCGACCGTGTTTGAACTTGGTCAATTGAGGTTGTGGCGGGAAGAAGAGTGTCCAGTGATTGAGCATGATGATTGTACGCAGAGTGGGTCAAAGATTGCAATGACGTCTGCCCCACCTGGCCGGCGCACTTGCCGCGGGGATCGCCATGGCTGGGAGTAATTTTGTCTAGAGTATGTGAAACTTGATCGAATAGAAGCAAATGCCGTAGTGAATGATAATTACACTCGTTCCAATACTGCAAAGCAACGTAAAATCTTGAGCATACGAGACCGGATTGAAGCCGCCAAAGCGCCCGTGCTGCCGTCTCCCCATCCCCATCCCCATCCATCGTTCCAACGCGGAACGAACGTCCCACCCACCTCCCGCGTCCCACACATCCCTCACCCCCACAAGGATCAACCGAACGGACATTTCCCATCCACCCACACAGCGCCAGCAGGACACCCGCCCTTGCCCACATACATCGGCAGCACGCTCAAACAGGCCATGTCCAACGAACCGTCCGGATTCAGACTCACCACGGACCCGCCCGCGCGGCCCGCCAAGGTGCAATTGTAGGCGCCGTCGAACAGCACCGGGAGATCCACCTCCAACGTCGCCACCGCCTCCTGGATGAGCGACGACGTGCCCGACCCCGCGAAGGCGTACTGGCGCCCCGTGACGGGCGACCAGTACGACGAGGCGCACACGGGACCGCTCGTGCAAGGGTTGGCCGCGACGGTGGAGCCGGGGGTCGCGGAGATGGAGTTGTTGGCGAGGATGGCGGAGAGGATGTGGGTGTCCAGGGCGCCGGTGTAGCCGGAGGTGTAGACGGAGGGGTCGTCGGTGGAGGTGAGGGGGGGTGGAGAAGAGGCCGTTGCCGGCGAAGGCGATGAAGGTGCCGACGTCGTTCATGATGGGTTGAAGGCCGGCGGTGAGGATGGGAGCGAAGCTGGCGCTGTCGAGGTGGGCGCTGGGGAGGTTGGCGAGGGTGTCGGTGGCGGGGTTGACGGCGGCTGGCCACATCGCCGACGCGACGTTGGGGCTTTGCCGGAGGGCTTGGTTGAAGATGACGACCGGTGGGGAAGTAGGGTCTAAGGTCAAAGGCGAGGAACTGGAGGCGTTGGGATCTGATTCGGTGTGTGTTCCGTTCGCACAGGTGACTGACTCTTGTCTGCGGTGGTGTCGACCGTCTTGGTAATAACTGGCTAGCCAGCCGTAACTGCATCCGCCGGCAAGGATGGATGCGCTGCTTGCAGGTGCGGAACTCGATGATGTGCCCGGGTCTGAAGATTGTGGGTCACGTTTGGTTGGGTTTGTGGCTGTGGTAGTTGTGCCGTCGGAGGAGACGGTGCTGATCTGGGGGGTTGCGACCTTGAGGGGTCAGTCTGGTGGATGGTGGAAACGAGGGTTGGGAAGTACGTACCTCAGGGAATGCCAGACCTAGTGTCAATGCCGCCATCACGTTCTGTAAATCCAAGCCCACGTTCATCAGGTTTAGCTCGGTTGAAGCGCTGTTGGAGGCCAAAGAATTCAAGGTCTGTCCTGGGTTCGATGTCACGGTTTGGAGAGCTAGGCTATCGATCAACGCTTGAAATCATGTCGGACATGTGGAAAACAGCTGACCTGTGTAATACATGCCAAAAAAGTTATTGATCATGATTATGTTTAGTACCACATAATTCACCTGTGAGGCAATGGTCGGATCTAGGCCAGTGTCCAACGCAAACGCCCGACCTCCGTCGGATTCAAGGGAGCAAGTTCCTACGCTCTCTGCTGGGTCAAGTTGGGTACAGTCGTAGGTATTCAGTTGCTTAGTAGCCAAGCGTAGGAAGCAGGTTGACCAGGGCTCAGAAGCCCCGCAGCAGCTTAGTGTTTGCCCGGCGCTGTTTTCTGCGTCGGTACAGGTAGGAGTTGTCGCCTTCCAATTTGTCAGATATGGCATGATATCGAGTGTATTCCAGCATGAACTGTCGTAAGCGGCGAGATTATCGACCTGAGTGCCTACGTTGCAACTCGGAGCTTGTCTGGCTTTCAGCGATCCGGAATGAATGCCACCCTGAACAGGTGCAGCAGCAGCCAATGACAGTATTGCTGAAGCAGCAACGATCAATGAAGATGCCATGATGGCTACGTTGCTGTTCGGGAGCTTCATGTGGAGGGAGCACAATTGCGCAATTCGAAATGCTGAGAGGGGTTTTTGAAAGAATGGAACGGAGCCATAGACTGCCCAATGGCATTACATAAGAATTGTCGGATTTTCAGATCGCAAGTGGCTCAATGCAGAAGCGACGTCGACAAAAGCCATTTTGCTAAGAGAGGATGCGCACCATTATTCTTTCTTCGAACCGAAGACACCAGTCTTCGCATAGCTGTATGTGGTAGAGCAATAGGAAAACAAGAAAATGCTATGTTTGATCGTGTATGCGTACAAAGGCGTGTTGTGCGCGTATATCGTTGCGACATGGAGCCGACGATACAAAACACTCGCTCGGAAGCAGAAAGCGCATCAAGAATTTGCGCATCGACCGTTGTAAATGCCAAGCTTGCTCTTGATCGATGTCAGACCCTGTCAACAACTCATATCCCCAGCGGAGGACTCCAACTGCGAGCATGTCGCAACTTGTGCTTCGCCACATGGAACGTTCCTGCGCAGGAAACCACACGTCGCATATGAGCATGAGAAAAACTGGGACAGGAATATGCGTTAGTAAGTAGACTTGAAAATACCTTTGGTTCAAAGCTCGAGTGAAATTTTAATTCCATTGTTCCTTTCCATTCAAAGGCGAGCATGGTCGTAATCCGAAATCGCCGAGACTGCCTTTTCACTACCGCACACAGGGGGTGCAAAAGTACGAGGCCAACTAGACCGGATTTGGACATAGCTTCTCCAGACCAAACTGGCTACATTTCTGCTATTCTACCACTACCAGATCACCACGTAGCTGATTTAATACCCTTGCCACTGTTATTTACAAGCCATGAACAGCGTTTCGGCGTCTCATCGATCCGTTTCTGGATTTCTTCTAGAGAAATCTCCTCCCAGGGGTTGTTATGTGGTTACGTCCAAATCCGGCCTAGTTGGCCTCGTCACTTTTGCACCCCTGGTGACCGTAGATCTCCCGCGTCCAATACCACAAGTAGGTATCGGCCGACGATCCTTTAAACCCGTCGGGACCGAGGGCATTTCTTTTGTGGAAGACGGCAACAGTCATCAGTCATCACTCCTGGCCCAGAGCAGACTCCGGAAGTCCTCCCTGTAAAGCGCGCGGCTGACCATTACCAATCTCTTGATGATGTCAGGAATTCATTATCATCAGATTCTTGGAAGATCTTATGCTCATATCGCGTCCGGCATAACGGCCTGCTGAAATTTAGTCATCTTCCGCCACGAGGAATCTGCTATATACGCCGAGTCGTCTAGTAGTATGAAATGATCATGGCGACTTCTGTGCTTGTTACTGGTGGTACTGGCTTCCTAGGTTCTGCCATTGTCGATGCCGTACAAGAACAACATCCAGAATGGGTAGTCACTGTCCTGGATCTGAACCCTCCAAACGTGCCAAAGAAAAGCATCACATACAAGTGTGGCAACATCACTGATGCTGTCTTGGTCAATACTATTGTAGATGGCATCAAGCCAGACGTCATTATACATTCGGCCGGATTGGTTCCAGAGCTTGCTTTTCGGTATGGAAGGGAACAACGAGACCATGTATTCAATGTTAATGTCAATGGGACTCGCAATATGCTTACGGCAGCCAAGAGCTCTGGTGTCAAAGCTTTCGTCTGGACTGGGTCCTGCACTGCCATCACAGACGACATGAGACACCAGTATCGGAATATAGATGAACGGTGGCCAACATCAAGTCGTTCATTGATATATGGAGAGTCCAAGGCGAGTCGCTGTTCTTTACAGCGATGAATCACCCATCAACTGACTCTCTTGGAAGACTGCCGCAGAGGCATTAGTGCTCGCTGCATGCGATGAAAAGCTTGCGACTTGTGCTCTGAGACCTTCTGTACTCTTTGGGCCTGGGGATTACCAGCTGATTCCATCGGTTCACGCCTGCATCGCCAAAGGAGAAACTCCATTCGTGGTGGGTGATGGGGAGAACTTATGGGATGTGACTTACGTGGGCAATGTTGCAGATGCTCACGTACTGGCGGTGGAGAATCTGCTGTCGACAAGAACTGCCGCTGGAGAGGCAATCTTTATCTCTAACGAGGAACCCATTCCATTTCGAGATTTTTGCTTGGAAGTATGGAAAAACTTTGGTCATTATCCATCATATGAGGTGCACATACCCGTGTCTCTTGCGTCTTTGGTTGGGTACATTGCGGAGTTGGTAACCTGTGTTACTGGTACCCCAACGACGTTGAGCCGCGGAAGCGTCCTTGATGCATGTGGTACGAGGTATTGTAGTGGAGGAATGGCGCGCAAGTTACTCGGGTACAAGCCTCGAGTCGGCATCGAAGAGGGTATCCGCATTAGCTGCGTAGTAAGCCTCCGAAAAAATATTTAACCCCAAGATGTCCATTTGAATCTCGCTAAAATGAAAAAGGACTATGCCCAGCGCTTGAAGTCGTCCGGGGCCGTTGGGAAGCTAGCACACTGCTGATGATACCTGGAATCCAATTCAATCATGAGCTCCCGATACGTCGCACCTTTTAGGGCGATTTATTCTGCGGCCGTCAGCCCCTGGAAGACAAAAAGATGTGCAATCATGATGGAAGAAGGTAAAGTGCGGAACTAAGCACTGGCAGTAGAATCCTCGAGAACGCAGAACCAGAGGACCCGCCCAGAATTAGTGTCAATCTCGTTGTTTCAATCCCGAAGCAAAGCAGTTCAATCCTAAGAGAAGCAGCCGCAGCACTCACGGTAAATGTTTTCCCGATCAAACGCCACGGGATGCGAGAGATCTAACAATGCAGGGCTGGAGCTGAGCTGATTAAGATGGTCGCGACCATTAGCATGATGAGCACGGCCCAAAGTACCCAAATTTATGGGCATTGATTTCTTGCAAACCAAAAACTCTGCAATTCAGCTCAATAACCTTCTTGATTGTTCATTATGCGAAAATCCTTTCCTTAGTATCAGGAGGAGAGGCGACCCTCATTCTAAACTCAAAGTAGCCGCCGCAGCATCCAACAGCGGCGATCGAGCCAATCAATTCAGGTAAAATCTCGCAGAGCCCCAAAACCGGTGGAAGCAACTCAAGCAAGAGCTTCACGAGATACCCAACATTTCCTCTCCATGACAGCCTTGTTACTACTGGCCACGTGAAGCATGCTTCGTGTGACAGGACTAGGGACAAGCGGCATGACGCTCAGTTATACCAGGTTCTCAAGGTCGTCATGTTCATGTTGACTGGCTACGTATCTCGACGCTCTCTTATGCTGATGGGCTCTGTGGCTTGGTACGTTGATTTTCGACTATGTCAATCGCCACTGGTTGAAAAGGAATTTGTAAAGAGAATTGACGCAATGAACGGAAACGTCGCCGACTGCACGAATGAGAAGCTTGCCCGCGGATGGGTATTTGGAATGCGAAAACGTTACCTTGTTCCTGAAAACTAGTGGCAATGAGTTTGGTCCTGGGAAGACAGTACATGCGAAGCATGTAAAATTTGGGGACATGGGGTAGTAGAGCCTGCAAACCCACGCTCGAGCAGACCAGGGCTATAGAATCCTAGGGTTTAGGCTTGGATCAAACCCTCATGCCAGGTTCTAGAGTGGCAAGAGTTGTAACATATATCGAGCGAAGTATAAACAGTGGATGAGAAAACAGCGTGGTTATACCATGTACCCCAATATCTGTTTGGGGGACGATGTGGAAGTTTGCACAACGCCAATAGACGCCATCACCTGAGAGAGGAGTTGATTTCCATCGAACTTCACCACTACTTTGTTGTATAAAATTCAATTGACTAGACTCTAATTCCATTACAGATAAGGATTAGTCCTCACCGATACTGTGTGTATTTGAGAGATTATCTAGACAACGGTGAATTGCAGGTTAGTGTGCTGAATGTAGTTGAATCTTGTATGCTGCTGAGGACATGTGAAAGAGGAAAAGATATTTTGTAGGGGAAGTTGGGGATTACTATCGGATGCCGACGGAAGATATCAGTAACTAGTTGTCACTCCAAATGAGTCACATGCAAACGAATTGAAGCTCTGTCGATGTTTATGAGTGCACGCTATGGATTGCTATCGCGAAATGGGTATCTCAAATTCACGCTCCCCCAACTGTGTCACTCCTTTGGAATGCCTGCCCTCAGGTAAAAAATCACAACTTGGCTCCAAGAAAAGCTGCCACTCCTCGGAAATAGGAACGGTTGCTCGTGAAAGCTCAGTATTGCTTCTCGAAGATCTTCTGTATGGGTTTGGCAGCCTAATACGAGTCAGCATCACGCGTTCGCGTGAAGTAGCCTAGAAAAGGAAATCACGCACATCGATGAATGTCTCCAAATCCTTGTCTAAGCTCGCGAGGTCATCCTTCCTCTTCTTGTTGTCCGCAATCAAGCCTTGCTTCTTCTTGAGTAGGCCTTGCCGCTCCTGCTCCAACAGTTCACGCTCCGAGAGCTCGTGATTGATGCGTGCAAACATCATTGTCCTTTCATCGTCTTCTGTGTGCTCGGGGTGCATTTCGAGGAAATCTCCAACGGGTATCAGGGGGAGCTGCTGGTACTTGTGACTAAGCGAAAGGAATTAGCCTTCATCTGCAGCAAAAATCCGCAAGTTCAAACCTACTCGTACGAATCGCACGCGGCAATCTCGCCTCGGAGGTGCCTCTCTTCGTAGTACAGATTCTGTAGCTGCAGATGTAGCCTGTCGATTTCTTGCCGCGCCTCTGCCGTTGTCTGCTTTGTAGTCCTCACTTTGAGAATTGCGTTGCGGTTCAAATCCCGCAACTGGCCGAGGTGGGAGTACAGTAGGCGTTGCTGCTTGGATACGTCGAGCTGGACTTCAACCGAGGGTACCTGCGAGGCGGCGATGGCGTTGGCTCCGACCAGGTCGATGAGTTGCATACATTGCTCGCGTGTGCGGAGAGATGTGGCCAGGACTGATTGGAGGTAGGAGTCAGTCACTATGTCTCCAGTCTTGGTATCAGCCGTGGATGCTGGCATGGTGAAGAGTTGTGATTGCTGTTGATCGATTCACCAAATTCCCAGACTCTCCCCAGCATGTCTTGGCATTTCCTTGGCAGGCTAGCTTGGATTTTTGCCACTTGGAATGCGCAATGGCTGGACCCCTGCGCTCCTGCACCAGCTGCATCTGATGATGAAAAAGTGCAGTCCTCCATCCTACTACAACAGCTACAAACCCCACGTGCGACTCTCCGTGTACATACATACTTCTATTTCTAGTCTTTTCATCTCTTCAAACCTTTGTCTACGAGTACTCTATATACTTGACCTACTCGTATCGATTGACTTTATCGCATTCTTCCCATCACCCCACCAGCTGACCAAACCAGAAGCCCCGCCCAGCCCGCCTCCCCAAACAAGTCCTTGAACCCAAAAACAATCCAATCCACCCTCCAAATGCCCTCTCTTTCTTCAACATCGCTCGTCATGCCCTATTCTACCCCCTCGCTCACACTTTCGTCTCATGACGGAGCATCAGACGCGCACACTACGGCAACACCTCCACCGGCGTCGCCACTCTCTCAACCCCGGCGGCACTCATCCCACCAACCATGGCGGAGGCACTCTCACGACTTGGACTCCGATGTCATATTCATGAAAGTTTGTCTCTACCTTTCTCAATTGCAGCATCTTTCATACGCTGATCATCTAACCAGGTCGACCTGTTCATTTCCGACCTGGGACGACGCTTAGATTGGATAGAGAACTATGGCAACTTGAAGCTCGATGCAACAGTCAACGGCGCATACTTCACCTTGGATGCCATCCGAGAATCGTGTTCACATGTCTCAGGCGAGCTGATTGGCGCTGGACGGCGACGGGCAAGGATACTCGTGGAGACCGTGGAGAGCAGATACAACGATGCCTTGCCAACCCGAGAGACGCTGGAGGCAAAAGCACAAGCTGGCATGCGACTCACGGACAAATTTCTTTCAGATCTGGAGGCTCGTGCTCTTGCTGTCAAAGATACGGGGTTTTCAGAGATCATAGACGGAGGCTGGCGCATGGCAGAAGAGGGCTTCGAGAAGGCAAGAGAAGTGGTAGATGAGGGGTTGGACAAGGCGCGCCGGGCAAGAGAGACGCTGAAAGAGAATGTTGAGCATGCCGTCAAAAGGGCAAAAGAGCACCGCCTCATCACATACGATGACCTACCGTACCCATGGCAAGTCAATCCTCACATCACGCGGGGCTACCGGTTCTCCGAAAACAAGATCGACTGCATCAAGTCGGCTTTCAACTTCTCCAACGAGACGGTGAACATCTGGTCTCATGCCATCGGCTTGATCATTGTTCTGGCTATCGCGTTCTACTTCTACCCTTCTTCTGTCAATTTCTCGCATTCCTCCAAGACCGACGTCTTCTTCGCTGCGGCCTTCTTTTTCGCCGCTTGCAAATGTCTGGTCTGCTCGTGTATGTGGCACACGATGAGCAGTATTTCGGAGCAGACCCTGATGGAACGCTTTGCTTGCGTCGACTACACCGGCATTTCACTGTTAATCGCTGCTTCCATCATGACAACCGAATACACTGCTTTCTATTGCGAACCCGTCAGTCGCTGGATCTATATCACCACCACCGCCACTCTAGGTGTAGGGGGTGTCATTCTACCTTGGCATCCGACGTTCAACCGCGCAGATATGAATTGGTTTCGGGTCCTGTTCTATGTCTCCCTTGCGGCCACTGGCTTTGCCCCGATCTTTCAATTGAGCTGGACTAGAAGTCCAGGATGGGCGTGGGCGTTTTATGCGCCGATCGGAAAATCCATCGGCGTGTATTTTGTCGGTGCCCTCATTTACGCAGGTCAAGTAAGTACTCCGAAAGGGCAGAATGATAGCTGGACTGATGCATGGGCAGGTGCCGGAGCGGTGGTTGCACGGCTGGTTTGACTATGTTGGAGGTAGTCACAACATATGGCATTTGGCAGTATTAGGCGGCATACTATTTCATTACATGGCGATGCAGAGTTTTTTCTCGGTAGCCTTTGAACGAGGGCGAGAAGAGTGTGGGTACGACATTTTGACGCGGTGAACTAGTGTGGATGAGACCACGGGATCAAGAGCTGACTGGTGGCTGATGTTATAAAGTAAATATTGGAATATATTTATGGACATATGCCTCACCTTTGACATTATTGCATCGATTAGCTCGTGCCAAGGGAAAAGGTCATATGTGCCTCGTAGTTTTTGGTCTAGGGCGAAAAGCAAAGATCTGCAATTTTTGGGCAGCAACTGCTGCACAATCTTTCATCAACGCTTCATCAATGCAAGGGCACAACCCAGAGCCTCTAAATGCTTCTAATCTCGACGGCGAGGATCTCTTCTAGACTCATGATGGAAATTTCAATTGCAGATCATTGGGCATACAGACGATATCACCACAGACAGCCTCACCATCTCTCGCTCTCTTTGGGCGTAAGGCGCTGACCGTTCGCACCTCCCACCCTACACCGTGGACTTCCTCCAGCGATGCTTTAGAACTCAACAGGCGTTCTAGCCAGTGATCAGGATGCATGAGCCTTCCTGCTTAAGCGGTTCGGCGTCTCAAGATCGATGCACATGCCGCCTGCTGGTGCCTACGGTGTCCAAATCCAGGACTGATTTCTGCATTGACAACGAACGCGCACGCCATCAAGGCGACGCGAATGATCCACTAATATCCCTTCTCAGTCCAAACCCGCAATGCATATGCTTTCTCAGAGTGGCGTCTTGGTGTTCTCCACAAGTATTCGTCGATTGACGAGGAAGGAAACAAGTTTGGTACGCAATCACGAGGATCGAGGGCTTGTATCTTCAATCCACCAAATCTCTAGTCGCCACAAACTCTCGCTATTCGTCCATCATCCACGCCTCACGGATACCCAATCTCCGCATGCCGTTATTACCCGGCTCTGTCTTGCGGCCCTTACAGCGTGGAAAGCGATGCTTCTGTCATCACACTCAAGGTAAGAGTCCTTGCGGTCTGACTCTCAAACGTGCTATGTGCCTGTTTCACGGTACTCTCGCCACCCTGTCGGAGTCCCAATTGAGTGGATCACCGTATTGGATGAGAAAATGCCCGTCATCGTTACGCTTTAACTTTTTTCTGAGTGTCCAGCCAGCCGACTGGGCCACACCGCGAAGATGCATACCGCCATTTGACCGTAGACTGCCATCACCGGACGACGTCTTAGGCGCCAACTCATCGTACCGGAAGCCCTGCCTCAACAGATCGTCGTCAGCAAGGGCTGCATCTTTGCGGTTGATCCCTGGAATCCTTGATAATTATCCCAGAAGCAAATCCTGCTATCTGCTCCTTCGGGCGTCAAGATCTGCAGTCCTCATGAGCGACTCCGGCGCGCCGAAAGGATGATGCTTCCCCAGCTGTAGTCTTCTAGTTGACGTCCACTCGAGTCCTAGCGTTGCGAGAAACAGTATGTCTTCGATGAAAGTCTCCTTGCGCCCTTGGCCATGCCTCCGTATATTTGCAACTCTATTGTCTTATCGATGCTAGTAAGGGTTCTATACTGATACTTCAGTCTCTCAACATGTCACACCGGGAAGGCTATCACTCCGATCAATGGGCGAGACCAGGACACGATAGGGAAGACCTCGCTCCTTCCCGCCACCCACATGAAGCCTCTTCCCGAAGGTGAAGGGCCGTCAAGTCATTGGAATGATGTTATCGGGTTAGCTAACAGTCTTGTAGTCCTCATAAACCGTATCCCGATGACCATGGCATCGCGCCATTTGCCTCTCGCCCTGTGTACACGGATGCGTACAGCACGGCCTCTCCAAGCTCACTCTACGGATTCTCTGAGGAGCGTGCAAGTCTTGACCCCAGGGCTGTTGGACCTTTGCAACAAATCATTCCGCCATACCGAGATGAGATTATGGACAGGAATCGCGTTTTGGCTATGCCTCCTCCCACAAGAAGGCCTGGGTCATATGAGCCTCCAGATCGGCTGGAGACTTTGAGCCAGGCGGCGCCGCAACTCTCAAGGATTCCGACCTCATTTCAACATCCCTATTCGCACCCAGAGACCGGGATGGGATTCAATGCAGTGAGATCTCCTCCAGGGTTAACGCGTCGCATGAGTTGCCAGGATTTAAACCAAAGACCACCCTCTTCGGCAGGCAATAACCCATGGGAAACGGAGTATACAATTCCACAGGATCGTGCTGAGTACCTGGATGAACGAGTTGCTTCAAGGGAAGCGGCCATACTGCCCGAACCCAAAGGATATGAGAGACAGCCAAGGAGATTCCGTGGAGGCCGAGATGAGTTTGCTGAAGGCCAGGTTCAGCATTTGCCCAAGATTCAAGTCCAACAGGCTCGGGAACGAGACCTGGATTACGAGCCAATCAGCCTAGACCTTCAAGAACAGAACGACATCCTGTCTCGCGTGAACAGACGTCTTTCCCAATGCGCTTTTGATTTCATTGCCATGTACCAATTCCCGATACCACTGGAAGCTGGAAAGCCCATGGTACGAGTTGCCACTGATAGGGCTTGGACCGAGTGGGTGTATCTGCTGAAGAGGCTGGCTACTAAGCGTCGTATACCTTCAAAGGCAATCTACGATGGTCAGATCAAGGAGCTAACAACATTGCTGGACAATTCCGTGGAGATGCGTCACTCTACCAAGCCTCAGTCGAGACCATTAAAGGATGATCGTCATGTACTCCAACTGATTTCCGCTGGTATCCAAGTGGGAAGAATGCTCAAGGATGCTACTACCATGGACTATCTGGACAGACTCTACAAGGACACAGAGGCCCTCGTCCAGCAGCGAAAGAGCATGCCCAGATACCCAAGGTGACCAAAGCCTACAAGGAAAATCCCGAAGGACCACAGGTTGTTGGCGAAGGCTCCATACAGCCTCGAGAAGACCTAGGGCGTGACGGACATTGGAGAGACCGGCCCCCCATTTGGCAGGTAATACAACAAGGATCGGTGTTTGGACGACTTTCACCCCATTGAAAGTGCGGAGCCAGCAAGGGTACAGCCTTGCTAGCGTTTCTTATCTTTTTGCTTCTTTTGCACCGCGCGCACAAGAATAGCAAAGCCACTACGGATTACGGGATTCAGCCAGGCGTTTGTTTGCCACTTTGGATAATAATGCCTTTGGACCTTTGGTTTGTCTCCATAAGCAGTGCCGCTGGATAGTTTCTTTGAAGTACAGGAATCTGGTTTTTATTCCGGTATGCTCTCCAAGCTTTTGTCCCAGGGCTCCCGGACCAGTTGGGCTCTAGGCGCTTGGAGAGGCTTTATTGTTCCTCCTTTCGGTATCCTCATCACTTTTCCAGCATCCATGAAGTAACATCTTGATAATAAATGCAATATTCCCTGTAAACTGGGCCATTCACCCAAATCATGAGACCGGATATTGACTTGGTGGCAAGCAGTTGCGCACGTCTTCGATCCCAAGTGCTTCCCAATTCGAGACGAACAATGACCATAAGACAGATACCACGCGCTTACTAGACAGCATCGACACACCGCACTAGCGACCAGCCATCTCACAGCTCCTCTATGCTTCCCACACGACCTTTGAAGGAATTTGGACCATCAGTTCGAGCAACTACGTGGGACCAGTCATTGTGACCAGGCATAGGCATCTTCGATTCAATTCCCATGGATTTCTCTTACGTTAAGTGACAGCGTCAACAGCATTGATTTCCTCGGTCTTCTCATACAGTGTCTACTCTGAATCGACGCAGGGGCTGCCTCCAATGCTTCAATAGAGGCCTGGTAAGTTTGTGGCGTCAAGCATTGATGGACTGAACAAGAATAACATTGTTCAATTATTTTTTCTATTTCCGATGTGTTCGGCAAAGCGCTCTGTTCTGTTATTACTTGCGTCTACCTGTTTCCTCCCACAACCCTTTCATAAAGCCTTACACACCATTCATCTACGGAATCTAAGAGACGTTTTAGGCCGTGAATCCTTCATGGCGACAAGCATTCATAGGATGACGGAGTGCATAAAGTTCTGACAAACACGTGGCTTGAGAATCCCAGTCAGCGGCTTCAGGGGTACTAAATCGGGAGAGCTACGACTCTGAGCCTCTCATGTTGGTACAGGTCAATCTAGCCTGCCCTGAGAATGTCGGAACCAGGCGGTCGGGTCCTTGAGCAAGACAGCATTGGCTGAGACATAATCAGAGCATTATTTAGACTCGAGCAACGGTCAAATGAGATCGACGCCCGCGTGCGGAATATTGTTATGTGTAGTGAAGCGGCTCAAGTTGACCAGTCGTCGTGCGATTATATAATAAGCTCTCAGCCAGTCAGATCCCCTCACACCGGCAATTGTGTCGCAGAGCCGCCTGAGGTCACTCTACGCAGACCTTTGACGCCGGACTGCTCGGCGCTCAAGCTTGGAGCCTCAGATGAAAGCACGCAAGCCCATTCGTAGCGAGTCAAGCAAAGTCTTGATACCATATTGGTAGCACTTCTCGCGCGCTTTCATGCCTCTCAGGATAGAGACCCCTTGGGCGGCTGGCTAAGCCAGATCCCATTATATAAAGACGGCCCTCCGTTCAGGAAGGTAGAGTGACATACAGAATCTACCTGCTCGCTGGGATTCCCTAGGCTGCTTGGGGGGTACCTTAGCCATCACAACTTTAGCGCTCCCACTCCCTTGATCTGGCGAACACACTGTTCCTTCGCGTTTCTCTCGGGCCCTTTTGTTGATACGGAATCTTGCTAGGTTGGGTCCAATCTCTCATGAGGATCAGTAAAGTAAGAATAGCATTATTATTGGCACCACCGTGACCACTGTGACTCTGACGGCAGTGCTCTAGGTCCATCGTGGTTGGAATCATACTCTAGGCGGGAGTCGCCCTTTAATCAGCTGCACGGACGGGGCACGAATCACAGCAATTCGTCAGGCTACTCAGGTGTTGTGCCCAATCAATCGCTTCATTCACAGCGCTTCCAGAGCCAACGAGCTTTCACGAACACCCACTCGGCTTTTTCCCCATCCCTGTCATTCCTCAATCGTCCTAGTTCCCTCGTGGCTTCCACTCTTTTTCGGGATCAACCCCAGAAGCGATCCCAGCTCACTAAACCAAGAGAAGCTAGTTCGATTTCTAATCTTGCATCAGCTTGCATCCTTTTACAACGCTGTTGTAACAGAAATTATATTTTTTTTATTTTTGTTTGAGAAAAGCAAAAGGGTCTTGGCGCGAAAATCATTCCTGTAACCGCCCGGCTTTTGACCAGCTAAGCACCCACGCACAACCACTCAATCCCTCACCGCGCGCTGGCCTTGATTGCTAGTCCAATAACAAATCAGGTATGTGCTTACCTTCCTACTCCACCTCTTCCCTTCTCTTCTCCTCTCCTCTTTTCTCCTCTCATATAAGCCCGTCACGCCCCAGAGCCTCTCTTTTCTTGTGCTGCCATCACGGCTCACTCATTTGCCCGCCGCAGGCACCGCCGTCTGATCCTGCCTCGAGTCATTCATTTGACGAGACGCTCTCCCCAACTCGACGGCCATCATGTCTCCTACCTCGACCAAGCCCATTCCTCCCACCATCAACACCACCTCCCCTACCGCCGACACGCCTAAATCCCCAAAGCCGACCTTGCCCGCTCTCAAGACACCTAAAACTGCGAGCCTACCCTCAGAGCTACCACGCAGCCCACTGCCCGGCCGGCTGGAGATGATCAAGCAAGAAGAGGATGACATCAAAACACCTATCACACCACCACAAGCCTACACCGAATTCCTCAGAACCCTCTCCCCTGCCGTCTCCACCCCTTCCACAGGTAGATCGCCAATGTTCGACCGCCTCTCCGGCAAATCCACACCCATCACCCAGCCCTCCAGTGCCAATAGCTGTCTCTGCAGCAGCCATGACATCTCGAAAACAGACTCCGCACCCATGATCCCACCCTCACCATTCATGCGCCCTCCGAACTCAGCACGCACACCCACTCTCCTACGGAAACTGCGAATCCCACAATCACCAGCCTGGTCTCCCGCTACAGACTCGCCAAAAAGCAGCGCATTCAGTAGCGCTCACCGCTCTCCGTACTCACCTGCCGACTGGGTCGTCGATGGGAAAGCGAGATACTTTGAAGGGCCCAGGTCGTGTACACATAAGCCGGTCAGCGTGAGGCAGGTGATTACGAAAACGGTGACATACACGAGGTCGCCGATCACGCCGCTTGATCCGGCGCCGAAGGGGAAGAAGAGGCGGTTGGAGTAGAGCTCGCACCTGCACCTCATACACCTTCAACCTCGCTATGAGGATTCGACCCACATCTGTCCATGCAATCAAAACGTCCATCCATCAACACTACACTACCTCACATCGAAAGCTCTTCACGACCTAATGTTGCCCCCCTCCCCCAATGCCCTTAGGCGCTGCTCGAAGCCACTGCATTACCTATCACTCTACCTACGCGACATGGGAGGCATATGACGTGACGAAACTTGGAGCTCGGCGTCGGACTTGACCCCGCAGACAGGAGTTCTGCCAATTTTTTGTTTTTGTTTGCTCTTAATCTTACTGGCGTATTGGAGCTTGCAAAGGAGACAAGCGGGGGGAAGCTGGGCAAGGCACAGTCAATGTTCTGCGCCAAGATACCACTGTTTGCTTACATCAAATCAATTCATGCTATGTATCGCTTTTCCCACCAATCCCACCCAATCCACCCGCTCTCTCTACACAACAACCATAAAAACAACAACCATAAAAACAACAACAAAAACAAAAACAACAACAACAACCCGCTGATCCACCCCAAATCCCCATCCTGCATCATCTCGCATCTCGCATCATGCAACCCTATTGACCCCCTCCCCCCCTTCCTCCCCCCCACCACCATCCCTGCCCCCCTCGCTCCGTTAAAAGCGGCGATCGAAAAGCGGGCCACCCCATCCATTTCCATCCCCTTGGTACCGACCGCCCTTTTTTTTCCCCACCACCACCTTACCTTACCTTCCCTTACGTAGCTGTAGCCGCCCACGCTAATACACCACAGGGGCGCTACCTTACATTGCGCAACACGCTAACGGGAGGCCGTCGGGGGGGGCCAGTCAGGATCGTCGAACGGGGATCGTTTTTTTTTGGGAAGCGCCGTGGGTTGGGTGGTTTTCAATGATAGAATGGGTATGGGATGGGTAGGGTAGGATGGGATGGGATGGGATGGGATAGGATGGGATAGGATAGGATAGGATACCGGTGCTCTCTTTTCTACCGTTGCACTCTCTCTCTCTCTCTCTCTTACTGCATGTGCAGGGATTTACCTTTTCTGCTGTGGTGTGGTGTGGTGTGGTGTGGTGTAATGTAGTGTGGTGTAATGTAGTGTAGGGAGTACCTACCGAAATCCCGGCGGGGTTCAAGGATCCCAGGCTGCACGAGGAGGGATCGCGGCCGCATGTGTCCCTACCTCGATGTAGCAGGCGGTTAGAAGGACGGTGGGGCCAATCAGCTCCGGGGGTTGGGGGCCGGGTGCTTTGATTGAACGATCTACTATCGATGGGGTTTTTGGGGTCCGAAGAGATGGACGGAATGGACGTGTTTGCTTTGCTTTGCTTTGCTTCCACGAGGGGGGGGATTTGTTGGGTATCTTTTGCGGTTTTGAGGCGCTGGTGGGCTACTTGGTCGTTGGGGTCGGGGAGGCATTGTTTGGAGGGATGGAGGGGGGAGGGGGAGAGGCGCGGGTTTGCTTTCTGGGGTGGAGGGGAAGTCGTCGTGAGCTTGGGGAGAGGGGAGGGGAGGGGAGGGGGGGGTGTGTGTGTGAGGGAAGGCAGGAAAGGAAAGACAGAAAGAAGGAAGGAAGGATGGGAGCGACTACGGGGATGAAAGTTGGAAAAACAAGGAATGTGTTGCAATGGAGTGGGCAGGCAAGCTTCTTGTGGCCCAATCATCGTTCCGTACCCCATCAGCCTGCTCTGGTCATTTCCGGGCCAGCAATCACAAGGCCACCTAGGAGTTACGGTGCACAAGTCTGCAACGCCGCGTTGCTCACGGCTCAGAGTCCCCTTCAAAATGCTTGATACTGCCTGATGGTTCAAGCACTAGCCATCACCGAACCGTTCGTCCAAGGGTCACCGGGCAGAGTCACCGAAGAGGCATTGTCGGGCATCACTCCCGTCAAGTTCAACAGCTCGAAAGGGATGGCCCGGTTGAACCCGGTCGAACCGGCCTGCGAAGACACCGTGTCGAAATATTGCAGTGCAACACCAGCATCTGCCAGTGAGATCGTCGACGCATTTCCAACCTTTTCACCGGGGTCGTGCTTCTTGCCCGACAGCTCCAAACGGATGTTTCCGCGACGACCTTTCAATCACTCGTCAGCACCTTTGAGAAAACATCTGGGCTCTCATGTGTAAACATACCAAGGCCTCTTGCCTTACCGCCCTTGCCTTTCTGTCTCGTGCACATACTAGTGATGGCGGTCACCGCTTCCCAAAGTTCGTACCAGGTCATAACAGTCGCTGGACCCTCAATGTCGATGCTTGCTTGACATTTCCTATCGACTATCCACAAAGAAAGGGAATAGAATATCAGTCGTGCTGTTTCTTGACCTGAGGTAGACAAGCTATGCTTTCTTACATCCTTCTAGCACAAGGGGCAATTCCTCTTCAACGCTCGGGTCTCCAGAGTATCCGAATACGCGAGCCTGCTTGGTAGCTCTCATGTTCACGACTATAGCCACACATGAATTCCACGCAGGTCCGGGAGTCGAAGTCGTGTCGCATTTGACCTGCACATTTCGGAGTCAGTATGACTTCCTCAAGGCAGAAAACTCGTCGCAAAACAAGAGTGGATACGTTATGAGTATCTGCTCCCGAGATATGTCTTAGGACTCAACTATGGTATCGGTTGTAGGGAAAAGGCTCCGTAAACTCACATTCGGTGGTTTGTACTCAGCGATTGCAACATTGACTTTGTTGTCGCCGCCTAAAGTGTATAGGTTTTGACATGTTAGAGGAATACACTCAACATCCAGATACTCCATGCTCGTACTCCATCGGGCTTCGAAGTAGTATAGACTTTGGGTTACAAGTCCCATGGTGCCTGACCTTTGATCACTCACCTATGTTGAAGGCCATACCTCCCATCCCTCTTTCAATAACGCATGTTTGAAGCGTTATCAAGGCGGCTTGGCCGATTTCAGTCGCAGACGCCTTCCCAGATATGGCGCCTGCGCTCAGGAATGGCTGAACGAAGCACAACCCGTCGTCTGTTGTTCATGCGTCAGTGTGAGATGAAGAATATTTGCAGGCCAAGTAGCGGGGCGTTGTATCCAAGAAGTAGAAAGAAGTAGACTATGGGGGTCTTACTGCTGAGCGTTCTCAAGGGGAGCGGACCGTCATTCGGCACCCCGCTGTCACGCTCGGCAAAAGTGTATGTGGTCTCATCCCTCTTCATGAAATTGAATACGTTGCGACAACTGCTTACTTTCAGATTCTTCCCGTATCTCGTTGCGTCGCATGCAATTTTCAGCAATTTGTCAGATGAGGAGTTGTTGCTTGATGGTACTAAGATGTTTGCAGGCGACAGCAAGTCAGAGGATGGTATTGGCCCTGCGGCCAGACTGCCAACGCTTTCGGAACGTCGCGACAGACTCGCAGCAAGGACAGTGTCTGAGTATAGGGCCCATAGTATGAGGCAGAAGAACATGGTCCTTGAATGAGACAGATTGCTACCTCTAGCATGTCAGGATGGCCAACTTCCGCTCATAAAAAGAGAGCCAGTTCAGTCACGAGTCGCGAAGGTCTGAAGTCTTCTTTGCGCCTATGATTGCCAAACACCCTACAAGCGTCATGATGTTTTGCGACGTGCGAGATATATCCTCACTTATGCGCGCCTACCTCAGGTCTCTCGTCGAGCGGCTTTACCTTTGTTTAGCAATTATTCCCCTTAATTCTCCACCCCCTTGCCACATTTCTCGCCCTTCATTGGCTGTATCGTGTGAGCAGCGTATGCACAAACCCAGCATCTCTCGAGGGACAAACATGCTGGCTCATGCCTTAAAGATATAAGCTAAACAAAAAGATGCGATTGCGACTCCAAAATCGTCCTATCCACCCCTATTGCAACAAATCTTGCATGGAAGGTCTAGCCAGGCTTACCCTTCAACTGCACCATCAATTGGAGACTCTCAGCGTAGATTACTATGGTCGTCCAGCGAATCTGATAGACAAAATTAAGGCATGCGACGGCATTAGTAGGGAAGGAAAAAATTCCGCTTCGGATGGTAGTCCCGACGACAATATCTATCCGTATATTGACGGACGCCGCGGACCCGCGGCGGCACATATCGGTTGTACGTTGGGCAGCCCAGATGTGCTCAGCAGAGAGCAAGTCTGACGAGTACTCCGTGCGATGTAGGGACTATTGTTGTTGTAGGCGCCGCCAATGGAAACACGATGCGCCTGATTGAACAGGCCAGAAAGCAGATTGCTTATCTCTTGTTGGAGTTGGAGCGTTAGAAGGAGCCATGAACAACGCTGCTTGTCACCGAGGCCGCTTGAACGATTCTCGTGGTCAACATCGCTGATCTCGTGAACGGAGCGACATATCACAGTCATCTTGTCTCATGATGAAGCATTTCAGGAACTCCATCACATGGCTTCATCTTCGGATGAGCCGATCATGGCACATATCATTCTCGTGTATGTGATGGACGATTGAGTCAGCCAAATGAAGACAATCATCCCGTCGGCCAAACCCTGTCGCCGAGCCTGATCCTAGCCACCTGTCCTCTCTGTGTTACAGTCAGCGCAGTATGCACCCCAAAGAAAACCTTTCCATCCTTTCTCCTCGTCTTGGCCAGCGTAACAAACGGTTCTTCATTCTTCTCCGCACTATGCTGATCTACGCATACCATCTGGCATCTGCGACAGCCTCCCAACACGTCAAGGGTGACATCGTAACCAATGCGTAGGGAGCGCCAATTATCCTCGACGTACGGTTTCTCAGAGCCAGGGCTAGAGGCAGGATCTTCAGCAACGATGATGTTAGCACGGAAGACCGAGGCATGAGCAGCTTTGCCGTCTTTGATTTTGATTTGTTCGTTGAGCCGATTGAGGCTGGAGTGGGATATGGTGAGAATAGGGCTCTCGTTCGACAGTAAGATCGGTCTCTGTGTGATTTTGGGCGGCTGAGAGGAAGATCTGTCTTTGCTTGGAGCGTTCAGGTGCGCTTTCGAGTGTCTTGTCGAGAGGCCTGCCACGGCAGCTGGAAATCTTGCTAGAGTACAAGGTGCTCCGATCAGAGTGGTGAAGAAGTCGGCGATCTGTTTCGACGCATAGGTGTATGCGAGGACGTTCTCGCCGCAGACTTGCGAAGTAGGCATTGAATGTCTATCATCACAAGTTTGAAAAACGCCAGGATCGTCAGAGAGAGGCACTGAAATCTCGTTAGGCGTAGCGGAAGCTACTGGTCCACGAATGCGCACACGTAGGAGTCCCTTCTCTAGATCGAGACTTGGTCTGAGTAATGCCATCTTAGGGAACTTCTTCTGGCTCAACGCTGTTCGAGTGCCTGGATGGACCAAACACCATTCCCTGTCCCAAGCCAACCCTTCTGCCCTGACGTCCCACAGAACGCCCGGTGGTATTGCCCAGCCTCCGCAACTCTTGATGGGATAGATGGTAAGAGTTTCAACGTATAACTCACGGCCGCGAATTGGAGTCGCCTCGGTTCGCCGTGGCACTTCTGTATGATCGACAAAGAACTCTTCGACGAATCCGATGAAAGTCTTCACGTCCTGCATGTTGCTCATAGCACCAAGACTAACTCTGAGCACCCCCGTCGGCTTTCCACCGATGGCATCGGTCTCATTTCCGCAGCGATGGCCGGCAGAGAAGTTGCGCTTCATCTCCCAAGGTGCCAGATCTAGGGCAGAAGCGATTCCTCCAGGATTACAGAGACCTCCGCTTCTTAGCTGAATATTGCGAATATTTGCAAGCTTCTCTACCTCCGTGTTGCTTATCCATTCGCTTTGCTTGTTACGAAGGTTGAAAGCTATGATAGGCCCTTGAGTTCTGCTGTCTCTGTAGGACGATGAAGAGTCTCGGTATATCTGGCAGACCTTGGAGCCGTTGTGGTGGCGTAGAGCATCGAGTTCGTTGCACAGTTGCTCGGCCAGTAATCCAGCGTGCAACGCAACACGCTCTGGAGAGCCGAATAGCCGTTCATAAACGTTCAAAGCGCTGTCTAGAGCAATAATGCTGTGTACTGGCAGAGTACCATCCTCCAGTTGCTCATGCAGATAGCCATGCTTCTGTATATGCCAATTCTCTTTCCCGCATAATACCATTTCCACCGTACCACCGCCGAAGTAGCTTCGTTGTTGCAGCACTGAGGCAGATTCGTTGCGCACGATCAGCGCTCCCAGATCTGGAAAGCCGAAGATCTTGTAGAAGCTCAGAACCGTAAAGTCAGGCGCCGTAGAAGCATTACTGAGGTCAAGAGGAGACGTAGAGACCATAGCAGCGGCGTCGAGAAGGCTGTACACATACGTTCCACGCTTGGATGATCGGAGCCGGCTCGTCCAGGATAGAGGCAAACGTCTTCCGTTCATATTTGACTGAGCAGGGTATGCAAATAGGCCCAGGCTGTTCTCTCCGGGCAGTGCATTGGTACCCTCATCGAGCCATTCCTCAACCTCGTTATCAGACTCGAAGCAGCGGTGTGTACCTTTCGCTGCCTCTCGAACCCCAACCAAGCTCGTATGAGCATCCTTATGATACCCATACCAGAAGCCATGCTCTTGTTCTCGAAAACTCTCCATTACCAACTTGATCCCCGCTGTAGCATTTGCAACAAAGACGAGGTCGTAATCGTCTGGGTTTGCGTTGAAGAACCGTAGCACCTGTAGGCGTACGTCTTCTGTACGACGAGTTGATAGCTGAGACGATGATGATTCAGAGTGGGGGTTTCCAAGTAGGCTTGACACCATGTCTTCAGAGAATTCATCTATAAGAGATTTGGGGTATAGAGTTGTGCCTGCGTGGTCGAGGTAGGTCGCTCCTGCAGCAGACGTGAGTCTCTCGGCCCCCGTGTCTGTACCTTTGTGAGCCTACCTTGAAGCATTGGAAATTCTTTCTCTCTGATAGCATCGATTTCGCTGTTGTAGTCTGCCATAGCTCTTGGGCTTAGTTCTTCGCCCTCGGGCTTCTTGCTTGGCTTCATGGTGGCCATCGCGGCTTGTCTCGCACTTCGAAGGAGGACGGCAGCCGGTGTTCGTGCATCTGTACAAACGACCACTCGCAGGCTGTCTCTGACTCACTGTAGTAGCTAAAGTGGGGAAGTGCCGTCAAAATTGCTATAAAGTGGAAGTCGGAGAAGCCCGATACATGGAGCTTTGATAGTGGAATGCCAAGAGCCTCGTGATACTGAGCTTTTCCAGAGTAATGTCGAGCCTTTCTGATTAAGCTCTGCGTATATACTTTGAAATATTGGCAATACACGTAAATTGGGAATTGTGATAAGCTTCTGAATGTCTTTGGGCCTTAGGGGCTCTCTATAGAATATTCAAAGCATCCACACCCACATACTGACCTGTTTACAAGAATTGGCCGACCACAGGTTCCCGCATTGCGGAGAACCGAGACAATTTGCCATGCTTAGATCATCGATCCATAGCAGGAAAGGCCTATACCTAAGAGGGAGTCAAACTCAACCTCCGGGGTTGCCTAGAATCCCCAATCGCACTATCCGGCCAAGTCCATCAGCGCCTTGCATGCATGACCATAGCCACCAAGCTTCGACATGAATAAAATAGGGGGTATCGTTTCGAAAATGACCAGCGACCCTCTCAATGGAGTCCTTCCTGCACCCTTGATCCCAACCAGCCCATGCATTGTCTCCTCGATCAACACTCCTTGCCCTCGCTCTTGCAGAAACTATCAAAAGACAGACCAGGATGCGCAGTTCATTATTGGGAAATATGACTCCCTGCCGATAGATTCAACCTTCAAGGCTCCTCTATCATATTAACAGGTAGTCCCAGCCCTTCTGCTGCATCACGTCCCGCCAGTGGACGTCCTGTCTTTCTCCCGCATCATCCGCTTGGCGCCATACTTCCTGAAGCAGGCGCACCATTCGGCCGAAGCTCCCAAACTCTGCATGCTCACCGAGGCTTGCGATCCGATCCGCAAAGGCAAAGCGAAATGGTGAATTAGGAGTGCTCATGGATCCACCGATCAAGAGTGGCCAAACGAGCGAGCGATCGAACCCATCGGGTCCAGCGGGGATGAACTCAAGTACTCCTGTTAACCTAGCCACGAGACCTTGCATGGATTCACTGTGTCTTGAAGACTCAGGTATTAAAGAACAGGCGTAGATGCGCGCGGCGAGTAGGTACATTGCGGTCATGTTCTTTGAGAGTTGCCTCGGACGAATGGCACCAGTTTGTGTGGAGGCATGCTCAAACTCTGCGCGTCCTAATTCTGAATGTTCTATGGTATCCAGATATTTTCCAAGCGAGGCGACGAGCGAGCAGATTTGGAAGTGATCAAGTTGGCCGGTGATTTTGAGCGAGTCGAGACAGGCAATCTCCGAGATGATGTACATAACCTTGTCCTCGCAGCCCATAAGCTCGGATAATCCGGAGGTAAGGTTTCCCTCATTCCTCCCACGGTATGTGGCTGCAAATTGAGGGCATCCTCCTAGCATAGTCGCGCCTAGAATGTCGATCCATGAGGTGAGTGTCATATTGAATGGCGGACGCGGGGTTTCATCGTCGACCGGTTCAAAATCGTGCTGCAAATGGAGCCTTTTCACACAGTCAGAAGCCGCCTGGAAATGCTGGTGCCATGGTATATCCGCTAAATCATCCCCTGGTCTACCAACAGTACATTGGAAAAATATCATGCCCAAACTTGCTTCCAGGATCTGCTCATGGTCAGTGTCAGTGTTACGTTTGCATGCCTCGCATATTTCGAAAATAGATGCGCCGCGATGCTTCATGATATCGAGTTCAAGTTGCTCGCTTTGCACTCGCTGGACGGACTTGAGATGGCTTGCAGAAATGCTCAAAGCGCAATGCAGGTAGGCCTTGTTCGACTCAAGAGCACGCAAGATGATCTCTGATCTTGCTGAGCCATGCTGATTGACCTCATGGACCGGGAAAATGAGCCTCAGAACGTTTTCGATAAAGTGGTCCAGCAATGGCCTGTCGCAATCCTCGACATCGATCCGCACTGACTGCGAAATTTGCGGCGTGTCATACCCGAAGTCAAAATCCAACGCCTCCTCAGCTCCAAAAATGTTTTCATTCCCGTAAATTTCATCGTGTACCCAGGCATGCTCTTCCGGAAAAGGTGTCATACCGGCTGTGACTGGGGGTGGATGATATGTGCTGAAGCTCGACGTTGAGGAGTCTTTCCGAGTGGGAACGTCGTTGACGTACATTTGGCTCTCGGTCTTGATGTCAACCTCATACGGTGGTGCGAGGAAACCCTGGTAGTGTGAATTCGCATCGTAAGGAGGGGAAAGGACATTGTTGTACATGTCGAATTGATCGTGGATTGGCTGTTGGCTGAAGTCGTATCCGGGGGAGTAGGGAGAGTCGACGGATGGGGCGCGTGTATGTGGATTTCCTGAATAGGACGCTGATGTTGGCAGGGAGTATGATAATCCTGGAGGAGTGTCCGCACCCATGGAGCCATGTGTCGCTTTCTCCGACACCTTGGTCCGCTTGATGACGGACTTGATGTGCTCCTTCTGCTTCTTCCGCAGAGTATTGTCATTCCACCATAACGGTCGTTTGTATTCGCACTGGAGGCCTAAGTTCCTACAAGCTTTGCAACAATTTTGGCCTTCGTCGCACTTCTTCCTTCGCAGGCGGCATGTGTAGCATCCTAAGTCCGGGGTTAGTCGGTTGACGGAAGGACAGAAGTTGTAGGTACATACCTGAGCGCGATCTTCTATGCATCTTGCTGGCTGCAGCGCTCTTGGCCGGCGATTGCTTAGGCGCAACCATCTGCGCAGACTTGGCAGTCTGCCCTGCTGCTCTTGGTGACATGGGCAAGCTTCTCGTCAGGAGGTATTGTGTCGTGAGCTGTCAAGATATTATGGATATGGGTGCAGATGCGAAATCAAGGCGACAAGTGGGAAGGCGCAGAGCAAGACCGGTATGCTATTGTTATGAGTAGTATTAAAGGGTAGGAGCCTGACCAGCTGGCTCCAAGATATGATGATGACGGGGTGGGAGAACAATAGTTCCACGGTCTGCTGCAGGAGTCCTTGAAGTGAAGACTCGGACTTGATATGGAGTTATATGTAGACATAATTAGAGTAGGGAAAAGGCTTTCCAACTTTCTAGGGTAGGAAGCCACTGTTCTAAAAATGAATATGTGCTTCTGGATGAGGCCCCGCGATACCCAGCCAGAATACCGGCCAGATAGTGAGGCTAGCACGATGGAAAGCCTGCCCAACGATTGGTATGATGGAATGAAATTGACACAAACGCTAACAAGCTTGGAGCTTCCACAGGAAAAGAGGGGTAATTTGCTATTTTTGCCTCTTACGAAGCGCCCAAAGCTCATAGGATCCTGGTCGTCAATCATCATAAAGCTCCATTCATGGTTAGGATCATGCAGTCATACATATCGACCCCTAGCTTCACAATCGGCAGCGGGGCGGGTCGAAGAAGCTTTCGAAATTATCGAATCGCTGCAAGCCTCGTCAAGCTGTTCTAAAGCTACTGCATGTGATTCCGAAGTCGTCACATCTGTTCCGTTGCTTCCCCGTATGCGGCCCATAGGGAGGCAAGGGAGGAATTTGCTTTTCTTGTCGAGCAGCCTGCAGAGCAATATTTGCTCGATGCAAGTTTTCACTAGTCTTTTGGTTGTGGAAAGCAGAAAAGACACCGCAAAAATCGGTGAAATTAAAGAGAACGCGGACGCCATGTTCCACGTCCCAACCTCCAGACTCGCAAATGATTGCGAGATCACGAGATTGAGCGTCGGCCAACCATGCACATGCACCATACGGGCGACGCTATTCGATTTGGAGGTGAAGCACCGCAATTCCTTTCCTTCTTGGCAGCATGACAGGCCAGCAGACGTTGAAACTTTTAGCGCTGGCCCTAAGAAACGTGCCGCTCCAGCGCCAAAATGGAAGCTTGAAAAAGAAAAAAAACGTTGGTGCGGGGGAGCGAGCTTCGTGATAGGCTCAAGCTAGCAGTAAATTAGGCTGACTTGATGCTTCCATCGCTCGGGAAAAGATATGAAAACGGTCGTATTTGCTAAGAATAACTCATACCTACCAGCTACGATGAGTGATAAGTAGCAAGATCTGCAAAAGAAATTAATCCTTCCTGAGATCATTTTGCTTCATTTCCGACGCTAGCGAAAAACGTCCTATGCTGACAACGGCCGCCGTTGGTGGTGGGTCAATTGGCTAGCGTTGAAAAGAATGTCGGCGAATCTTGAATGAGTATCAGCTACCAATGTTACATACTATCATGTGGCTTTTCGCAAAGTTCCGAGGACTTTGAGCAATTGTCGGTGTACTTGGATGCTACTTGTGGAAGAGCCCTGTGGCGATTCGTAGCGACCATGGCTCGTGATATCTAATCAATCGCAAGCCACCTGTAAGAACATCGAAGGACGTTGTGGTTTTATGATGAAGCTCAGGTGACTTGGACCCCCGCAAGGCAAGATTGTGGGAGACCCCTGTGAATCTCCGCTCCACTCAAAGAGGAAGCCGCATACCGAGCATTTCTACTCGTCTTGACAATGTGAATCAGTGGCATCGATACTCCCTATGAGTGGCGGTGAAGACTTCTGATCGACTGAGCACGAAGTAGTAGGTATGAGGATCCCGAACTGATCGCCCGCATGATTTTCTGGTCATGTGAGTAGGGAAGATTGGAAGGGTGGGCAGATATTGGAGCTGACCGTGGATAGGGAATCCAATAAGAATCTTGGTAGGGATGGAGGATCCGAATACGGAGGATGATGTGCGTGATTCATATCGTGCCCAGAAGATGGAGCATGCACGCCATCGATATCACCATCCTGCAAATGCGGGGACAACAATGGCCAATGCGCGTTGTCCCTTGCGCCAATGTTTCTTGGGCATCTCCACTCCTGGTTCCCTCCATTTTTTCTACTGCCGAGACATATAGTCCTGAGTGAAGCCAATTAATGGCACCGAAATGACGACTTCGTGGTTTGACTCTGCAAAGCAGAGCAGAGGCAGAAGAATGGTACCCTTTCCCTTTCCCTTTCCCTTTCCCTTTCCCGTTGCGAGCCGAGCCTGTACTGTGTACTGTGTACTGTGTAGTGGGAGTACTGTGCAGGCTTGTACATAAGCGTAAAGTCTGGTCGTTATTGGCTCGAATGCGGTAGATGCAGCCTTAGTTAAGTAGTAGGGATTTCCTTTCTTCCTGGCGGTTACATAGGGACTTTGTTGGATTTGGTGATGTGGCTAGCAGTAGATGACCATTCATTGGTGGGATACATGTGGCTCGAAATTTAAGCTTTGAGCTTCCTGCACCTCTCTGTTCCTCTTCACACCTCTGAGTGCTCAAGGGTGCAGTCGGCGCACAAGATAGCAACGAATAATACCGCCTTATGGTGTTGATCCGACGTGATGGCTTGAAGATGTAGCCCGCTAGTAGAATGTGAGAAGAATTGTGAAACGGAAACCCTTCTCAGAGTACTCCAGCATACAGAGAGGGGAGCTTCCCTATAACCATGTCCAAGCGCCCAATCCCAAAGGACTTTCCTTTTTTTCCTTTCCTCTTTTTCGCTATGCTCTCACTATCGCTGTCGTGCTAGAGTGGTCTGCGAGGGAATGATTGATTCATCCCATGTTCATTACATACATACATACGAACATACACACATTCTCCAATAGTACTGCTTTCTCCAGGAATCGCCCTTCCAAAACTGGTATCAATTGAGTATTTGCGCGATGGTAAGTCATTGACAACAATTGATCCGCTCAATGAGCAGTCTCTGAATATATTAGGCGTTCATGCCAATGGCGCAACCGAGGGGGATTGAAATGTTCCAAAAAGGCAATGTGCAGTCGGTATTCGTCCAGCCATCGGCACCTAGGCCAGTCTCTCAAGCTACGGAGATGTATGATACCGAATTCGAAGAGGATCTGAGTGATTTCGAGGAATACTCGGGCCGCAGAAGCGAGGAATCGGTGGGTACCCAAGACCATCTCAGCCGCTGCATGTCTAACACATTCGTAGTTTGGCAACCGAAGCAACACAACGGTGTCGACTTTTGAAGAGATCCAAACCCCAGCTTTGAATGATTTTGGAGGATTCAATTTCCAATTACAGCTACAGCAAGAAAAACAAGGGCCGACAAAGCCTGTTGAAGGACCTATTGGACCACACCTATTCCGCATTTCGCAAGACTCAACCAGAACACAGGAACATGACATCTATCTTGACTGGTCTCCTGTATTGCCGCAAGACCTCAGCGCTGGTCCCAAACCAATACTGACGACAGAACGGCAACAGAAAGTCGAGAAGGCTCCTCACAGCAGTGTGCCCCTGCAAGCATGGACACCCCAACAGGTTGGATGTTGGATGACCGCTGCTGGGCTTGAATCGTCACTAGTGCAGAAGTTCCGCATGCATGATATCTCCGGCGCGATACTGAAAGATCTTCAGTTCGGGGATCTCAAAGAGCTTGGAATCGTGTCCTTTGGTCAACGCCATCAACTGTGGGATGCTATACGGAATCTCAGGGGTGGTCTAAGCGTCCCATCAACTCCAGCAGATGACCCATGTTACTCATCCACATCACCCAATACATCGGCAGCACCACAACAGCCCATTCGACAGCGTCGTGCAGATGACTGCTCCAACCCTTCAAGCCCAGACGACGACAAAGCCAAGTCACCAACGGTAGGACGAAGGCGAGCTCGAAGGGCAGTACGACCTGACGATGTCATTTCTCCTGGAGAATCCGCGTCGATCGTGGCCATTGAGCAACTCCTCCCTGAGCCGCATCATTGTTCGAAGGGGGAGAATTGTTCAAAATATAAGAAATACCAGCGCAAGATGGCAAGGTTTGCGAAAGAGTTCCCCATGGAATTGGAGCAGTACCAGGATGCCAATGCTGCTCCCAGCGAAGTCAGCATGCGGCCAATGTCTGAGGCAGTACCTTCTGTCGTTGCATCGTCGGACCTCCTAGGACCAGGTCGCTTGCCTGCACTTCGCCTCGATGAGGATCTCCTCCGCGTTGTCCAAACCCGCGATCCTCAAGAGAATGTCAGGCAGTTCCTCAGCTTCCAGCACCTGGACGAGCCTCCCGAGGAATCCTCAACATCTCCGTATGAAATGTTTCCTCCGCTTTCGCCACCAGGACCCACACAAGCACCTCATAGCAACCTGAGCCTGCTTCCCAAGCTGACGATTCCAACAATCCAGCCACAGGATGCCCTTTCTGCTAATCGCACTGCTGTCCCATTACGACAAAATTACACCCCAGTCACAGCTTTGTATACGAAGAACGAAAACAATGGCTCTAACATCTTCAGACTTGGCAGTCCGGCTTCCGCAATGGACGTTCCCGTCACAGCGATCCCTCTAGGTCCGATTGAGCGCGACGCTTCTCAGTCCGTACCACCAAGCATGCGACTTGGCGGGGACCCCATCTACCGCTCGAACTCTCGAGCGGACCATCGTCAACAGTTTCGCCAGCAATTTTCACCAGTCGATCGCCGTCAGGCGTTGTCGCCCATTCCCCGCGCACAGACTGCCAATCCTATTGAGCGATCGAGTTCCCATCGTCATCAGCCAAGGTTTGCCATGGCCCCTTTGCGAGAAACGTTTCTTTCTCCCATCGATGGCCAAGACGAATTGACCCCTACAGCCAACGACGTCAACTATGCCGGCTGGATGAAGAAGCGCAAGACGAAAATGCTCCGTCATGAATGGCACGAGAACCACTTCCGTCTCAATGGCACTCGTCTCGCTATGCACCGAGATGAGAAAGTTAACGATGCTCTTGAGTACATCGACGTCGACGAATATGCTGTCGCTTGTTCTTCGCTTGCATCAAACAAGCTCAACGCTGCTTTTAAGTCCCTGAAGCTTAGCAGTAAAAAGAAAGACGGCGATGATCATTCAGCATTTAGCTTCCAACTCGTGCCCGCAGCCGAGAAGAAGGGCATTCTTGGCGCAGCGACTGGAAAGACGCACCACTTCGCCGTCAAGTCTCGCGACGAGCGCATCGACTGGATGCGTGAGCTTATGCTCGCTAAAGCAAGACAGCAGAAGGCTGATGGGTGCGAGATCAACGTCAATGGCAGTATGATCTAGCCACCCCTCACCCTGGACTTTACACTCCTTCGTTTAAGCTTTAAGGGCGGATCATTTAACATTTCCTGTCATATATTTCTTAGGTCGGGGTGGAATTGTGCATAGCGAGTCACTTACTGGGAGGCAGCATTTTCCCCTGGGAGGCATAGCGTGAACCTAAAGGTCGATATGATAATGTTTCCGATTGTCAACGTCTACCATTGAATGAGCGCTCCGGATACGCCCCTCACGACACCCTCTCAACATACTTCATAGCTAGGTAGTTAGATGCAATGAAACAACATCTTACCACCTCTACGAAGGTTGCGAAGGTGACTGCATCATCAAAGGGAAAGCAAAGATCTGTAGGACGGCAAGAAGATACTTAGCTAGCTCGGCTCCTTTGTTTGTTGGCCAGACCATAGAACTAGCGTGTCTGCTGTCCAGATCGATAGGCACTACCTCCGCTGCAACGGTGGCACATCACATGTGTTTTAAACCTTTCCTTCGATCAGGTCTGGCCTGATGGTTGGTGTCGGCGGTGGGGCTTCGAGCGCGAAAAATGGCCTTGAAAGGCGACCCTATCAACGAACCGGACGACGGATCTGGAGGCGTGATCTGATACGACTTCGGGAAAGCGATTCATGAAGGTCGATCCGGGCGAACAGGACCGTCGAACGACCTGCTCATTGCGGTACACCACCCGTAGGCTTGACAACAGATCATTGAGACCTCCTGGTTATTCTAAGCCGTGGTCGATCCTCAATGGATGAGAGATATCCGTATCATACACGTCTGATTTCTGTATAACGAATGTAGAGGTCATGGGAATAGCGGAAAGGTATTACACGCCATGCTGTATTACTTTCATACCCGTAGAGATCACGCCAAAACATCCACAGTTTCTAGTGATTACCGTGTGACTAAGGGCCTATTGCTGTCTCTGTTCATCTAGTACTCGTGCTGGACCCCTTGAGGTTTACGTGTCTACTTTTGTCTTTACCGCTGGAGAGCAAAGAAACTGCCTTCGGTTCCCATCCTGGACTTGAAGGGTCTTTGACAAACGGGGTCGACAGCGAGCAGAGATCACGGTAAGCAGCTGGTGAAAGAGCGAGCGGCCGGCACGCCTCTGCATTGTCGGATAGTCGCTCTCGGCGTTACCTGGATACAGAGCGTAAGACGTTTAAGGCATGGAAGTGCACCATGTCCGTTCTTCTCGTAGAAGCTGGAACATCTAGATCAACACAAGTTATCAGGACTGGAATCATCGGGAACGTTGGCGATCGAGGTTGTGGGCTGCCTTGGACTGAGATCGATTGTAATAGCGAGATCCGTATTAAGAAACGGTCATTGCCCGACACAAGCGTAAAGATGAGCAGGGTATGACGATAACCTGGATGTTTCTGAGCTGGGAAATCTAGAAAGGAAATCCCAGGTAATTGGATGCGGCAAGAAGAGGATTGTATATGCTGAAGGCCGCACAAGGCCATCCACTGGGATCTCTGGCTTGCAAACCTGGTTCCTTTCCACTCTCTCCCAAGGATAACCGATCGCCGGACTCCAGCGATTCGGTTCATATCAGTTGGTATATGCTGAAGCAGACGAAGCGTTACCGGAATCATCAAAACTTTCCATGTGCTTCCAGGCCGAGTGACGACCAAATTCCTGACGGTCCTTCACGAGTACTTCATGCTCGACCACCTTTGACCCAACTCTAAGATCGATGACTTTTACTCCCCAACGATACCTTGTACGTGAAACACAAGAAGTCAATCTCACTATAATATGTATACATTGGCAGTCGCCAAAATCATTCCGGGAGCACTAGGAGGTCTTGTAATACTCAGGTATCAAGTCATACCTGCAGACGGTGTCATTCATCATGATCTGCTATCACCAAGGATAGTGCAGCAAAGCGCCAGACCCCTCCTTAACCCAAGGCTGAATGCTGCCGTAACGCTAAAAGGCAGTATCATACAATTAATACATTTACTGAGCATCTACAAGTCAGTGATTTGGCTCATCTGGAGGCTTTGGCTCAGGAGCTCCATCTCTCACTGGCCATCGCGGCTGGTCGAGAGGACTGGGTTCTACCTTCGATGGTGGGAGTTCTGGTGGTGGATTTGCGAGTGGCGACCTTTCATGATCGGGTGAAGGCAGCTCCTTGTCATGGATAATGGCACCTCCTTTGACATCGTGGCTATCGGGTAGATCCTGCGTCCAGTCAGTCAAGCATTCTGAACGTCACTAAGCAGAGATTCTACCTCTGCTTCATCTTCTGCACTGCTCAAACCACGCTCAAGCGCCAATCTCTGAGCTGCTTGCCGTCTCTGCTCCACCTCAGCCTCCTCCTGCAGTCGGACACGCTCCTCTTCGTGCTTCAGATCACTTATCGACAGTACATCTTCTTCTGCCGTCTCTATCAGATGGCGATTTCTGCCACTGGAAGTCGACGTTCCCCTCCTTTCCTTTCTCACACTCCTCGTGTCCTTCGACGACCCCGTCTTCGTCGAGGCCCTGGACCCAGACGGTCTCTTCCCCCTTGCCCTTCCACTACTGTGATCATCAGACGTAGTCCCCGTAGTCCGCCGCTCCAACACCATCGCAAACTCGTCATCCAACGGCACGGCATCATCCTCATCATCGCTCGGGAACAGATCACCCCTCGAACTTAACGAGTTGGTCGTACTCCTACTCCCCACCGTCCCACTCCTACTCCTCGTATGGCCTCTCCCTTCCCGCTCTTCCCCCTCCTCAATCAACGGCTCCGCTTCCACACCCCTCCTCCCAATATTCTCCTGCAGATTCGCAACATTAGGTTTGTATCGAACCCCCCTCCCCCCAATCTTCCACGGCAATCTCTCCAAGAACCCAAACATACTACTCTTGGGCAACATCTTAACATCATCCTCCCCCTCCCCACCTTTCCTCCTGCCAACCCCGCGACTCCCATAACTCATCCCCCCATGCTTCCCCGGCTGTGCCGTATCATCCCCATTCAGCAACCGATCCAGCTCATCGTTCCCCCACTCACTCTCATCCTGCTCCCAATCGTCATAGAAATCAAACGCGAGGTTCTCCCTCCCGCGCCCCCGTCGGCTGTGCTGAGATTGGCGCTGGCGCTTCTGGCGGAGGTCGTCGCGGACCGCGAAGCAGGGCTGGCAGGACGCTTCGAGGCAGGTGCTCAGAGAGGCGAGGCAGGGGGAGATGTAGTGTTCGGAGAAAGTGAAGAGGGAGGCTTGGGTCGTAAGGTTGGCGGACTCGATGTTCTGGGAGATGTGGTTGAGGGTTTGGCGGATGCGGGGGTCGGAGGGGCGCATTATCTTGGGCTCGGAGGGCTGTGACTAGTTCATTCATGTGAAGGAAGGATTCAGGCGATCAGATCGCAGGGATTGCTTGACATTGTTCGGTATGTTGAAGGGTTGCTTTCTTCGTTGCGATGGTCAGGCTGTTCAGCTGATGCTTCGATGGCCAAACCGGAGCGGAATCGGCAGGTTTGCCGGGTGATCGTCAGCCCTATCAAAATGGGTCGCAGTCTGAACCTTCACATGTTGGACGTTGTATCAGCGCATCGACCCGGAAATATCTGTTATTCATGACTAGAATCATTCAAAGAAGAGCATTAGATTATGGAAGACTTCATGGCTGACGATGCTCTGTTCGATCTTTTGAGGATTCGCATCACCTCGACTGCCACCTGTTCTGGCAGCTTGCCTGCGTACTGGGAGCATTGATGAGCATTCCACTATCAGCAATGATTGTTGCGCAGACGAATGCCGATAGATTTTGATGCCTGAATGTGTTGCTACCATGATTTGCACAATGCAGTCAAAGTGTACATTCTAATGGTCAAGTGGACTGATTTCCACTGACGATCAAAACCATGGCAATCGTTCTTCTCTGATTTACAATTTTTTGACGTGTCCGAAATATCCTCGCTCGTTTTTCACAACTGGATCTCATCTGTTGCAATTTTCATTATATACACAAATTGAAAAGAGACCTATTCACAGACCAAAGAGTACAGATAGAATGAATATTAATGCTTTTAGTGTTTCCGTTCGACTTCTAGAAGAACTTGCGGTGCCAGTCTTCTGGGGACCCACAATTGCACCGCTCGAAGACGCTTCCGAATTCGTTGCCGAAGATTCTGTGCTTGTCAGAACGGCGCTTGAGCTAGAAAGACCAGCAACCGATGTTGTCGTTCCAGTGGCAGTCGGACTTGTTGCACTCGAGTCCGCAGTGCTCGTAGCGTCCGCTGAACCATCCATTGAGCCGCGAAACGAAGGGGAAAGCAGGTCAGAAGTAATCGCAGGTATTGATGCGGACACAGCTGCCATGTCCACCATGGATGAAGTCGTTGCTGAAATCGTTGCTAGATTGACGGAGCCTGCCGTAATTTCCACCAGATAGGTGGGGAACGCGTCTGGCGACTCCGATGGGTAGAAAGAGGTGCTGGTGCCAGCAAAGCTGTAGCCTGGAGATGTCGACGTGACGAGACAAGTCGCGGTCGGTATCGATGGTGTAAACTCACACTTCCACACGGTTGTGATTCTAATTTTGTTGTCATCAGCGACTAAATCAGTACTTGAACCTTTAGATTTTGAGTACGTTCGCAGGAAGAGGCTAACGTACGGCTGATCTGCTTCTGTGAAGATGGCGGTCGAAGGACCTTGGATCACTGTGACTGGCCCGCAGGATTTATCAGTGGCGCAGTCGAACACGAAGGTGGTTGCCGATGCATCCTATCCGAGAACATGTCGGGTTAGCCAGATTTGGCCGTATACAGCGTGACGCACAAAGCAGAACTGCTCACATTGCCAACGACAGATGCCGAAAAAGAGTTCAAAGGGTACTCCACAGGGACGAACAGCGAGGTTGTAGATTGGCCTGTGGTCCGAATCGCAGCGTAAAGAAGCAGGCTGATAAGGTGGAGCAAAGACAGGGAAGACTGCATCTTTCTAGGGTCGACGAGATTTTTCTATCTTTCTTCTTTCTTTCTTTCTTTCTTTCTTTCTTTCTTTTTGTATTAGGGAAATAGTGGAAGAAATCCTTTAACTTTAACGTCTCTTTTCCAAGATTTGAGTTCGAGTTGGCCCTAACTTCGTATTCGAGGCCTGTCTTTAGAAGATAGGGGCACGCCAGGACTTTCGAAAAGCATAAGGCTAAACCTTTACTGCGGAAGATTATCCACGTGTGCAATTTGCACTCTTTTTCTCATCCTCAGCCAGCACCTTGATTTTTCTGATCTTACTTTGATTGGACTGCTTAGAGAACTGACATAGAGTAGCAGAGAGAATTTGATACGCTGACCCTTTCTACAAAAGCCGAAATGGACGGGAACATCAAAATCGTGTGCGAACTCGATGGTCTAGACAAAGAAGTGCCCGAAGTGGACAATAATAATCGAAGATGGAGATTCAAGGGATTGATATCTACCCATCAGCATTCGGCGAATCAAAGGCCGAAATCGAAGGGAGCAACGTAAGTGCAGTAATGGAAAGAGATGCTCTTCACGCGGCTCATGGAGCTGAGAATTAGTTGATATTTGGTACAGGAAAAAGGTCCCAGAATCTATTAATCTCCGGCCCTTGCCAGCAGGACCAGAACGGATCAAAACCCAAGCCTAATAGTACAAACACATGAAAAGACCTAGAACAGATTCCCCCGGCTCGCAATACCATCGACTGGGAACGCGTTCGCATCAGCTCCAGCATTCGCCTCCCTCGGCATAACCGCATCAACCTCGGGCGACCACAGCATCGTACAACTGCAATTAACCGGCCTATACCCCTCCGGATGCTCAATCGTATGCTCCGGCATTGGTGGCGTTTTCCGCTCTTCGACCCTCTCCCTAATAGCAACCTGCATAGCAGACGATGCATCCGGGAGCTCCGGCGTCTTCGGCCCTTCCACCCACTCCCTCGTGGCGAGATGCGCCGCGGTGGCAACATGAACGGGCGGCGGCGGCGCGCATCCGCGAGGTGTCGAGCTTGCAGATCTCCAAACGTGATACTGCCGGTCGTCGGGGACGCACCGGCCGCGGCTTGCAGTCGGGGTGTCGAGCTGGCGCTGACGCACGAGGTCAGTTCTTCAAGCCTGACGAGCAGCCCCATGGCTTTTGCCTCGAGACCCGAGACCTGGTTCTCCAACGCCGTGACGCGCTCCAGCGTGGCTTCCGAACCGGCCTCCGCGGCCGCGGGGGCTCGGACCCGCGTGTCGGATTTCCCCGTCACGGCTGAGGCGGGATCGAGACTTGGGGCTGCTCCCCCGCGCACGCTCCTCGTCCCGGACATGGGGATTGCCGGGAAAGGGTGTCGTTCCGGAAGCGAGCGCGCCGGTGACGAGTGTACCAGACATCATCGTATCAGCCGTACTCGCAGCCTCGCCGCCCGGAGCGTATATGTTCCCCATTCTATCAATCGGTTAGCGACAAGCTTTCATCCGTTCTTCGGGCGGGGGACACTTACATCTTCCTCCGCTTCCTCCTCTCCGGCACCGATGAAGCCTCCTGCCCCGGTAAATGGCAAAACTCCCTCTTCTTATCCTTACTCGTACAGTACGCGCATTTGCTAAAGGTCCCCTCCCAACGATAACAATCTTGCTCGAGTTCCACACAAGCAGTGCAAGGGTGGTCGCTGATATCGCCTTGGTCGACGATATGGCGTGCGCGGACGACGGGCTTCGTTTCTGAACGAGCGTATTTCGGATAATCCTCGTGGGTTTTGATGGGTTCCATGCGCACATTGAAGGTCGTTTGCATTTGCTGCATGGTGGGCATTCTTTTTTCGTGGGCCTGGTCAGGAAAGTATGATATTGAAGGTTTAGTGATGTGTGCTGTGGAGACGGTGGAATGCGCACAAGGTTGGCGAAAAAATAGGAGCGCGTGGCACTTTTTCATCTTCTGGGAACAAAGACAATACAACGACATTCCTCTTGAGGCCAACCCGGTGAAGTAGAGACAAGGGATGGACAATGTGAGCATCGAAGATAAAGGACTTGGCTTTGTGCTCTCGTGATGTGTCGATTTTCATTCAAGGATTCAAGGAAACCAAGTACAGGCACGTGCTTTCCGCGCCACGAGGCGGCCACATTGAAAAACAATCGTACTCGTAGGCTTTGTTACAAAGACGACAAAGTATCTTAGGAAAAGCTGACTTGTTCCAGGCTGAATATAGATCATACTCGAAGTAACAACAAGGAGAAGAAACGTAGTATGCGGTAACGTCGAACGACAACGCTTTGGCGTAACAAGCAGGCTTTCAGTGAATACATCCTTATTCAGAGACATCAATCCCACACGCGTCATTGGGCAAGCTTCAATCCAATCGTAGTAATGGTGTGAAGTGGTGTGTGTATTTCGGCAAGCACCAATGCAATGACGTGACCTCCAACACTACCGACTCGCACAACCCGCTTGGTACTCGGGCCCGCAAGTTGCACCTGTCTCCTTTCTTCTTCTCCTTCTTTCAATCTTTTCGAATATGGGTATCGGCGTAAATTTTCGGGGCTCAGAGCCTTGCCAATATTGCTACTTTATCACCAAACGCCACTCACAGAGAAGAGATTCGCACATTGACCATTTGCTTCATCCGAGACTTTACAGAAACAGCCTATCAAAAGCTTTGGGCGGACACCGTGGCAGGCTGTAAAGAATTAGAATTTTTACCATCTTGACAATGCGTGGTAACAGCACTTACCGGACTGTTCAGCATATTCTGCCTCTTATTTCGACCTTTTTTGATATGGCTCTTCAAAGCACTTGAGTCGAGCGGCTTCAGAAGTTCGAAGCTGCACAGCAGCTCGCTAGACACTGACATGACCGCCCCCCAATTATCGAACTCGCCGCAGTACTACACAGCCATCAGCCTCGTGCTAGAAATTCACAGAAATCATGGGGACTTACGTTAGGCGCCGAGAACACAGTGACCAGGATGCGATCATTGAAGAATTCATAGCCATCCTCCACCACCATGTGCGCCCTGCAAACAAGATCGAAGTCATGCCGCTGCAAGAATTCCATAATTACTTTCTTCCCGAAACAGTAGCTCACACCTCTCTCGTTAGCTTCCCAATCAGACTCCATGTCAGCAGGATCACTCCAAAGCAGGTCGTTGAGCAGGCCGTAGTCAGGTACATCCGTAGGTCTGGCGATTTGCCGAATGTCGTCCATGTGCGTCAAGCTCGGCGAAAGGCCTCCATGAACACAGAAGATCTTCCCTGCAACAATGGCGGCAATTGGAAGACAATTGAAAGTATCAACAAAGGTCTTCCAGACCTTGATGTTGCACCTGCGCTTGCACTCGTCGTAGAAACCGTAAACTCTCGTCACGTTGGCGCACTCATGGTTGCCTCGGAGCAAGAAAAAGTTCTCTGGGAACTTCAACTTGTAGCAGAAAAGAAGGAGAATCGTTTCCAGACTCTGTTTCCCTCGGTCCACGTAGTCACCAAGGAACAAGAAGTTGGCGTTTGGGGGAAACCCGCACATTTCGAACATCCTAATCAGATCGGTATACTGCCCATGCACATCGCCTACGATTTTGACTGGGGCCGAAAGCTCAACCAGGGCAGGCTGTGACAAAAACACTTCGCGCACAGCGTTACAGATTGCTGTGATCTCAGCATTCTTGAGACATACGGCTTTAGTGACCTTTGTAGAGTAGCCCGCATCCAGCAACCTGGTAATCATTTCATCTAGATCAATCGACTTCAGAGCCCCGATACCCATCCGCGGAGAGGTGGAGATGATCGCTCCATCGTCTGTAGCCCCGAGATATGGCGATGCGGGGGCCTTTGGAGCCTTTCCTGACACGGGATTGGTGACGTTCTTCTTCACTAGTATAGACTCCTTAGGCTGCTGGTTATGCGACGGATGCAAGGTGCCTGTAGGCGGCCCGTCCGAGACATGGTCCACCTCGCCTTGCTGTTGTGCCCTACTGATAGCTTTATGTCCTTTGCCAACGGACGCGGAAAGGGTTGGCGATGGCGGCGGCTGGGGTGTCTCCAGTCGTGGGCTTGGGGCTGCTGAGTCGCCATCGACTGTAGGAGGCACTGGATCTAGTTCAGGCTTCGAGCTTCCAGATTTTCCACTGGCGCCAGATTTGCTTGATCCTCTTGTGTCGGCCCTCTCTAGATTGCCACTTGTTGCATCTGCTTGAGAAAACGAGCTCCTTGGACTGTCCGATTTCTGAGCTCCTGGAATCTTTGATCGCAGGCCGCGAAATGATCGGGAGGATTCTTTGGTGTCCGACTTGCTGAAAGAGGGATAAGCTTGAAGGCCTTCGCTGGATTTGTCTAGAGATGTTGAAGAAGCATTCTTAGGCGTTCTTGTGCCGTCGCTTGCTTTCGAGGGCTGCTGGCCCATCTTTCTCTTTTCACTTTTAACTACTTACTCTCCCCCAATCGAGTGTTGATGGGTAGCACGTGCGGCTGGAGAAATCTTTTGGAGGTTGGTTGTCCTTCAGAATACAACCAAGGTCTCTTCCTTCACTTCGTGTTTTCACACCTCGGTATTTTGATTTGTAGGCCAATCCTAGGCTTATCTTTTGCTTTCCTTGCGCAATGCGACTGGTAGTTATTGGCAGGGCTCAGGCCGTGTTACGGGGGCTTGAATAAAGCGAAGAGAAGACACAGAGATCTAGGTTCAGCAATGGACCATAAGGCTCTTGTGTGAAGTTTCGCGATTCTGCCAGCCTCGTTGGAGAATGAATGAAGCGTCTTGTGATAATCCAGCTCGGTGGCCGCGCAATGCGGAATGCAGTGGACAAGCTGTGTACAGCGGATAAATCAGCTGTGCGTAGTAAATATGGGTGAGAGGGTTGGAAGATCAAATGCGAGCCATGTAATGCACTTGGTGAGGTATGTCTGGCCTTTTTGCAGGAGCAGGAACAATGAAAGATTAGTTAGTTGCTCGAAGTGCCCCTCACTAAGCAGGGCAGTGTCTGCAGCCTGAAGTACATGAGATAGAGTACGTACCTCAACTACTTGCGAGTCAAGCCGGTTGGTGATCAAGGACACGACAGCGCTTTCGTGTAATGTTGCAGATGGTATTGTTGTTGCAGAGGCCGAAAAGAGGGAGGTGGTTGATTAAGTCATCGCCTGAAAATTAAGCTTTTGGGAAGCGGCCAACGACTTCTCCACAGATGCCGGCGACAGGATAATCAGTAACCGTAATGCGGTCTAGGCTCTTCTCTTTTTTCCTCTTTCTTTCGCTTTCTTACAGGCTCATGGCGTTAGGCATCAGGCGTCAGACTACAGCGCTTGGCGAGACGAACAGTTCAACTACATGTAGGTTTGGATTTGTGTCGGAAGAATAGATTCAGCTTTCTACCTATGCTTGCGGTCACAGAGAACTACAAAGCCATAGGTGATTGACATAGAAGTGTGCCTCTAGGCCACGACAGGAGTGATTCTGAGTACAGCCAATGAGAATCTGGATGGCGTGACACTGTGTACTACCTCGTCACTAGCCAATGCATTAGGTTTGGAATGGCATTAAACACAAGACTGAGTGTTGAAACCTCAGTGATACAGTCATGCTGACCAGGAGGACCCTTGTGTGACAGACGGCCTTCAGGTCCTGCACTTCCACGCATCTGTTGATAACCTTACTGACACTGGAGGGATCTCCGGAATCTGGTGATGGAATGACCTGTGCATTCAGAGGTGGCATGTCTCATGTCGATAGATAAATATTAATCTGTTCAGGGACCATCCACCTCAATCTTTGTAATGTACTGGCCTGGGACCACGATAAGCCCGACAAAGCGGCTTGTCATATCTACCTTCAAGGTCGCTGTAGAGGATGTTCCGGAAGATGATTCGGCTGCGGCTTTTACAGCGTTTGGAGTGGGTTCGCGGTACTCGTAGGATTGAGTCAGGATGATGTTGCACTCCTGAGACACGTTAGCTGCCGATACGATGGCCTGTAGATAGGGTGACTCGCGTTGTCGGTGCACTTGAAGTCCCCATTAAACATCCGGGAATCACTGGTATAAACGCACAGCTTCTTGTTCAGCAAAGTCTGTAAATACTCGGTAGCTTCTGTGTTGTCCATGCTCGACGCGTTTCGAGGCTATTCCTGCCTGATGTCTCAGTCGCGTGTCTCGGGACTTTTAATTGAGGCTCTGCGGATTGCTTGGGATCGAAGGCGCATCAAGCTAGTTGTGGCGGCTGCAGCTTCCTGTAACCATCCATCTCACGAAGATGGCCACTCCATGTTGAGCAAGTCCTGGAGGATTTGTGTAAGCAGCAGCTTCTGATGGAGATTTGCTTGAGGACTGCAGGGTGAAAAGAGCACTGCGCTGGGCATGGCGACGACAAAAATGTGTGGGTCACTAGCGCCTCGTTAAAATCTGTCTTTCTCGCGGAGATGCAACCAATTTACCAAACAACCTCCGCATCAAGGTGCGCTCCTCGTTCCGTGATACTATCGATGAGTTTGTTGGGCTCAGAGCCTTGCCTTCCGTTTGAGTGCTTGTCTTCTTGCTATGCAGCCTTGTTTTTTCTCTCAAAAAACGTCTGTTGTGCAATCTGACCCCAGAGACACGTAAATTTCCGCCTCGTATTGCTTGTATAAGCTGTTACGTGTTCTGCTTGTAATGTCCTAGATTAAATTTCTTATTGAGGGAACAACTTCTTGAGTGTTGGTAGTTCCTATCAGGTATGGCTAGCCTTATCAAATTCTTGCAGTCAAGTCTCGCATTGCCCCTGTCAGGCCACGCTTGAATTTGAAAATATCAAAAAATGAAAGCAACGCAATAAGAACGCTCATTCGAGAATGGTTGATTTTCTTCTCGAAAGCCAATCCAAAGGGTACAAATTGCCGGCAGTGAGCACGGCTTCTAGTTCAGAATCACGTTGGCCTTGCTTTCTCCGGATCAAAGCGTGCTTCTGTGATGACCTTCAATATCCAGCTTGCTGTAAGGTCATTGCCCGGGCTTCTCCTTTTATGCTTGTACTCCGATCCGCAAGAATGGATATGGACTTTGTCCAGCCCGTAAGCTCAGAAAGAGAGCACGAGTCATGGCCACGGAACCCTGCCTTCTGGTTCATGATTAGAGCAAAGAATGTGAATGAGCATGGTCCCACGGACTTTGGTCCGAATGACTATGAAAGCGATCGAGTAGTCCCTTGCTAGTGCGTCACTGCCTAAGCCCTCTTTTTTCATCATCACATAGACCTTACCTCACCTCGTCCGTTCTTATTAAATCCTCCAACCAATATTCTTCCGGCCACATTCTCTTCAGACTATAACGCTCGAATATTCACACTTTGCTATAATCAGAACCGAGTCTTTTGCTTACGAAATCCCTTCCGATGGACGTGGAATCAAACGTTCCGGTCAAAGTTGAGGCCGATGACGAAGACCTACCATCAACTTTGAAACCTGCCTCAAGAGCCTTGAGCGATGGCTCTCGTGACGAAACCCCAACCCCCACGTACAAACACAGTTGGACGCTCGAACAGCGACTTACGCTGGCTATGCTCGCTGAGTCATACAGCAATAACTGGAACGAGAAAACTTCCGTCTTCAACCATTTTCACAGGTCTGACCTTCGACGTTGTGGAGGTCTTCGAAGGCCAGTCATCAGTACCCAATTTAATGATATGCAAAAAAAGGGATTCAATGCAGGCAATGGTTTCAAGAAATTACAGAGTACCCTGTCACCCTATGATAGAGCAAAGATGGTGTCCCGAGCTGGACTTGAAAAAAAGGCCCATGAAATCGGCATTCTCCTCCACGCAAAGGAGGCTAGTGATAGCTCCTTGATGTCCGACAAGGACAACGCTCAAGGGCACAAGAGAAAACGTACCGACTCAATTGACGATGCCAGGACCGACTTCTTTCCACATCTATCTGACAACGATTGTCAGACAGCCTCATATGCAAAGACAGTACATGGGCTCACCCTTCTTCCGAAGACACCCACGAAATCCAACGGCAGACAAAAAGGCAATGGCCTTCTGACCCCACCGGATTCAAGAGAGGCTAAAATGCCACGTCTCACCACCGAGAAGAGGTTGGCACAAATCGGCTTCCGCGCTTTTACTGGCCAATCGCAAGGCACGTACTCCTCGGTCTTGGGAATTCGTGGTGAGTTACTGGTTATCTTATCGAACGTAATCTACTTCATGAACTAAAGCATTCAGCCGGCGCTTTTCTCAATTGCCCAACCATTCCACTCGCTCGAAACCTGGAAGTCACACTTTACCGTGGGGAAGCACTGTAATGAGTCCCTTCCCATCTCAAAGTACACAACCTGACTCCAAAAATCTGAAGGCATCACATCACGAAGCACGATCATTCTCGACCCAGCAAGTTTGTCTCCGCGACCAAGAACCCGATGCGTGCATTGCATATGTATGTCTTCATTTCGGAGCGATTCCTTCCTGATCTGTACCCCAATATGCTGAGACACTTTTCGACGGTATTGTACTCATTGTTAAGCAGGGCCCTCAGAGGCGGTGAGGACGCCTCAATCGCAGTCATTGATCTTACCAAGGCAGATGAAAGAGGCAATGTCGAGAAGGCTCATAATTTGAAGCTCAAGACGGATTTCAGATACACAGGAGCGGGCGAATACCTCATATTCGGCGGGGTGGACAACGAAGTAGGCCTTCTGTCACTATCTGCAGAGTTAGCTAACAAGTACAAGGCCATAATATCACATATCCCACTATCTAGGCTTCTTGTCAATATGCCGACAACGCCCGGAAGCGATGATCCTTTCTTCTTAAAAGTGCTTCAAAGCCACGAAAGGCTGTCGCATGCTCGCCGCGCAATAAAAAGGAAGTTCTTCCGATGACATACTCTCTGGGTAGAGCTGTAGGAGAGTTGGTGGGGATTTTATGCATTCCCCCGAAATATTTTGAGAGCGGTGCGCACCAAGTTTCTTACCACGAATAAGCAATGCTGACTTTGAAAGTACATAGGTGTTTGGAGCATTACACAGGATTACAAGTTTTACAACGCCGAGGGTGGCAAAAAACGAGGGCAGTGGAACCAGAATGTAGCTTTCAAAAATGGTGCGGTACAAGGGTACTATGCTGTTCAATCCGGCACGCTTGGTGCACTGACGAGTCTCGACATCGAGAACAACATCAGCTCAGGCAGAGAGATCATTGAGATTTACGAGTCCGCATCGGATCAGACTACAGACTCAGAATCAAGTTCTAGCGACAAAGATGATCCAATACCGGCGGAGGTGGAAGACTGGGTTCGAGATACGCAGGCAAAGCAAACACCCCTACAGTATTTTTGATCTCGAGACAAACAAATGGACGACCCAAGAGGAAGACTTGAGCGATGACTTCTTTGCAGAGCTAAGGGACATCGCTGGCAATGTGGTCAACAATGGCTCGGAGATTGACGGTGATAATTTGGTGGAAAACGTCGCGGGCATCTCTCAGAGTGAACATCAACGTAGGGACATGGCTGGTGATCCAGGTTTTGGCCGGTTAGAAATGGACACCAACGCAGTGAACGAGAAGTCCATGGTCGTACCTGCGACCAATCATTCCGAGGAATTCAAGAATCTTAATGACCTAGTGGCGGATGTAATGCACATGCATGGGGACGAAGCCATCAGAGGACACAACAAGGTCATCGACTACGAGTTCTCCTGGACGGGGATGTAGTCGTATCCATCTTGACTGCAGAGCGAGTGTAATGGATGCGGAAGATTTTGTAAGAGCAGGACGACCCTCGTTAGTGGAGGAAGGAACTTCAGATGTACTACGAGATCAGAGGGAGGATGGCTTGCGATGGTTTGCATGCGATGAGTCGGTCTCTTTTGAGATCTCTTACCAGATAGTCCAGTGTGGGACAGCGAGAGTGGCCCTAAATAGAGCGAAGCATGCGTTCAAGACTTCGTTTCCTCGCGAGTGTTGCTTGAATTGATATGAACGTATCCAGGATTACTCCCTTTTGAGAGGGTTCGACTTGGGCAACAAGTCACGTAGGCACCAAACATGAGCGTTATTGGGATTGGCTTTCTTCCTTACTAGGCCTCGAACTAGAGCAAGACGCCTCGTACCAGATCGTTTGAACTACTATGCAAGCCTTCAACCCTTCATCGCCTCACCATCTAGAACTTTTGGAAACCTTTCACAGCCTTTCCAGTACGAGGTAACACCCGGAGAACATTGAATCGGACCTGCAGCACGAGCATCAGCACATATATTTAGACAGACTCTGCCATCACGGCCGCCAAGCGTATTTTCCTGCACATACCGTCTTGCTCAAAGGCCTGCATTGCCCAACCGTAACCTGATCGCCCTCCTCCACACGGAACGCTGGTGAGACATGCGCCGCAAGGTTCTTGTGTCGTTTTTCGTATCGAGTGTATTTAGGGACGAAGTGAAGGTATTCGCGGCGAATGACAAGAGTGCGGTGCATTTTAGTCGAGACGACAGTGCCAGTGAGGATACGGCCGCGGATGGAGACTTCGCCAGTGAAAGGGCATTTCTTGTCTAGAACATATAGTCAGACCATCTCGTTCAAGAGCTCCTAGCAGTAGCCTTGGGAGTCGTACCAATGTATGTGCCCTCGATCGCAGTCTTGGGTGTCCTGAAGCCCAAACCAACGTCCTTGTACCATCTTCGCCCACCCTTTCCAACTCTGGTACTCTTCGTTCGCTTTGTCTTTTGGTTAACGAAGATATGTGGTTGCTTTTGGAAAGCACGCTCCGATTGTACTGTCAATTCCGTCGCCATGATTGCGGTTTGCTCTGGTCGGGTTGCGGTGGTGGAGTTGAATTTGTGTGGGAAGCCAAGAGTTTCGCTAAAATCGCCGGGCTTTCGGGCCGACATTTTTCCCTTAACTTGGCTTGGCAAACATCATTGTTTACGATCGCCTCGAATTCGTCGCGCTAAATTCTCGTTCACAAACACAGCCAGCACTTGACATGCAGTGATCTACTAACAAGTAAAGTGGAACAGCATCTAAATTACGGTCAGTATGTCGGGTACCCAGAGTCCCAAGGCGCCACGAGTGCGCCAAGCCCGCAAATCAATCGCACACACGCCCTCCTCGGATATCACTGGGAACGAGGAGAATGCTACGGTGGACGCAGGAACGATTGCGAGCTTCAGCGCGGGGGGAAACAAGCAGCGAAGAAGAATCGCAGCAAAAGCATAGGTCCTGGTGGTCTCGACGCGCTCAAAGAGGGATCGGGCAACAAGCAGGAGGTGGGGTTACCCAGACAGTTCTTTGGGACATCAAAAGCTGATATATCGTAGCCTGCTCTACCACCTTATGTCAAGTCAATCCTGAAGCCAACCATAGCCTTGTCACCTCCGAAAGCAATCCCACCTCACAATCGAGCTCGTAATAGTTCACCTGGCAAAGCCAATGGGCGGCAAACGCCTGAGAAGTCTCCTCGAAAGTCGCCCGGGAAGAAACCAGCAGAAAATGCTACGCAAGGACTACCCAACCCTTTTGAAACCTCTCCAACGCCAGGGGCCTCCAAATCTCATTCTCCAGCTCGATCGCCGACGCGTGTTGCCGTTCGTACTGAGGAGGAACAGCAAGCAGCAGCGAAAGAGCGTGAGCGACGAGAATTGATCGCGAACAGGGATGCAAGGAGAAAGTCGCTTGGTAGGTAGATCCAGATCTGGGTAAAAGGCAGAACTGATATGAGTTCCAGCAAATCGAAGAGTGTCGTTCGCTCCAGAAGCTACTTTGCATACATGGAACGTTGTTGAACTACCGGAAGACTCCACCACATCGTCGGCGTCAACAAACTCGACTCGACGGGCATCTGCTCTGACCGCCAACGCAGGATCACCTTACACAGCTCCTAGGTCACCCATGCCATCCTCTGATGCCTCTGAGCCTCCATCAACTCCGCCAGAGCAGGTCGAGGAATTACAGGTGGCTGCGTCTCCTGCCCATCAACGCGACTTGCATCAGAAGAAACGCCGTAGAAGTTCTGGTATTCCCCCTATGAACTTCAACAATCCTGATGAATTCTCTTCAAGCCCTTACAGCGGTGCTTCCGATGATACAGGAACTCAGACTTTCGTGACTGCCGATGAAGAAAGTGACTCCTCAAGCTCTAATGACAACGATCTTGTCCAAGACGAGACCGTGACCGGAGTTGACGGGGATGACAATACGATTCACTCCGCTAGCGGCTCGAGTACGGAATCAAGTGGAAGGCTGGAAGCTGCTCTCCGACAAGCGGCGAATCAAGCTGGTACCCAAGGCATCGATTATGACGAACATGGCGATATTACGATGGAGATGGCTGACGATGAAGTCACTGCTGCTTTTAAGCCATGGATGAAGAATGGAAACTATGTACCCCAGGTAGTAGGTGACCCAAGCGCTCTGCAAGACCAGGAGAACTTGAATCCGTTTTCGCCGGCTTTCAAAGCCAATGTGGGTAGGAGAAACCCCGAGGAGGAAGATGGAACGATGGAGATGACGCAAGCTGTCGGACGCATTCTGCCGGCCTCTGTAGAGGCTCAGGTTTCACCGAAGCGTCGAAAACGAAAGTCTGTTACGGGCAACAACCGACGAAGAAGCAGCGCGGGCCGTCGAAGATCGTCAGGAGATGGCTCAGCCCTTGGTGATGAAACGATGGATCTTACCATAGCGATCGGTGGGATTGAGCAAAAACAGACGTCAAATCAAGGCGAGGACAGGTCTGATCAATCTGGTGACGAAGATGAAGAGCTGACGATGGAGTTTACATCTGTCATTGGGGGCATGGTTCAGCCTAACATTAAACATGCGAGCTCAACGGATGATGACCTTGTTAACCGTCAGCTGTTTCAAGACGCAAACCGTCGTGAGAGTATGGAGTCGTCAAACAATGAAGAGGACATGGACATTACCTTTGCAGCGGGTGGCATTCTTCCTTCCATCACGGAACGTACAGAGCCAATCGACGACCAGACACAGGGTATGGACATGGAGATTACCACTGTCATTGGAGCAATTTTGCCTGACCAGCTCAGTACCGGGAACAAGGCGGAGGCCAAGATTTTAATGGAGCAAGAGACTGATGTCGGCCAACTGTCTGGATCACCATTCTTCGGCACGCCACGACAAAAGCCTGTAGGCGTGGGCTTGTCTGACGAGCGCGCCTTACCAGCCCTTCGAGCTACTCTACCTAAGCCATTCACTACCGAAAACAAGCCCGAGCCAAAGGGCTCAACGGAGCAGGAGACTTATGTTGGCCAATCGTCAGAATCTCCTTTCATCGGGACACCACCACGACAAAAGCCTGTAGGCGTGGGCTTGTCTGACGAGCGCGCCTTACCAGCCCTTCGAGCTACTCTACCTAAGCCGTTCACTACCGAAAACAAGCCAAAGGGCTCAACGGAGCAGGAGACTTATGTTGGCCAATCGTCAGAATCTCCTTTCATCGGGACACCACGACAGAAGCCTATAGGTGTAGGCCTATCAGACGAGCGAGCTTTACCAGCTCATGCTAGGATAATGGCTTCCGAGACTGGCAGTCCCAGCTTAGCATCCTCTCAGACTCGCAGTCAACCCCAAAAAGCTACAGGTAGACAGTCCGTGACTCCAAAATCCCACCAACCTTCGCCCGTCAAGAAGCCCGACACTCCTACGAAACAGTCTACGCCGCAGATGATGCGCCCAACGACGCCTGGCAAGACACCGCCATCAAAGAACGTATCGATGAGAACTGCATCACCAAAGAAGCTTTTCAAAGCTGAGATCAAGGAGGCCAAGAACGCACCAGACTCCACTCCCAGGCGAGATGGTCCAAATCCGCTGTTTCGCAAGGACTTGGCCACTGGCGCTACTACTCCAAGCATTGTTTTAAAACCTCGAAGGCGGAGGTCATCTGGCCTTGGAGCTGATCGAGAAGGTCTTGGCTCTCCACGTGTGACTGCTTTGCTCGAAAGAAGAGGGTCTATTGGTGACAATGCCAAGGCTTTCGTTGCTCAGGGACACAGTCATGCTGGTGTTCGTTTCGAAGACCCTCAAGTTATGGAGCAGGAGCTCGACCAAGAGCGCGCAGAAGACAAGCGTCGAGAGAGCGGACGTGGCATCCTGGAGGCGGAAGCGGACACCCAGGATCTCGAGGAAAAAGACCACACTGCCAACCTCAAAGACTTGATCGAGCGACTCACACCACAGAAGAAGAAACTCAATGGCCGCAAAAGTCTGCACGTGGGCGCGGCAAAAGGTCTCCTTGGCAAAAGACCTGCAGAGCTTGATGATGAGGAGGATGAGGACGGTACTTCAAAGCGCCTAAAGGGACGAGAAGGCAGTCCAGTGAAGAAAGTGAAGCTTCCTGCACCGCCTCCAAAGACAGCCACCACTGGCAGGATGACTAGGTCATCAAGACTGAGCCTCGTAGAGACTGCGGGTAATGCTAGGGCCGGCACACCTTCAGGAAGTGTCTCTCCCTTGAAGACAGACACCACTCCCAAGGATCAGCCTCGCTTCAAGGATGTCGAATCACGCAGTCCAGCCAAGGTCCAATCTTTTGAGCAGAAGCTTGACGCAAGCACAACAGATAACGCAGAGCCAACAGAGCAAGAAGACCGCATCCATCTTCAGGACTTCTTGAACATGACTAGCATTCGTTTCATGGAACTGACTACGACAAAGAGAAGGCACACTGTCGTTCCAAACGCTCTGCTAGAGCAGAGTGCTAAGAAGGCCAGCCTCGGAGGCGACGACGCCGATGATGCCAATGCCGGTGATGAGCTCGAAAGCTGCGTTGTAGCTGGAGCCTGTACTGTCCCCATGCTCGAGCTTTACCAGCATGTAAGTCACCGCAGCGTTCTCCAGTTGATCTTCTACATGCTAATGTATGCCTTGTAGTCTTGCAGGGAGCTGAAGAATTACATCTCCGAAGGTCGCAGTATAGTCAAAGAAATCGAAGCCGACACCTACGAAGAGAATCCGCCCTTGTTCCGCGAATACATGTCGGCGCCTCCTGATGTCAAGCCCATTATGGACAACCAATTCAAGAATGTCAAGACGCATGCAAGACTTCTCAGTAAGGCTATGTGGTATGAGTGGCGCATGAAGTTACTCGATGGCCTCAAGGAGGGCTTGCTGAAGATTGGCGAGGGCATGGAAGAGGATGATAGGGTCCTGACCCAGCAGGAGCAGATAATCCAGCCAGTGCTGCCGGCCTTGATTGAAGAGCATGAACGATTGGAGGAGCAAGTGTCGATTGCTCAAGCGCAGGCGGCTGAGCTGGCCGACTGCGACCAAGATGAGCTCAAAGAAGCGAGAGACAGCTTGATGTCCATTGAACGCGATCTTGAAGCGAAGCAGAGGTTAGTCGAAGATCTGCAAAGCCAGCTGCGGGAGCGAGAAGATGGTCTCGCGGATGTCGTCGAGCGCAAGCAAGAATGCATATATGAAATCAAGGACGCAGAGAAGATTCGTTCAGATTGTCGAGGTTGGAGCTCTACAGGAATTTCAGCGTTGCATGGTAGGTTTCATTTCGAGCTTCCTGTCCACGACACGGTCACTTACTGTTCCTAGCAAATGTCACCGCTCTCGAAGATTCTCATGGGTGGACTATCGTCTCCGCTACCGATTCAGCCCTCACCATGACATACAACAGCACACTCCAGCTCTTCTTCACTCCCTCTTCCTTCGAATCAAACGAACCACCAGCCAACCCGGAGAATTCGCCTATCAGTCTTACATACATCGCCGACTCCCACGGATACCATCCGCAGCCTTTAATGACAGAGAAGCGCTTCTTTCTCCAGATCATGCGTGCACAATTACAATGCTTGCAGCAGTCTCAAACGAAAGTCAAAGACCTGCTAGCGTTTGTGAGTGGCAGCTGGGAGATCGCTTCGACCATCGCAGAACAGGCACGCGTTTTGGGCGTCAGCTACATCACGGAGCCTACAATCACGTCAGACGAGGTCATGGCCATCCGCTCGTTCATTCTCTTAAATACCATGAGGACAAAAGTCGAGGTAGTCTTCGAGGTCAGGGTACGCAGCGGAGATGGCGTTGCGTCTTTAGGCGTTGGCGTAAAGTCGAGCGCGAAGGTTCTCTATGGAGAGGGTTTAAAGGAGAAGAAGATGGGGGAGTTCCTGGAGTCGAAGATTGCTGGGAAGGGTAAAGGCGCAAAGGAAAGGGGTATTTGGGCGAAGGCCGTAAGGGAGTTAGAGGAGCGATTGGTGGCTCGGGGAAAGAAGCAGTAAGGATGAACAGTCGTCTAGTTCTGAAGTCTGGTTCTGCTAGCGATTTGATATAGTTCAATGCTTTTTTCAGACGTTGGTTTTCCCAGGATGTCGTGACCTTGTCTTCCCTGAGTCCACAGGTCTCTCGGCCGTGCCATGTATTTATCTTTTCAGAAAGCGGAGGATTCCATACTCTTGCGACAAAGACCATGCGGAATCATCAAGATGTGTAGATCGCCTTCTGGCCTGTGGGGTCGTGCAGCGTCATCCCCCGGTCACGGACTGCTGGAGTCCTCGGCCTTCCAGCAATGGCGAAATAATCCCCGGGAGCTTCATGTTTAAGCGGCATCTCAGGCGGTGGTGGAAGAGTTCTCAGCTCCGCGATATATGAAAATATCAACGATCGGTGCAATACAGATCAGAAGCCTTGAAGAAGGCCACCGATATGTTTGAGTTCCCTAATCCCACCAGAACTAGCACTGTTGTGCGCTTTGGATAGTAACTTCTATAACATACCTAATGATGCTATACCATCAAGATTAGCATCAGGTCTCTGCCGTGGAGAATAACTCTGGACTTGAGAACCCGCAAAGGACCAACGTGGCGAAAGACTCAACGAGGGTGGTAGTCACTGTCGCCTAGTGCTAATCTGACCGGAGGAGATAGTAAGGCGTCGTACAACGGGTTCCTTCACACAACGTGTTGGAGCCGAGTTGTCCATGCGCGAGATGGCGGGACTAGATGTAAGATTCTATACGTCTGGGCAAGACAAAAGCAAACTGGAAGGGATCGAGCCACCAGTTTGCATTGGGTTCAAGTAGGAAGTCTCAAAGACGGCGAACCAGTCTTCCTCTGCAGCTCACCCCTGTGCATGGCAGCCGGTGGACTCGTCTCGTAGCCATTGACCCTCAGGCTTTGCGCTCTGGTACTGGCACTCGAGTTGGAAGTAGCGGTGGACATCATACTGAGCCTCTGATTCGGTACAGGTACAGCCTTAGCCCTTTGCACTGGGAGAGCTGGATTCTCATCATAAGCGAGATACTTGGACAGCCTTGTAGGAGTGGAGATGCTTCTCGGGCTTTCCGCTTTCTCGGACTTGACCTGCCGTCCTCGTGAAGGACTCCGGCCGCTGAGTGGACTGTGCATCCGCAATGGGGTGTCGGAGCCCCAAAGATCTTCAGTAAGCAGAGCCCGCTCGTCCACAGGCGAGTCCGCAGCCGAATAGCTGTGTGCACGTATCATATTGTCTGGACGCCCGACGCTTTGCGTGTTAGCAGAACTCGATGCAATCCTCTCTTTCACTGGACCTCTTTTGCCCATGCTGGTCCTGAGACCTTCGAGCCACCACTCCCAGGCAGGTACTTCAATGCCATCGAAGAACACCACCACCGTATCCCCTTTGTCCTTGCCAGAGTAATGACTCCAATCCTTATCAGTCAACTTGTCTGTCCAGTCCAAGTCGCCTCCGAGCTCGCCCATCATATTCGCTTTCGCCTTCACGCTCATGTTGGCTTCTTTGTCCTTATCTTCCCACGCGTTGATGCTACAACTCGGAGATGTGTAAGTCCTAGTAATAATGCGTAGACCATGGCGTCGAAGCTGAGGACCGTGGGAGGAGGAGAGAAGAGCTTTGTTGGCACTGAGCCATGATTGGAAGAGAGTCTCGTCGTTGTATGAGGTTAGAGTGATGGGTTTCTGGGCGATGAGGACGGCACCAAAACTATCCTTTGATTTGTATTTGATGCGGGCATCAGCACCGACAGGGAGAGTGCTACTGAGAGAAGGAAAGTGGTCAGCGCATCGATTTATAGATGCATGGCAGGATTCCTAGCACTGCCGTGGTCCAATGTGTAAAGGAGGGTCAATCTCACGGCGTGTTTCCACTCGCATCTACAGTCCACTGCCTTACACCTTGGCTAGTTCGAGGCCTCCACTCAATGCCTAGCTGCTCCATCTTTCTCGGCGCACGCTTGAGTGGTTTGAATTCATGCCCTCTGCTGACGTTCAAGCCTCCACCAGTGGCATCAGCTTGCATGCTTCCGTCCGACTCTTGCCAAGTAATGTTGGCGATATGATTCCACCTTCCATCCTTCTCTAGGTAACCGACGCATGGCGGATTCATATCCCCTGCTGAGATTGGTTCTACGCACGTTTTGGGGTCAGCATTCCCTCTTAAAGGTAAATGGCTGAGTTGCAAGACAAGTCGCGTGAGCAGAGCAGGTCAATTGCTCCGTAAACATGTCTTGCGACTTAATTTCAGGACCAAATGAGAAGGATCTTCTACGAAATGTACGTACGGAAAAGTGCAACACCGCATCCAAAGTGCTGCATGTTCTTCGCGTACTGGACGCCCAGGGTGTCACCCCGTGGTGCCATTTTCGCGGCGACAGAGATGATGAGGACTGAGAATGTTGTATATGCTTCATGTTGGAAAGAGGTTCAGGGTTCTTGGATTGGGCGTTGGACTGTGGTACTGCTGGCCACGGCTGAGGCTGAACAAGGGTCATTCTGGGCCGTCAGCGGTCGGCCTGAGGCATAACCAGCACGCTTTGTCAAGGGACCCAATCAAGGTATGGGGAAGCGCACATGTTGTGTAATCAATTGCGGCGAGCAACATTGAAACCTACCACTTGGCACTCGCATACCAAAAGAGTCATTCAACCACTTTACCAGTCATGTTAAATCCAAGCCCTACATCTAGTCCCGATTAGTCGAAGCGCGTCGCGTCTGCAACCTCGGACTTTGCTCACAAGAGACTCGGTATTCATATTCCCGTACTTCCCATCGCCAAAATGGCAGAGGATGATGAGAACGCTCTATTGCAACCTCCTTCGTGAGTGTTATTCTACCTCAGTATCTATATTTCCATTGCTGACAGCACGAAAGGGAAGAGGAGTACCCTACTATTGAACGGCAACTCTCCTCCTACAACCCTCTTCAAACATTCCACCTAGCCAAAGGTGATCAAAAGCACTACCAACAGCAGTATGGCGATATGTATTTTTTGCGATTAGCGGAGCTGAAGCCCGCTGTGGAAGAGATTGCTGCGGAGGCATGGAGTGATATAGTGGTAGGTGTCCCCCACCAAATATCAGATACACAGTCTCTGAGATCGTGTCCATTTCAGATAGCGGGGGAAAGCGTCAGGCGCGTCGACCGGGTTCTGGATGTAAGACAGGGCGAGCTTTGCTGGGTTGCTGGAACAGTCTATATGGATATGCCATTGAAACCCAATATTCTAGACGACATATCCAAAGACGTACGTGCTCGTTGGCAGAGAATGCGCCTCCGTGTTCACACTTTTCTAGCATTGGATCTCAGCTCCTCCACCGCGCGAGAAATACGTATCTCCTACAGGCCAAGACCAAACCATGCTTGAAGATGAGTCAGGGCGGTTAAGGCTAATTGGAACGCCCTTGCAAATATCTATGCTGGTAACAGGTTGTATTATAGCAGTCATGGGAACGGAGAATGCAAATGGTGATTTCGAAGTTATGGACATGAAAGTACCGGATCTCCCTCGGCAACCACAGCGATGGGAACGCGATGACGGCTCAGCTATCTTGGCTAATGGCGGAGGGAAGTCGGAAAGGAAAGAGCAGAAAGAACGTAAAGCAGGGGGGAAGGTGGCCATAGTCAGCGGTCTGGGGATCAACGGCGAAGAAGGCGATACCTTGACTCTGGATCTCCTCATGGAATACCTTCTGGGCGAGGCATGTGGCCAATCGACTCAGCACGAGGTTGGAAAGATCTCACGACTCATCATAGCCGGCAACTCAATCAGTGAAGGCATGCCATTAGATTCTAGAGACGAGCTTACGGACAAAAAGTCAAGCAAGAAGTACGGCTACGACTCTTCCGCCTACAATCCCGCCCCGACCGTGCGTCTTGATGAGTTCTTGGCCAGTCTTCTACCCTCCATACCCATCACGCTTCTGCCCGGGGGAAGCGACCCAGCAAATATTTCGCTACCGCAGCAGCCAATACATCCCGCCATGTTTCCACATAGCAGAGCCTATACGCCAATGCCAGGATCGCAGGGGCCAGGATGGTTTGATAGCGTCACAAACCCGTGGGAAGGCGATGTGGATGGCTGGAGATTGATGGGAAATGGGGGCCAACCAATTGACGATGTGTTCAAGTACGTGGAGGGAGACGAGCGGTTGGAGATGATGGAAAACCTCCTAAGATGGAGATGTGGAGCTCCTACTGCGCCAGATACACTATGTAAGCTTCCACATAGTTCTTGAGACGCTGATGCTGATGGACGATAATTCAGGGTGCTACCCTTTTCAGGACAAGGACCAGTTCGTCATCGGAGAGTGTCCGCATGTCTATTTCGTGGGCAGCCAGCCAGCCTTCGAAACGGCCATCATTGATGGCCCAGTGGGACAGTCAGTACGACTGATCGCTGTGCCGAAATTCAAAGAGACGGGAGAAGTGGTTCTGCTCGATATGGATACTCTGGAAGTTGAGACTGTCAAGTTTGAAGTTTTCAACGAGACATGACGAAATTAATCCACCCTCACATCTTTATGATCATCGGCCTCTCCAGAGCCCGTTCTTGATGGACTAGCACCAGCAGCAAGCCTGAACACGGCAACAGTTTGACCCTCCACAAGCTCAGGCTTAAAGTTTCACATTCCCCTCCGCAGACTGACCTTCGCAAAAAGGAAACTAGAGATAGGAGGAGCCTATGCAGGACAATAAATAAAAACGAGAGGTCACAGAGGAGCGGAGAACCTGATAGTATGCCGATCAGAGATGTTGATGGCTGAAGGATCCCGGCGCCTGCCGCAAGAGAGGAGATTGGTGAAGGCGAAGAGCAGATCGAGATTCAATAATGTTGATGCATGTAATTGTCCCCTTCCCGCAAGGAAGACCTGTTGATCTATGCACGAAGACCCCCTCGATACCTTACTTGATTGCATGAGTCCATTGAATGCTATGATTGCTTCCACGTCGTGCCCTTCAAATGCTATCTCTTAGACTCACGCGGACCGAGTCCGCCGCAAGATCATATTCACGCACTTCTCCTCAAGCCTCTCATGCCACCCTCTTCCCCTTCTTGTTCTTCTTCGGCACGTCCGTCATCGTAAGGGCTATAAATATTCAAGCTAGTCAGCCCTCCGTACACATTTCCACAGTACTGTTGAGCGCCCCGTTCCTCCACTGCTCCACCTGTTCTTCTCACGCGGTGTTCACGTACCCGGGGGTAAACTCTGCTTCAACTTATCCGCCTTTTCCGAATCCTTCAACACCAATGTGTACAAGAAGCGGTGACATCGGACCTTGAACTTGATCTGGTGGGCGTTGCGCTTTATGTGTCCGGCTATAGTGGAACCAGAGTCAGCATGCCACCTCCCTCTATAGCAACATCGTGTGGGTGGGAGGGCCTTACATTTGGCATCCTTGCGTCGGCAGATCTCGATGAACTGCTTGATGTCTGAAACTTCACGAGGCATGATGGGCGAAGCGTGAGGGAGACGGGAACGGGCTGTAATTGTCGTTGGCGCGTCGTTGTCGTGGTCTTGGTTTTCGAGGTGGAATTTTGGTGGGGGCTTAAGCGAGGAGGGATCGCCCTTAGCGAAGCTTTACGCCACGTGGCTCAGCCGCCCGCGCGCTTTCAAGGCATCAAGCATCCGGACTGATATTTGGTCATAGTCGCATGTCACGCTTTTTACAATTTCTGCATTTTTATTTGCTTGAACGATCCTGCCAGACTCTACTGCACGTGCTCCACATCTGAGATTTCTGTCCGAACTGCTCAATAAGACAACAACAAGATGCCTACGCCACTCGACAGAGCGATGCAGTCGCGCAACGCATTTTTTGGTACGTCTCTGAAGAGGGAGAGTCACATCTTATCCAGATTAACACCACAATAGCGTTCGCTGGTATAGTTACCGCAGTATCAGCATGGTCAATTTGGGGCGGCGAGATGTTCCCCGGAGAGAAAGACCCAGTTGGAGGTCAGGATGCTAGGTAGACGTTACATGAGTCGCTGTCAACTGACACTATTGCTAGATCCATCAAAGTGGGCAGACTCAGAGCTCAAGCGGTGGTTGGAAGTGGTCAGAGCTTTCTTTCAGATTTAGTCTGTTTTTGCTATCTTTACTGTGCAAAAGCTGATTGTTGTTGGCTCGAAGAGGGGACTGCTTCCTGATAAGAAAGCCACCAGAGAGGACCTTCTGGAGCGAGTGAAGGCGAACATGAGGCCACAACCGCGGAGTTGAATCGGAAGTGGATTGCTGCTATGGCGTGCGTGTTGCCTGCCGTGGCCCCAGCGTTGGGAATCATTCCCTGTACTACTAGGCTCATTGATTCTGGCGGCGTTGAACGTTAGGCAGCGTCCTCGACCAAATTGCATTATGACACTCACTTGATGCTTTGGTCTAACCGCTGCCTTTGACCCATCCTTGGGCCTCTCCGGGCACATTTGCCCGCAAGTGTTCATTTGGGCTTCAAAAGGGCCGTTCGACTGTCCCAGCCCGCGCACGCTCTTGCTTCAACAATCATACTACTAGTCTAAAGTTCTGACTCTGAATCAACCATCCTTTGATACGCTTCCCTCGAGTATTTGTTGCCGCGGCCGGGTTCGGTATGAGCACAAAGTTCTCGCTAAATCCTCTGATAGCTGCAGCACGAGGTTCCCCGAACTTGACATGACCACTGACAGTCACCAGTATCGTCATATTCTTCCCAGACGCGGGCGAGCTGCCTTGAGTCCCTTCCGCAACGTAGTGCGGGTTCACTACCTGACAGTCGTAGTCCTGGATCTCGTAGCGGGCTTCTGGCATTTGTTCTTGGAACAGCGTCTGCATCGCTGTCGGGTCTGATATGATATTCCCGTTGTAGACGATTACGGGTAGTGGTTTCCCGTCGGGCATGGCGGATGCGGGCATATAGAATGAGGCTACGTCGGCTCGCGAGGAGCTGAGGGTGGGGTAATAAGTATCCACAAACATTCCGGCTGCTGAAAAGACATTCAGTCGATGCAATAAGGCATCGCGAAGGTCCGGAAATTCTGACAAACCTTCCGTCGAGATCTTTGTAGCTGTATCGGCAGTCAATGTCGCCATGGTTGCAGTAATCGAAGGAATTGTTTGTCTAGGATGACAGGATTTCGCAGCCGGTTTCGAAAAGAAATATCGTCTGCATTGAAGGGAAAGTCAAAGAGACAAAGCGAACCTTTGAACCCTGAAGAGATAAAAGTAGGACAAGCGCGTTTGGCGCCTAAGCGCGAATTTGAGGTCTTCGCGTTTTGGGGCGACAAAAGATCAGATTACTATGAAATCAAGGCTCACCAATGCTCTGGTAGCTAAACCATTCAGACAGTCTCGAGGATGGGTATGCAAGAAATGCTTTATCCAATCAAAAAGTCGTTGGCAGTCCTCCGCGCAAGGGAGTACTGCATTCGAAAACAAACCCTACTATATTACAAGCCCCATATTCTACGTTAATGCGGGTAAAGCTCCCCAAGCTCAGGGAAAAGATCACAAGAACACTGATATGTCCTGCAGAACCTCACATCGGTCACCTTTACACACTCGTCTTGACGGATATTCTGAAGAGATGGCATGTCTTGTTAGGCAGAAAATCTATACTCGTCACGGGAACAGACGAGCATGGAATGAAAGTATGCTGGAGGTCTCCTTGTAACTAGTAGGGCCATAGTTCATGCTGTGTCTAGGTCCAACAGGCAGCTGCAAAGGCAGGGAAAGAAGTGCGAGCGTTCTGCGACGAGGCCTACAAGCCATTCCAGGTCGGTCTACTCTGGGAGGCTGGTACTTTGTACATCAGTTGAAGTTCTGCAGGCCCTAGCGAAAGAAGCACATATAGACTATGATCATTTCATACGGACCTCCGAGCCTGATCATAGGTTTGCTGTACAACATTTTTGGGTCCGTGACGTTCCCAAGGATCGACATGCACCAGCTGACAATCACGAAGCTCCTGCTCAGAGAACGAGGTTGGATCTATGCCAAGAAACACGAGGGATGGTATTCGGTCAGCGATGAGACATTCTATCCACAGTCCGCCGTACAACTAGCTCTCGACCCGGCCACGGGACGAAAGTTCATGGTATGATCGTACCCTGCGACATGATTGATCATAGCTGAGCTCTTGCAGGCATCGAAAGAGACTAGGAAAGAAGTAGAATGGACCTCAGAAAATAACTACCATTTTCGCTTGTCGGCTTTCCAGACAAGGCTTCAAGAGCATTACTCAAAGAGTCATGACATGATCGTCCCGTGGACAAGGATGAAAGACGTTGAGGACGAAATCGGGAAAGGCCTCCAAGATCTTTCCATCTCTCGCCCGTCAGAAAGACTGAGTTGGGGTATCCCAGTGCCGGACGACGCGACTCAGACCATCTATGTCTGGCTTGACGCCTTGATAAATTATCTCACCAAGGCCAATTATCCTTTCCAGATCCCAGGTCAAGAGAACGCTGCTGGTTGGCCCGCAGACTGTCATGTGATAGGCAAGGACATAGTCCGATTTCATTGCATTTACTGGCCAGCCTTCCTCATGGCTCTCGACCTTCCTCTGCCCAAGCAAATTCTCACCCACGCGCATTGGACTCTCGGAAACGAGAAGATGTCTAAATCTACAGGTATGGTGGTCAATCCCTTTTTTGCCATCAATCGCTTCGGCGTTGACTGCATGCGCTACTATCTCGCCCTCAATGGTGGCATCAAGAACGATTCCAGCTACGACAATTCGTTCATTGTAGCACGCTATAAGAGAGGACTTCAAAGCGGCCTTGGCAATCTAGTCAGTCGCGTCACTCGAGGCAAAGGCTGGGATGTAAGGCGAGCGGTGAAGAATAGCGACAAGCATATCGAACGGCTCGATGAGCAGCTCAGTCTCAAGCTGAGCAAATTAAGAGATATGGTGTTCCGCTGCATGAGTGAGCCAGATCCTCGAGAAGGGCTGCACACGATAATGAAAGTAGTCCATGATGTATGTGCTTCGCCTTTGAGCCTCCTGTTTTAGAACTGATCCTTTCGCAGACGAATGCATACATGCAATCCAGCGCGCCGTGGAATCTTTGCGAGCCTGAAAAGCAAGAGCAACTAGACTGCGTCATCTACCTTTGCGCGGAATCGCTTCGGATCTGCGGTATTTTGCTTCAGCCCTACATGCCAGCGAAGATGAAGCAGCTCCTGGACATGCTAGGTGTGGCTGGAGATGCGCGGATGTGGGTAGATGCAGACCTAGGAAAAGACCAGGACTACGGAGAGCCGAAGGATGAGATTGGCAAGGAAACTGAGATGCTATTCCCGCCTTTGAATAGTCAGTTCTGAGAAGAATGTACAGTGTAGTTTCAGGCTCTGCGCCTTTGAATCCTTCCTTATGCATCTGGTCTCCCACCGTTTCAGCCATCAGGAAATTCCGTGAACAATTGGACGATGTGTTGGCAGAATCTCAGATCCCAATTATTTTTGTCCATTATTTAGTGACATAGACAGCACTCCCCAGACTCCAGAGACAAACGAAATCTATATCCAAGCATATACGATGGAGATGATCAGGATTTGGTGCAAGCATTGTCAAAAAACGCCAGAAAACGCCGAATTGACAGTTTATTGACCCATTATCCAACCCGATCTAAACCCTCCAATCTCAGGACCTCCTCGACGCATCCGTTCTCGCCAGCGATCTCTGGACCTCTTCCAGGATGGCTTTCGCAACGGGTGGCGGTACTGCATTGACCACTTGCTTCTTGGTAGCCGGCAACTTACCACAGAACTTGTAATCGGCAGGGAACCCTTGCAGGCAGGCCGCTTCCCTTACCGTGCACACGTACTTGCCGTTGTAGTGGTCCGGCCAGTTCTCACCGCTTGTGATCGTGTCATGACAAGGCCAATCTGGCGGGTGAGGTGGTGCCCAGTTCTCGATGGGGCGTACCCTCCTGGGATTTTGCTGAACATGATTTGGGGCGCTGTCTTCGAGGTCTTCGATAGCACCTGCAAAGGTGTTCCAAGGCTGGGAGCGCGATCCGTCGCAGTAAGCGCGGTGCGAATGTGTGGGTTCGGGGAATTCAGGGAGTGGTTCTCCTCGGCTGATGCCAGGTGAGCCATGTCAGTACGTGTCTTTCGCGCAAATTGGGCTAGGCTCTGGTATGACTTACCACGAAGCTATCATGAAAAGGCGTTTCCGCCTTTGAGGCAGGCCGAAATCCACGCATTGGATTATTCTCCAGCTGACGTTGTAGCCGATGGAGGTCAAGTCGTGCACCATTGTTGTGAAAAATTCCCGATGTTTGCTGAGAACTGCTCCCACTTGCTCGAAGGTCACGATCCTTGGCCCCACTTTTCCCACAATCTTGCCAACGTAAGTCATGCATTCGTTATCTCTTTCTCCATTCCTTGGAGAACCCCTACAAGCCAGAGTGAAACCTTGGCATGGTGGCGAAAGGTGAAGAATGTCTACTTTTGATGTTCCGTATGCATTTTCAGATTCGAGAAAACTCTCAGCTGACATTTTCTTACATGTTCCGTTACCATGATTCAGAGAGTACGTATTGATGGCGTCTCTGTCTTTGTCGAAAGCCCATTCGATACGGAGCCCGGCGTCTCTTGCCCCGATGGACATACCTCCAGCACCGCAGAATGCGTCTGCAAACGTGTAAGCTCGCAGTCCAATGTCTTGCTCCGATACTGATCGTTGAGCCGATGATATATTGAGCGCATGAGCCAAGCTCATGCCAAGATGATATGAATACTTGTGTATAGCAGGGTTGCGCGTGGCTTTCGCAATCCTGTTGCCGTTGGTGTTCGGGGCCAATATGTATCTACCTCCTGCATCTCTGCAACGTTCTTTACCGAGGTTCCTGCTTGTGGCACGCCCAAACTTTTTGGGTCGACGTCGACCGCCATCTGAGCTTTCTCTCAGCGGATCACTGTCAAGCTGGTGCTGAGAAGTGGAGCAATCAGCGGATGTGGTTCCTCCAAGAAAGGGCTCCTGGCTAGACAGCGCTATGAAGGCTTTCGGCTGCTTTCGGCTTCTATCCATAATTGATTTGAAGCTTCTTTCTGGTTGCTTAGCATCCGACTTTGAGAGCTGAGCCACTAATTTCCATTGACAAACTAGAGGCCTTGGATCTATGAACATTCCCATGACTCGAGTTTGGAGGAACGATTCGGAAGCAGACTCTGAGTTGGAGAGGTCTAGATGTCGGATGCGGAGCACATCTTTGCTGTTGCCGGACCTCAGGTACCCTTCTGGCGGGGAATCATGCTCTCCTGCTGCGCAAACCCAGACTAGTTCGCTGCCACCAAATCTCATAGGCAAGTAGTCCTCGAATTCTTCGATAGGTCTAAAGAGATGGCCCTTGAATACCACAGAAGGACTGTTCTCGGCTCTTCCGAATCCGAGCTCCGTGATCCTCAGGAAGCTGCCATCAAGAAGCTCCAAGGTTTCTCCTTTGCTGATGACAGTTCCCACCTCGAGGTCTGTGTTGGCTCCCAGATGATCGTCGTTTAAGGTGACAGATGCTTGGTGAATGTGGATGGTTTTGCGTGGTCGATGACGCTCATCGTCCGATTCATCTTCCTCAGATAGGCTTGGGTGATACTCCGAATCATCATCCTCAGATGTGGCTGGCTGGTGCTCCGGCCAGTCTTCCTCAGATGAGCTTGACTGGCAATCCGATCCGTCTTCATCAGACGAGTTTGGCTGATACTGCAGTCCATCCTCCACAGGCGGAAATCCTGGCATGGCTGCTGATAGCCACTGGATTGTGGATTCTGATATCACTTCCTAGGGGTCAGTTGTCAAGTGCTCTGAATGTTGCCTCGAGATCCCAGGGCTGTGATTGGTTGCTTTCTTTGACGTTGAGTTATAGGGTATAATTAGTCTGTCGCCGCAAAGCTATTCAACTCGGTCGTCGTCACAGACGATGACAGAAATGAGTACAAGAGCAATTGGGATCGATGAACCAGAGTGTATTAACACAGTGAGGCCTGGGAAAGGATGTACAAGTTTTACTTTGTCTCTGCTGAATGAAGAAGGACGACAATGTGCGAGCAGCACGGGGCTATATGAAGGAGGCCTGCTCCTGGGTAGGAGATATGTCCTTCCTTCGAGAAAGACATGTATGAGAAATATGAAGACGCAGAAGCACTGGATGAAAGGAACGGATACAATGGCAGAGACGAGACCGGTCTGTCTTGTGACTCCTGGGTGTTGAGGCTTCAAAGACATCCATATTGGAGGACTCATTCATGTATCGTCGTAGTTAGTAGACATCTGAGAATGAGAAAAGTGCTCGCAGAGCGACATGTCCCACTACAGAGCCAGGCCGTATCCAGAGCTGTCAGTTGGAGCGAGGTTAGTAACCACCGGCTGGGTTCACCGACTTTTTTTAGACTTAAGACTCAGCACCCGAGCGTTGAGACAGTGACCGAACCTGGAGCTTTCGAACAAAGGCCAGAGGTCATGCAAATCACATCCAAGCCTCGCGGCTGAAACACAGTCCTAGCCTCATAGCACTGGGAAAACCAGATAAATCAGTTCCTATTGTTGGTCGCAGATAAAGGGACTACCGATGAATGGTATTCAATTATAGAGTCAAGACAAGTTAGTTGGACTATTGATGGGGTTTAAAGCATCTTGAGAAACATGCGAGAGACATCCAACATCAGGGATGTGCCCAGTGCATTGGCTTTCCCGGTTTATTGGTGAGTTCACGATCCTACGAATCGTGTTCAATCAGGGAATCAAGCCCATTTTCATTGACGTTTACATCTTGAGCAGAATGAGACCTGCCAAATGCGTTAGCGGTTAATGCCATTCTTTGGGGCTGGAGCTGGGACTCGAAACTCATTCAGTCAGGCGGATGTTCAGAAATTTGAACCATATCTCAAGGCTGTTGACGCTCGGGACTCATGGGAATGGGCAGCTCCTATAGAGATTATGGTTATAACTCAGTGGCTCTACAATTCTACAATCCCATACTTTAGGGCCGTAATACTTCGGATAAGTGGACATTGGGCTGCACCAACCGCGCTTTTGTGATCGCTGTTGCTTTGCGACTCAAGGCTGATTCAGAGGTGTAAAATAATTTAAAGAAGGAGAGGGTGTTTTTTTTTTTTTTTTTTTATAAAAATTTTTTTTTTTTTTTTTTTTTTTTTTTTGTTTTGGTTCCCCCCCCTTTTTTTGAAAAAAAAAAAAAAAAAAAAAAAATAAAAATTAAATTTTTTTTTTTTTTTTTTTTTAAAAAAAAAAAAAATTTTTAAAAAAAAAAAAATTTTTTTTTTTTTTTTTTTTTTATAAAAATAATAATGGGTGGGGGGTGGGACACGGTTGGGAGAGGGGTTGGGCACCGGGGGGGGAAGGGAAAAAAAATTTAAAAAAAAAAAAAAAATTTTTTAAAAAAAAAAAAAAATAAATAAAAAAATTTAATTTTTTTTAAAAAAAAATATATTTATAAAAAAATTAATTTTTAAAAAAAAAAAATTTTGGGGGGTTAAAAAAGAAACCATCTTTCTTTAAAAATTTCTACCACTCACCAAATTTATGGAGCTGGAGGAAGCTATTGACACATAAGGTACCACGTTTTTATTACAAGGACGTAAAAACCGTACACTAATCATAATTACTACCGTAAAGACCAGATCCTCCGATTGACGTATTAAATTTGATACGCTTATAAAAAAATGCACCGTTTCAAAAAAGCACCACTAAAATATGACGTATTTGATCCTTCGAAATCATGGTGCATACAAAGCTACCGCCAAAAGGCGGTAAATCTAGTAATTTGGTTAAGGTAGACTGTTAGTGCAAAGTAACCCCCTAAGAGAGCTGGCAATGGATTATGGTGCGTAGGGCGCGCTTTCCGAAAAGAGTATAGCGTGGCATGCGGGGAGAATGTCTTTCGGTCCGCAACAGACAAGGGTGTATGGGGAGGTCAAGTTGATGCTTGTGGGCATTATGTTCTAAGAACTGTGTGCTGCCATGCAGTTGACTTCATATGGCCTCACTTTATCGCAACAATGGAAGACTTTTCTTGTACCGGTCCTGCTGGTTTACATCTTGCTTGTTCATCTCCTCCGAGATCGAAGGGCCAAAAGTCTAGAGAGGAGGTTCAGTCCTGCCGGCAGGGCATCCTTCTGCCGCATGACTACAGATGATGCTCAGGCGATATTGAAGGACTTAACTGAGTTGGAATTCCCTAAGTTCTTCGGATTCTCCATCATCTTTGCGCTTTTCAAGGTAAGAAGCCCAAATATTGTTTTGTGAAACAAAGCTCATAGATGAGGCCAACATTTGCTTACTGTGGAGCCACAGACATACGGAATACCAAGCGTGTCCTCCCTTCTCGTTGCTACTGGGCAGCTTGTAGATGTCGAAACGGCATCCAAACGAATAGCAGACACCGGAGTCCTGCTGTTAGAGTTCGCACTCAACGAGCCAACATCCGAGAGAGCCACCCAAGCAATAGCTCGCATGAACTACTTGCATGCAGGTTATCAAAAGGCTGGAAAGATCACGAACGATGATATGCTGTACACCTTAAGCTTGTTCGCTTTAGAGCCGGCGAGATGGGTTAGAAAGTACGAGTGGCGAAAGTTGACGGAGCTAGAACTTTGTGCTTGCGGAACCTACTGGAAGAGCATGGGCGATGCTATGGATATATCATACTCGATCCTGCCTTCGTCAATACCTGGGTGGAAGGACGGACTACAATGGTTGGACGAGGTGGAAGCATGGAGCTTAAGATATGAGGAGGCATACATGGTCCCTGCTGTTACTAATAAACAGCTAGCTGACTCTCATTTGGAGATTATTTGCATGAATGTTCCAGCTAGATTGCTAAACCCTTGCAAGAAATTGATCTCTGTAATCCTAGGGGAAAGACTACGGACGGCCATGATGTGGGTTTGACCCGTTAGCGAATCTCAGCATAGCTGATCCCATTGCAGGTATCCTGAGTCCCCTCAGGTGTATCACACCATAATTAATGGCGTACTGGGAGTCCGAAAGCTACTGCTCCGTTATCTCGCCCTTCCTCGCCCTGAAATGATGAGGAAGCACTACATTCCCTCGGGACCAGATCAATCCACTGGACGTTACAATGCTGTCGAGTATTTATCCTATCCGTGGTATGTTGAGCCAACTTTCTCAACGCGCTGGGGCCCAAGGTCCTGGATTACTCGCCTTGTGGGTCGCAAATTACCAGGCGATGATGGAAACAAATATCTTCCTGAGGGTTGGACTCATACTGAGATCGGGCCGAAAGCTTTGAGGGGCAAAGGTATCGAATACATGGAAGAGGATCGCAAACGACTAAATTCCCGAAAACGAGGTGGCTGCCCATTTGCGTTGGGCTAAGGACCGCAATCCTTGGGTGAGAAATATTACGAAGCAACTTTGCATCCGCTGGTCTTTGGATATACTATACTCAATGCTTGCTTGGACCCGCCTCCTTCTGATGGGTGTTGTCTGTTTGGGGTTACCACCCATTGGGAAAGCCGCCACCACGAGCATTCTTATGATCGACAAGATGCTACAACTGTTTAATGCTCTTGCCTGAGACAGTATGCGTTCCAGCATGATAGCAAATGGAGTCGCAAGCGCTTTATCCATTAAATTCAACTAAATACAGCACGACGAGAAAGCCCCTCGCCAATGAGTAGAATACCGAGTATGCAAGCGCGGACTCCTTTTGTGTGTGTCACGTTAGCGCTTGCGATCCACTTCAGGCTAGCGTCCTACGGGCTTCGTCCTATCACTGAACGCCCCACGTCTCCATCTGGAAATTCCACAGCTCAGCCTCATCAAAAGCAATTTTTTATTTCTGTCATCGACTTCAGGAAATGCTCCGCTGGTTATCAGAGGAGACATGCTTCAGACTACTTTATTGTCTTTTGTCGGCTCCATGTATAGGACACGCACAGTATGGCCAATCTGACTTATATACCCACACTTCTTGCATCTGTACAGAGCTACAATGCCTCGAAGAATGGCGACCGAGTCATGAAAGGCTGGGTGGATTCGCCGAACCAGCGTGGAACCATCGATATAATCTGGAGTTGCATCACAACTCTAGCCATATGCTGTTGGGTTATGTTGCACCTCAACGTTCCGGCCAAGAACGATAATCTCTGGACTTTGTTTCTTCGAAGGGCAAGGTGGCTCATGCTTGCACTCCTGTCACCCGAGCTGGTCATGCTTTTCGCGTGTGGGCAATGGGCTTCAGCCCAAAGGTCCGTTGCTGACATGCATTCCTTGGGCTACCAAAATTGGACAATGATACACGCATTCTACGCCGACATGGGAGGCTTTTTGCTCCATCCGCCAGACTGTAAATCGTTCCCTATCACTGCAAAGCAGGTCCATTACCTTGTCCAGCAACGCTATCTACCAGTGCCAAAAATCACAGGGAAAGAGATCTGGGACAAGAGCAAAGCAGACATGTTCGCGAAGACTGTCGCAGGCTTCCAGGCAGCCTGGCTTGTGGCGCAAGTCATAGCACGTGGGATCAAGCACCTCTCGGTCACACTCCTGGAATTGTCCACAGTAGCTCTGATTACCTGTACTGGAGCGGCGCTGTTTTTCTGGTTCAACAAACCCTTGAACGTCGAGACACCCACGAATCTTAAGCTCGAATTCAGCGTCGCTGAAATCCTTGTGCGGGCAGGAGACACGGCCGAAGCTCCATTCCATGACACACCCCTCGATTTCGTTGAAGGCAACCTATACACTTCGGGTCAAATGCCTTTTGCCAGCTGTTGGGGTGTTCAGGAACGTCCACTTCCACGAATCCCAAACGATCGCGACTCCAGATTGCACAGCTTGCGAATCATCCTCATCGTCGCTGTTCCAACTGCAAGTTTTTCCCTCCTCCACCTTATTGGATGGAACTTCGATTTCCCGACCAGAGAAGAACAGATGATGTGGCGATGGACCTGCATCTCTATGGGTATCATACTGGGAATAGGATGTTTTGCCGAGGCCATCAGTATCGTTTGGGACGGCTACACGACGTCGGCACTTACAAATCTTGGCGGGTATAAGCTACGGTGGCCTAGTAATCTCTTATTCTTTATACCAGGGTTTCTATATATGTCTGCGCGTCTCATTGTCATTGTCGAGATTGTGATAAGTCTCCGTCTGCTTCCACCTGGCTGCTTCGAGGTTGTACAGTGGTCGCAGCTTCTGCCACATTTTTAAACTTTACAAATTACTGTCAACCACGTATCCCTTCGATCGAGTGTAACGTTTGATTTGGGAATGAATCATAGGTTCGTTCAAGGCGAAGCAACCAGAAGGTAACAGATCTATGCCTGATTGGCGAATCCTGGACCAAACAAAGTCTATGCACCTGCCGAATACTCCAGTGACGGAAGCTGCTAGATGCCTCCTTCCACGCCGAGGCAATGCTGTTTTTCATGGTCCCTTTCATCATACTACATAATCCTGTTCTTACCTCTCGTAACCCCCTCCATTGCGCTCCTCTTTGAACCATCCTCCTCTGCCCTACTCTCCGGCCCATGCCCCTGTCCCAGTACCACGGTCGCTCTCTTCTCGAAAGCCTCAATCATCATTCCTGCCACCTTCGGCGCCGCAGCCTGACTCAACGCGCTATACACCGCACTCGCGAAGCGCACCTCCAGAACCAGATTGACCTCCGTCCTCGGCCTACTCGGCGCGCTCGCACTCCCTTCCTGCGGCGTCTTGCCGTCCGGCGGGGCAGGCTTGAACGGGAACTCCCTAAACGTCCACCGCGTCAACAACGACGTGAATATCGACCGGTTCCCCGCCGACTTCTCCGCATCGTCTTCGTGTCCCGGGTCCTCGTAGTAATGCGCCAACCGACCCTTCGGGATCGTCGGCTCCGCGTCTCCGGCCACGGCTTCCAGGACCGTGTGCGGTAGGCAGTAGACGGCGCTGCGGAACAGTTCGTCGTACGGACCGTAGCCGATGCGGAGGTCGGCGGTGCGGGGCCACTCCTTGCGGTGGGCGGCGTCCGGGGCGGAGAGGGAGGTGATGGTGCTCGAGGTGCAGTAGGGGATGAAGTCGGGGTAGGCGGCGATGTCGGCGATGAGCTCGTACAGGGGCGCGGCGTGGTAGGGGAGGATGCGGGAGGCGGTGAGGGTCTGCAGGGGCGTGAGCGGGTTGGAGACGAAGGGTCGGGATGGTCTCGAGGGGGGTTGGGGGTGTGTGGGGGTCGGGCGTGGTTTCGAGAGGGGGGATGCTGGGTGCGGGTGGAGGGCGGGAGAGGGGCGGAGGAGCAGAAGTCTGCGGGTGGCTTTCATGCTGGCGGGGTTGCTTGTGGGTGTCGCGAGGGGGTGGATCTCAGCGATTGGAGCGGTCAGTTTGTATGGAGTGACAGACGAGGCAAGCGATAACTCCGTGGACTCCCCACATACGCATCATGACGTTTCGATTGAGGAAATTCAATTGTTGCCAAGGGTTTACAAAAATCTCGCCTTGTAGGGCTGTGTACAAGGGAATCCTCCCTCCGCCAAAAAAGAAATAACGATTTGCGGAATTTGTTTGTTAAAACTTTGTTTAATCTCAAGTAAATGCTTTATCTTTGTTCTAGTTCAAGTTGTTCTCTTACATGTGTCTCCCTTTCCGTCAAGACGCTCCTCTAGTAAGTGGAGATTGGAATTCGGGTGTCCTTCACTTCCTTTACCACCTTCTCCTCTCCTGCCATCTCCTCCCCCATCATCAAGACCCTCACATCAACACCAGAACGTTTAGCAGCTCCCGTAGGCTTAACGAGACCCATGTCCCCCCTCTTCAAACTAAATCGCCAGCCCATCAATAGTATCGGCACAGAAGTTATCCATATTCATCGCGTCCTCTGATCTTAGAGTAGCATCTGCCTAGCCTGGCGGTATCTTAGATGCGTATCTCGTCCGCAGAAAGGGCTGTTTCGAGCACTTTCTCGGCTGCTTTTGTTTCCTCGTCGGCTGAGCCAGGGCCGTCGCTGGTGATACCCTTCATTTTTTCGAGGACAGCGTCACGCTTTTCAGCAGGTGCATGTGGGAATGCTTGGAAACAGAAGTCGACCGTCTTGGAGAGCTCGTCCTGGGTAAATTTGGTCCTCGCATCTGCTGTTCCTTGGACAGCTAGAAATCAAGGGTAACACAATCACGTCGAATCTTCTGTGAAGAGGGCATACTTGGTCTGAAAAACGCGAAGGCTCTGTTCAAATCCCATCTCATCCATGTCACTCAAAACAGGCTCGTCCTGTGCCTTTATTTGCTTCAGGGCGCTTGAAACAACAAGCAGGAACCGAGTTTATTGTTCGGCGACTTTCTTCGAATACCATTCCGCAGCGGCGCGTTCATTGAGGTCACCTTTCTTAGCCGCACAGATCGTCACGGCAGCTGAGAGATCACTCGCCAGCGCTGAATGAACCCGGGAAGAGAAGCATGGGTCAATGAAGCAACCTGCGTTGCCGACGATAGGCACAAACGGATTGGCATAGGTAGAGGCGCTCGCTATAGGACCAATCTCCTCCAGACTCCTCGATGTCTGAGACGAGTTCGGCACGGAATGGCTTTAAAGTATTTTATTTCAAGGTCGGCACTCAACGTCTTGCATCGCGCTAGTAGTGGCCCTAACCGTAAGGTAGCTCCCAGACGTCGGCCATGAGAAGCGGGACGGGTTTTGCTCGTTACGACTAGACCAAAAGGTGATCACTAGTAGTCCGTCACTATGGTAAACAGTAACTTATACTACCGTAGTTGTAGGCTTGAAAGCGTACGACCGCTTTCCCACACACATCTCCATGTAGGGATCTGGAGGATCTCTAAAGTACCTTGCTTTACCTTAGTACTAATAAGCCCTATAAATAGGGCTTCATTCAAACGCAAATCCTGCACATTGTCTAGGCACGCCAAACCCTTCATGCGAGGCGACATCTGTCAATATGACATCTTGCAGAAGTTTCAGTTGATGCACCCTTGCTATGCTAGTTGCATATGCAGGACTTCCGGCTTGACATCTCATCAATAAGAAAGATTTCGGCTTGAATTTACTTGTAATCGGACTCCTAGAGACATGCCCCCCACACTAACTCCAAAATGGCCTGGTTTGCACCCTGATTTCCTGCACATGATCACATGGTACATAGCCATCTGCACACTGTATGGACTATGGAGAATGGGAGTTGTGCAGCATGACAGCCCGACTTTAATGTAAATTGTGTGACTTTGCTGATTCACTGTCCTATGGGACGCGCTTACTGCATTACCTTACCTTACCTTATTAACCACTGTACTCTGTAATACTGCACTCAGTCTCTTAGGTACTGAGAAGCTCGGATGGAAACTCGCTTCTAGATTACACCGAAAACACCGAGGGACCCTGCATTAAAGTACCAGATTAACCTTAAAACTCCTAACCCCGACCGAAGACTCCGTCCGGCCGAGTCTGGAACCCGAATTCTCTCTTTAATCTCTGTAAACCTATAATACCCTCCAGCACGTTCTCAAGCATCTTCTTAAGAATCCTCCGAATACTGCATGCAGCTTTTCCCTTACAACAATGGCCGAAACCAACCCTCAACTTGCTCACACTGGTCATGATTCCCAAGTCTCTGTAGAAGGCTTGGAGAAAAACAGTGACCAGCAGTCGAAGGAACTTTCTGACGCCGAGCTTGAAGATGCAGAAAAGGCCGGCAAGCCAACACCGAATCCCTTGACGGATCCCAAATCTTTTCCGGAAGGGGGTGCAAAAGCATGGCTCACCGTCGCTGGCGCTTCTGCCTGTCTCTTCGTATCCTTTGGCTGGATCAATTGTGTCGGGGTCTTCCAGCAATACTATCAGACGCATCAGCTCAAAGAGTACACTACATCTGACGTCTCCTGGATCCCCGCCCTACAAAGTAGGTCATTCTCGTCATATCATCCAATCTTTCTGACATTGCTAGTTTTCTTCATGCTCTTTGGTGGTTCATTCGTTGGCAGAATCTACGATCAATACGGGCCCCGCTACCTTTTACTGGTCGGCACCTTTTTGCACGTCTTTGGCTTGATGATGACGAGCATTTCATCAAAATACTATCAACTCCTCCTCAGCCAAGCCATCTGCTCTCCTATCGGAGCATCCATGGTCTTCTATCCCGCGTTTACTTGTGTAAGTTCCCACTGTGATTGCTCGATTGGCCATTCGCTCAAATGTTTCTAGGCATCAACGTGGTTCTTTGAGAAGCGAGGCGCTGCTCTTGGCCTAGTCGTAGCTGGATCTTCGCTAGGCGGCGTCATTTTCCCCATTATGATTATCCATCTGATTCCAGAAGTTGGCTTTGGCTGGACGTTGCGTATCTGTGCTTTCCTGATATTGGCGCTGCTCACTTTCGCAAATCTGACCGTGCGCTCGAGAATTCCCCCAATGAAGCGCCCATTCAGCTTAATGGCTTTCATCCGTCCTCTGAAGGTGCCGAGTTTCTCGCTTTTGACCGCGGCAGTCTTCTTCTTCTACTGTGAGTCATTTGTTGCCTGATCTTCCTCACAGCAGCTAATCTTCCTAGGGGGCATGTTCGTACCCTTCACGTTCATCGTCGTGGAGGCGCAATCGCACGGCATGTCTCTGCGTCTTGCCAACTACCTCGTTCCGATTTTGAATGCCGCAAGGTTAGTGCTTTCCCGCATTAAGTTAGCACGCGCTACTAACTTATCTTGCCCAGTATAATTGGACGCACTGTTCCTAATGCTATTGCCGATAAGGTTGGTCGTTTCAATGTCATGGTCGTTATGAGCAGTTTCACGACCATCCTCATTCTTGCACTATGGCTGCCAGCAACCGGTAACGCCGCCATTATCGTCTTCGCCGCATTGTTCGGTATTGCTTCAGGTGCTGGTATTGGCCTCACTCCGGCACTCTGCGCACAAGTTTCGCCCATTCAAGAAATCGGCATTCGTACGGGCACCATCTTCACGATTGCAGCTTTTGCAGCATTGACCGGCTCACCAATTGGAGGTCAGATCATCGGTGATACCCATGATGGCTCATTCCGATACGCTAAAGTCTTTGGGGGTGTGAGCTGTGCCATCGCCACGGCCCTTTTCATCATAACGAGGATTAATCTTGCCGGGTTTAAGATGACAAAAATTTGAGCAGATTCCCTATCAAGAGATCCGTCAATCCACAGGGCGCATCCAAAGAAGCAGTTGACGGTATCCTAATATGGGTTGGGGTGGCTCGACCGCCCGGTGAGGACTTTACTGCGACTTCGCTATCGCTGTAGCCATGTCAATGCGTCGCTGCCTCTGTCTCTGCCCTTGTCCATCCTCTTCCCAGTTCGCTGGGGATAGGTGTGGATATCCGGCTTTCTTATTAGAGTTAATTTCGCCTGTCAGGTGTACCGATGCCTCCGCCACAACACCTGAATGTCTTGTGGATCTCGCCAAGTACAAAAACCGGCAACAGCCGGGTCGACGCTGGGCAGGGCAATAATACACTAATGGGATGTCGATGGCGTCCTTTACAGAGGAATGCTTACAAGCGCGGCGTCGATGGCTTACGATCTTTGATCAATTATAATTGTATGCCCGGCCATGCCCGGGATGGTTATCCCAGCCAAAAATGCTGCGTTGATATAGATATATGAAGGATGGCAAAGAGCAGGATAGGACTATCAACAAGTCTTAGCTAATCCTGTCAAGGTCGATTTGTATCACTTTAATGCGCTTTGAAACTAGCACATAACGCCTCGCTTTCGTTTTCTTAATGTCTCGATGGTCTCTGCTTCTATACCACCCGACTCCGCTCCGCTCATCGGGCTTGCGCTGGCATTCTTTTGTATCGTCTGTGAAGGTCGTCACGGAAGAATTAGGGCGTGAGAATTTCAGCAACTGTGCCCACTGTTTTCGTAACAAGGCAGCATGAAAGAAAAATATATAATAGTAGTAAATCGTCGAGACATCACACCGCTTCCACATGAATCATTGGATCGGTTTTCTCATCCCACTTCTCCGCGACCACGGCCTGCGCATGTCCATCGTTGCGTCTGTCCTGGATGATGCGATCGGTCTCTCGTCTCTTGGCGGTAGCGGGGCCCCTTTGACTGAAAAGAATGTCCATTTCCTCCAGCAACAGGCCCTTGGTTTCCGGGAAGAAGAGGTAGATGAAGACGATGCCGACGACGAGGGAGGTGCCGAAGAGCAGAAAGGTGCCGTAGGTGATGTTGGTCATCATGTAAGGGGTCGAGTAGACGATGATGAACTGGGCGAGCCACTGGGAACACGTGGTGAAGACTAGGCAGACGGAGCGGATGGCGGTGGGGAAGACTTCGGAGCTATGTGTTGTACGAAGGCAGTCAGCAGGGGGAAGCTTTTGGGGGAAGGGAGCGCTGTGGCCGGGTCGCCCCGCGAAGGATCGATCGTGCGAGAATGTGCATTTGTTGCTCACCAGAAGACCCAAGGCACGCCGTTCCACGACAGCGCGTAAAAGAAGGCAAAGAGATAGACCATGAGGATCGCCATGTAAGCACCGCCATCCTTCGGCACATGCTCGGATGTAAACGAATGTGACTGGGCGGTGTAGCCGCCCAGATAGTACATGGCGACGATGCCTCCACACGACCCGATCAGCATCGCTCGGCGTCGTCCCAGGCGGTCGATGAGAAAAAGCATGAGGATCAGGGTCGTGGTTGCTTTGACGAGGCCGAAGACGCCTGTGGCGAGCAGCGAGACGTCGGTTCCGCTGAAACCGATGGCCGCGAAGATAGCCGGCGAGTAGTAGTTCAGTGCATTGATGCCGGACATGTTCTGGAGCAGCATCAAGGCCATGCCGATAAGCAGACGTTGTCGGTTCCCGGGGAGGGTGAAGGCCTGCTGGACCTTGGCCCAAACGGATCGATTGGCTCCCAAGCTGTTCTCGGCCTCGATCTGACGCTGTGCGGTATTAATTTCCCAGGAAATATATTCATGGTCCAACGGGAGGTGTCTCAGTCTCGATAGGTTTCGTCGAGCTTGATCCGCTTTGCCTGCTTTGACGAGCCAGCGAGGGGACTCGGGTTGAAAAAACATCAGGATGACAAGAAGGCTAGCGGGGACGACTTGGAAGCTGAACGGGATCTGCCATTGCTTGTCGAGGGTCTTTGGGACGTGAAGGCTGACTCCATAGTTCATCCAGAAACCTAGACGAGGTTTAGATCAGATCCAGAAGTTCGATAATCTCTAGAAGGCTCTTACCAATGACTTGAGAAACTTGGAGGAAGCACTCGAAGAGGCCGACTAGGCGGCCTCTGATGGCAGGAGGTGAGGACTCGGAGATGTAAACCGGGATGATCAAGGAGGATGCACCGACAGCGAGTCCTATCAATCATACGTAAGTCCTCCAAGTTCAAGGTGAGTATGTTGCAAGTCCAAAATTGTTGACGGCATACCTGTGAGGACGCGTCCGGCATAGATCGCACCGACGTGACCGCTAGAGGCTAGCTGCGCGATGGCCCCCAAATTGAACAAAAGTCCGCACAAGAGCAGCGTTAGTCGTCGGCCAAATTTTTCCGTTACGGGATACACCAAGATGGCGCCGAAGAAGGCTCCAGCCTGGAAAGTGCTGACAATGTTGGCTTTCAGGTTGGCAAGTTTGGTCCCATGGGCAGATTCCAGGCCAAAGCGCTTTTGGAAGGAGGGTAGCGTCAATGCGCCGCCGATGAAGGCTGAATCGTATCCAAACATGGCGGCTCCCATCGACGAGGAACAGGCGAGGGCGTATATACGCCAGTTGTACACTTGGCGAGGCGCCTGATTGGCCGAGGCATCTTGCGAGTAGAATAAACCTTTCATAGTCACCAAAAGGTACGATCTGGGCCGGTTATGTGTCGAAACAGGGGGACACCGCAATCACGAAGGTGTGCTGGATGGAAGCCAACGTGTCCTGGCCGTCCAAAAGCCCCACCTCTGACGTCCTCGAGATCCCCGCCAATTTCCTCCCTGCAGGTGATATCATCGTGCAGGATCTGCAAGAGGCCGACTTGGGTTTCCACGAGGAGCCCGTGGTCCGCTTTGCGTACGAAAAATTTGTGCTTCAGCACGCACGGCGACACCTGTGAGCAGGCCTGGGACATTGTCGCCCAAGTTGACAGACCAAACTTTTGGCAGGTGCCTCGACACCTTCAACGCCGCGGGCGCGCGAATGGGCCGATCCCACTTCCGAAGACGACAAATGATTCCTGACGCAGACACGGTGCTGAAGCGGAGTTTGAAGGAGCTCAAGCGCACCATTGACCTGAAAAAGGTCTGTCTTTATGTCCAAGTCGTCGATGCTGAAAGACTGCGTGCGCCTTGGCCATCCGGTAAGGGTCGATGATGCCTTGGTCGCGGAATGCGCTGGTGTATGCGTTCGAGGAGCCAGGCTACTTGAATCATTGTTGTCTTTCAAGCCATTACCGAGCCGAGGCCTGGGTTATGAAGGTTGGATATCGGCCGAGTTGTTTTCGCGGACGATGAGCGATCCGCTACCGTCCGTGCCCCAAGAGCACGCTCGTGGAGAAAGAGAGTCGTGGGACAACGATGGGGTGGGGTGCAGTAGCCCTTGGAAAACCAAAGCATTGCGACGGCGTGGCCAGGTAGGTAGGGTTGCCGATGGCGTTCTCTTTTTGTCTGTGTTGTACCCTTGGATATATCAATCGAGTTCAAGTGATGCGAATCGAGTTGAACTTACTTATCGAGAATGTATGCTTGGATATACACAACGTATGTTAATTGCAGAAGGAAATGCTTAATGAGGACTCGAAGACATGACAAGGGAAGGAGAACGCCGGTGCTGCTAATAATTGTGTTCAGGTTTCTTGGTGTGTAGAACACAGAGACAAAACGGATGATGGAATTGGTTGCCATTATCCCTCTTCCTAGCCCTTACTTTCATCTGCACGACATATATTACAGCCCGTCGGTATTCTCATGCGTCACTTTCAATGCCTGCTTGATAACCTCTCTCGCCTCCGGCACAGGGAATTCATCACTTGGCTTCTCCATCCACAGTGATTGCTGGGCAATGCCTTGATAGATCATTGCCTCGGTCCCCGGCAGCACATTCCACCCATTTTGCCGTGCAAGTAAGTAGAATGCGGTGATCGGGTTTGGGTGATAGGCCATCTCCAGCACATGACCCTTCTCTGGTCTCCGCAGAAACGTCAACGCAACATCCCTCGCTAAAATCTCGCCCCTCTCCTTAGGCGGAAGATCCGGCACACATCCTACAACCAACATTGGCGTTTCAAGCTCCGCCGCCGCTTCTATCGTTTGCACATGCACCAAATCTCCCGCAAATCCAGGAACCGTCTCGAAGTGAGCGATGACCGCGTGGACCTCGGATTCTAAACGATTGACCAGATAAATACGGCTCGAGCCCATCCACCTCCATAATGAGTAGACCGCGGCGCGGCATGCACCACCTCCGCCAATGATCAAAGCAGGTCGGCCTTCGCTCTGTGCGCGTATGCCTGGAATGTTCTGTAGGAAGGCTTCTCGTACGCCGATGCAATCTGTGTTGGTTCCAATATAGCGAGTTGAGCCGTCCGCGCCACGACGCAGGAAGACGGTATTGATGGCGCCTATCGCGCGGGCTTCGTGGGTTAGGTCGTCAACATGTTGGACGAAGGTGACTTTGTGGGGCATGGTGATGGCGGATCCGATGCAGTCAGCGGCTTTAAGCTTAGACAAGAAGTCGGCGGCTGAAAGAGACTCGAAGAGCGTGTAGGTCCATGGCACAGAGAGCTCTTTAAACAGGGTGGATTGAACCAAGGGGGCTAAGGAGTGGGCGATTGGGTAGCCGAAGAGATATGTTTTGAAGGACTTGGAGGCGACGGATTGTGGGTTCAATGTTGAAAAACCATACCTGTAAGAATCGAGGAGAGTGTTTGGCTCGAGAGTGTTTGGCTCGACTGCTGCCATGGTTTGCTGCATTTTATGTCACTGCGTGTAGAGAATGTGATTCTGAATCCGGCCGCGCATAATCCCTACAACGGGTGTTATGGCTCAGTTCCTCCATCCTAGGAAAGGCTCGACAAGCTGTCTTTGGTTCCCAGCTCTCCTCCAAGCGTTGGTGGAGGGGGAGGTACAACATAACGTAGATCGTACGACATCGGACATAGTGCCGATTGCCGCCGTTTCGCAAGAATATTAGGCGCGGCTGCCTTTGGGCCGGTCCGCCGCGCAGCAGATTTCTCGCCTTAAATGTAAAGTATGTTGTAGGGCTCATGCCTGCACAGTATTAAAAATTTCGAGGTTCGCTCTCGCAAGATCAACACTCACTCGCCTCTCTAAAAGAGGAGATCTTAAGTACACCCCGGCCAGAAACAAGTGCATCCAGCAGTTTTAGCCTATGGCTTTGTGCATCAGCTTCTCGGGACATATCGAGGCTGCCTAATTCAGTGCACAGTTTGTAACATCTGATTAGGTTTCCCTAAAGTCTTGTCCTTTTCCTCTTGCTCTGATGCTCTCGTAAAGCAAAGGATACCGAGATCATTTTACACACAGCGCGGTGGAAGCAAAAAAGTCTGCGACGTAGAATCAGACAATGGCAGCCTCCAGTCAGGATCCTCCTCCGGATATCTCCTCGCTTTCAATGAACCCTACGATGGAATCATCAGTTCAAAGCATACCCTTACAAACTCCCACCGAGCTTCCTTCGCACCGCTCTCACAATCTGACCAACAATCTCAAACGCAGCGACCCTTTCAAATTCGGCTCCCGCTACCTCGAACCTACAGACGACGTCTTCGAGTTCAACGCCTGGGACCACGTAGTTCCTGACTCTGCCTACCATACCCACTGCGAAGCCCAGTACACTTTCCAACGTGCCTCTCCGGTCTCGGACTTCGACAAAGCCCGCTTCAATAACAATCCCGAGAAATGGTGGAACCAATTTTATTCAAACAACACATCTAATTTCTTCAAGGATCGGAAATGGCTCCATCAGGAGTTTCCTATCCTTTCAAAGCTGACTGCAAAAGATGCAGGACCGAGCACCATCCTGGAGGTGGGAGCTGGGGCGGGGAATACGGCGTTTCCGATTCTAAAAGCGAACGACAATGAGGAACTCATGATTCATGCTTGCGATTTCTCGAAGAAGGCCGTTGAGTTGATTAGAGCTAATGCAGCTTACGACCCTGAGCACATGCAAGCTTCTGTATGGGATATTTCGAGTGAGGACCTCCCACCTGGAGTCCGGGAAGGTAGTGTGGACGTGGTGTTGCTGGTTTTTATCTTCAGTGCGCTGAGTCCGAAACAGTGGGATGCAGCCGTGAGTAATGTATGGAGGGTACTGAAGCCTGGTGGAGAGGTTTGCTTTAGAGACTACGGGAAGGGAGATCTCACTCAGGTGAGGTTCAAGAAGGGGAGGTTGTTGGAGGATAATTTCTATATCAGGGGAGACGGGACGAGGGTGTATTTCTTCGAAGAACTTGAATTGAAGAGGATATGGGGAGGCACGGGAACCGTAAACCGAGAGATAGGAGCCAACGGCGAAGATGGATCAGTTAGCAGCGGTACGGCAAGAGACGAGCAGCCCAAGGATACAGATGAGGTCTGTACTGGTGACGAAGTGATTCCGGATAGGGCGCTCGGAGTGTTTGGAACCGAACATACCCCTTCACCAACCCCAAAGAGCACATTTGAGATTGTGAGTTTGGGTGTGGACAGAAGGATGCTTGTCAATCGCCAGAAGCAATTGAAGATGTACCGATGTTGGATGCAAGGCCAATTCAAGAAGCCATACGGTACTGCTCTAGATTGAGGATAGTCGGACTGCATTTTGATGGACGAAACGCGACTATGTACAATCATTCTCGCATGCTTCGCACAGCAAGGGGCGCATCCATCTCGTGACCCAAAGGTCAAAAGAGAATACGTCGAGGCAAAATATGTACAGGAAGATTGGTTATTTGCGACATCTTGTGCTGAACCCGCCAAGAAACTGCTTTAGGCTTCAATAGCTGACAAGACCTTGTACGAACGTCGCCGCTGCAGGAGTATCGACAACGTACTCAAGGTGATAAGTGTCGACAACAGGAAGATCGTCGCAGATGAAATCATCGTTGAAGCAGTAAGTCATGACTTTGCTTGAATCCACGTTCGGGAAGGGACGTCCTTTGAATGGATCTCCAAACACCACCTATTGCTGCAGGTCAATATCGGATCCCTAGTCATTAGCCAAAGTTCGACTTACCACAGCCGCAATTTGCGCCGCTACCTCCTCGCTCACCATAGCTTCTCCTAAATGAACCTCCATTGCCCCTTGGCTATACCCGCTCAATACGATTTGCGTATCCGGACAGTTGCTCGCTGCTTGGTTCAGCAGATCTGCAGTTGTTTGCGCTCCTCCAGGATCACCGCCAATCAGATAACCCGCAATGGTAGCAGCATAATCTACTCCTTGCACGGCGATGTTGTCTGCTCCGATTAAGTCGTCGAGATCGTTGAAGAAGGGCGGGCCAACCAATTCGCCAACGTTGCCAAGCTCGATCGTACCTCTCGCAAAAATGACGGTGATAGGTTTGCAACCAACGCCGGCGACACTAGTCAGCTCGTTGCGCTCAACGTCCCAGTCATCCTGACGTTTAGTAATGGTTGTGCTGGCGGTGCCCGTCTCCTCGAAGCGTCGGGCATGGGCCATGTTGATCGCGATGGCGCGGACGCTTGATGCCAGTATGGCCAAACAAAAGAAGAGGCGCTTCATGTTGGAAGAGCTTGCCTGCGGCGATTGCAGATGCTGGGTCTTGAGAAGATGTTGACGAAGGGATATCTGAGGGTTGGAAACCTTGACCATGCCGGACTCCTCTTATAAGATGAGAATCCAGGGGCACGCTTCTGGCAGCCCGTGCCTGGCCCCGCTTTTGCCATGGCGAGATCAATCAAAATCATTCGACCCAAGGGCGGAGACATCAAAAGCTTCACAGTATGCATCAACTGTGAAGCAGCAAAAAGTCACGGGCAACGTGACAGGCGAGGTCTCCAGCAATGGAAGGAGAGAATGAGCCGCCGAATAGGAGGAAAGTGGCCTAGGCTTGGAGCCGGCTTTGAGCCCATTCAGGGTTGGATGAAATGTTTAAACTGCGTCACAATTGAAGAGGCAATAGGATGGCTGGCATCGCAAGCGCGTGGAACTCGAGGCGCCCCCACCTTTCCAACTATAACTTTTAGGGGTATGCGGGGTCTGAGTGGCGCCAAGAGATCTGCAAATCGTGGTCGCGTGAACGTTAATCTCACCAGAGCGTCAAATCATCACAAAGTCGAGGGTATTCACCAAGAAAGTGGGGGAAGGGAGGCGAATGGCTATTGCCGATAAGTTCAGCGTGGCGACAAGGAGGTCTTTCGGCCGTTTTCAGAGGCAAGCAAAGCTCAAGCATTGGCGGAATTGAAATCAATTGATCTTCGACATATGAAATGCGCCGCACGGAGACAGAGTTGTCATGAGATTAAATGTCTTGCAAAAGCCGAGGCAGAGGCGTCAACGAATTGAAAATGAAGGAAATGCAGGGATGGAGAAGCTGGATATCTTTCCAGAAAGAGACAACGCCGACGGTGTCGGTTGACTGGTTATCGTGAGGACATCCGTGCAGCATACTTGGTCGGCTAGACCTACCAGTCGACATGCTTGGAGCTAGATCCGCAAATGGGCGGTAATGCGTTTAGCAAGATGTCAGTTTTTTTGTTTTTTTTTTGGGTTTAAGTGGGATTTATAATGATAATAGAACTTATGTAGGACGGAGGTGAATATGTCTTTGTAGTATTTTTATATGTTGTTATGTGGTATATTAGTGGTTTGTTTATTTCGTGTAGTTAATATTTTATATATTTTTATAGCAGTTACGCATTTTTTAGTTCACAGCATATTATTAGACTGATAGCACGAGCAGCTTATTTAGAATAAAAAATACAAAAGAAAAAGGCTTAAGAGATTGAAAAGGGAGATTTATTTATAAGTCGTAAACGTAATAGAGCTATTGCGAAGATAGAATAACGATTAGCTGCGATATATTAAATAATAATATAAAATAACCTTACAAAAGCTAAAAATATTAGAGATAGTTTAATCGCGGATAGTGAGGCTTTACTAACGCTATGTGTTTTTTTTATTTTTAATTTTTTTTAGCGCGAGCTCAGGAACAAATGCCAGTACTCTAAAGTATAAGGCGATTAGCGAATATTTTTTTTTTTTTTATTTTTTTTTTTTATATTTTTTAAAATTACAGACGCCGCTCTCTGCTTGTTTAATATTGACTGGACCGCAGAGAGCTTCTAAGTCTTCTTACTCGTACTAGGGTTTGGACAGTCCACTTTAGTATTGACGACTCAATGTTTGCAGTCGTAGCTATTGGAGAGCCTATAGGTAGATAGCTATCACGCATATTTCGCTTATCGCACCCTGACTGAAGGCCGTCGTCAACATCAGAACACCGACGACGCCCGAGCAGACTAAGATATGGACCCTGAGGAAGCTCGCCTAGATGCTTGGCGTGGGAGCTCTTCTCTAAGTACTCGTGTGGCCGAGAAGTCTATCATCTTGGCAGTCTAGCTTAGATAGATTAGCGCTATAGATCATAGGCATGATTCAGTGTCAAATTGCGGAGGAACGAGATAGTCTGATTGGTGGGTACTCCCGTGCCGGACTGCCAAGATGATAGACTTCTCGGCCACACGAGTAATTTAGGCTTTCAAATAAAAAAAGAATATTTAAATTTAATCTTATAAATATTTAAAGGTAAAGAATTTAAATATCGCTCTTTAAAGTTCGTTTAATAGCCCTAATCAAAAAATAGATATATATTTTTTTTTTAAATTATAGAACGTAATATAGGCTTTTAGATAAAAAAATAATTATTAAATTTAATCTTATAATTCTTTAAAGATATAGAATTCAAATATCGTTTATTAAAGATCGCTTATTAAATTTACTTAATAGCTCTAATTAAAAAAATAAGTATTAATTTAATTTATAAACCTTTACTCGTTTATTAATAATAAAATAAATTTATTATAACTTATATATATTACGATTATATCGCGACGTATATATATAATACGATATTCGATATAATTTAATTCCTCTAATATAAAAAGTATAATTACGCGAGATCGTCGTTTACTTTTGCAAGAAAAATTAACGCTAGACCCTCGAGTACAAACCGGCGCTTATAGAACGACGATTGAGAATTTCGCAGCGACTTACTCTGTACATATTCGCAGAAACAAGGCACAATTCCAGACTGCCACAAAATGAGCAATCAAAGACTACACAACAGCTCTAATAACACCTCAATAAATCATGGCAGCTACAACCGCATAGAGCAGCGGGGTACAGGTCTGGCATCATACATCCTTTACCGGGTACGGAATCAAGTCGGACAAGTTGGAGCGATGGGTCTAACATCATACATCTTTTAGGGGGAACGGAATCGAGTCGGACAATTTGGACGGAGGCACTATAGCTCTACCATTGGCAACGTGAACTCGACGTACCAACATGGCTATGACCATCAGTGTTCGACAACAGCGAGCAACACGTGGACCGCTCAATTCGGCTCTGGTGAGATATCGGACGTGCGCAGAGATAAGAGTGAAAATATTAAGGGCGAGCGTCCTTCATGTTTCAATTGGGAGTGGTTTAAGGACTGGATCAGAAAGAGCGGTCGGTTGGTAACACCCAGCAAGTGGCGCTTACAGAGCTTCATATGAGAGATGGTTGTGCGCTGTGCGTCTCTAGCAGGGAGAACAGGAGCAGGCTTCAAATTTATTATCTTTGCTCATAGTCCCTACCTTTGCAGCCATACGATCAGTGAGAAACGCAGAGCCCTGTAGTCTCTAGCGCATCGTACTTAAAAAGATCTGGTTCAGGAACACGTTTGATATCACGAAGAACGCAACGTAAGGAGAACTTATAGAAAAAAGAAGTCTATATGAGAGAGCTCCTATGATCCTTAAGAGCACGGATCAGAGGCACACGTACCCTTCAGCCAAGGTGCCGGTGCGTTTTATGACATTTGGCTGGACAAAGGCGAGTAACGAGAAAATAGTTGCAAGACAAAGCGTCTCCCTGCAATCTGGCCATAGCTGTACACCTAATTCATAGAGATAGCGAAGACGTTGATCTCCATATTAGATACATTATAACAGCAACAATAGCAAGGCAAACAGGAAGAAAACAAGATGACAGTAATATATTCCTCTGTTCATAGTTATTCGAGTCTTGGTCAACCTGGTTCTCGTCGCCCTCGTTCAAACTGAGGTTTCCGCGGCCCCTTTGCGAGACTTTATTCCGCTTTCCCCGATTTGTAGTATTATTGTTCAAGGGGGACTCGTGGCTTGTCTGGGTCCCCAATGCCCCTGCCTGGGTCCCCATTGCCCCTGCCTGGGATGCTTGGCGTGGGAGCTCTTCTTCGCCCGTAAGCATCTAGGCGTCTCCTTGATTAATGAGCTGGCCTCACCCTGTTACGCGTAGTACATACACGCGCCAACCTGACATGGCGAGTATGTCGCAACATCTTCAGACCCACAAAGCTTACTAAATGATAGCAGTACCCCTCGCTATTGCGGGGCCAGCAGTGCTGGCGGGTGCAGCTTGGCTCAACGCGAAGACCCAGTTCTCCTACGACTTGAGACTGATCAGAGCGCTCGTGAATGCGAACGTCCAGATCGCCCTAGGAGAGAAACGCGATCGTCTGAGCCTTTTCTACAGTCTCGAGCAACATGCGACGATCAAGAGCACAGCGGATCACGCGTTCCTTATGTATCAGGGAAAGACGTGGACGTATAAAGAAGCTTATGACATCGTGCTCAAATATGGAACATGGCTGAAAACCATACACGGGATAGTGCCAAGGGAGGTGGTTGCAATGGACTTCATGAACTCGCCCGTCTTCATCTTTCTATGGCTGGGACTCTGGAGTCTAGGGGCTACACCTGCGTTCATCAACTACAATTTAATTGGAGATCCTTTGCTACATTCTGTCAAGACATCCGCAGCACGGGTAATGTTTGTGGATCAGAAGATCAAGCCACGGTTCACGAAAGAGATCACTGACACGCTTGGATCAGTGAAGGCGCGGGATGGAAAAGGGCCTATACAGACAGTCTTCTTTGATACGACACTGGAAGAGCAGATCATGGGTACGGAGGCGGTTCGAGAGCCAGACTCATCGAGAAGCGCCGTGCGTCTTGACATGGCTATGCTCATCTTCACCAGCGGCACCACGGGTCTACCAAAACCGGCAACCGTTAGCTGGCAAAAAATCGGACTGTTGACGGGCTTCATGCCTTCTTGGTTCAGCTTAACGAAAAGCGATCGATATTATACCTGCATGCCGCTCTACCACTCCTCAGCCGCCCTCCTCGGACTCTGCACCTCATTGGTCGCCGGCAGCACACTGATCCTTGGCCATCGCTTCTCTACCGCGACCTTCTGGAACGAAGTTCGCGAGCACGATGCTACTGCTATTCAATACGTAGGCGAGACATGTCGCTATCTCCTCGCCGCCAAGCCGCAACATGATCCCGTCACAGGCGAGAACCTCGACCGCAAGAATAACGTCACCAAAGCGTTCGGAAATGGTCTCAGGCCAGACGTATGGGATAGGTTTAAGGAGCGCTTCGGCATCGATACCATTGGCGAGTTCTACGGATCTACAGAAGGTGTAAGCGCGACGTGGAATCTCAGCTCGAACAAGTTCTCTAGTGGGGCCATTGGTCGGAATGGCTCTTTGTCGTCGGCGATAGTGAAACACCAACTCGCCATCGTGGAGGTAGATTGGACGACAGAGCTTCCTCTCCGTGATTCCCTGAACCACGACTTCTGTCGACAAGTCAAGACGGGTGCATCGGGGGAATTGGTGTTCAAAGTTGACCCCGCAGACATTCATTCCAAGTTCCAAGGGTACTTCAACAATCCGTCCGCAACAGAGAGTAAGATCTTCCGTGACGTGTTTGTGAAAGGAGACGCATATTGTCGTTCTGGAGACGTTGTACGGTGGGATAGCGAAGGAAGATGGTGGTTCTGCGACCGCATCGGCGACACATTCCGCTGGAAATCCGAGAATGTCTCCACGGCCGAAGTTAGCTCCGTACTCGGTACACACCCGCATATCCACGAGGCCAATGTCTACGGGGTCGAAGTACCCAATCATGACGGGAAAGCGGGCTGTGCCGCGGTTCTATTCGATGCTGAAGATGTCAGTGAGGGGTTGTTGGATAGTGTGGCCAAGCATGCCCGGCGCAGCTTGCCCAAGTATGCGGTGCCGCCTTTTTTGAGGTTAGTCAACGGGCATCAAACGACGGGGAACAATAAGCAGTTAAAGGCCGTGCTGAGAGGCGAGGGAATATCGCCGGATAAGACTGGGGGGTGATAGGGTGTATTGGTTGAAGAGTGGGAGGTATGAGAGGTTCGGGAAGGGAGAGTGGGAGGAACTGAATCAGGGGAGGGTGAGGCTGTGATGGAATGGGGCTGGCGTTGGCAAGGAACTCACTCCTGAAGGCGTCACCAGTGTTATCTTGCACAAGATACCAACATTCACCGGTGATTCCTTGGTGTACTATCAGATCTCTTCGACCATTGACTTTATACTTGAATCTGTATACATCCAATTCTACACATCCTGGTCCTGGAGGCATGACCCAAAACTACTCGCACGTCTGGATCTACCTTTCTACCTCACATGCCTCGACGACACCTTTCTCGGGAAATTCCTCTTACTGTCAATGCTCCTTTTCATCTCATAGCTTCTCACGCTCTCATGGTTCCTTAGGCTCTTGAGGCTCCTTTTGCCCATGGGCATGGAAAAGTTCCCGCTACTCTTGCCCACGACATCAATCAGCTCCGTCGAGGGCACGATGTACGGCTGAACTTTATTACGGGTCTGCGTTCTTTGTTCGTACGCATATGCATACCCAATGAGGCTGGCTTCGCTCCATGCTGCGCCGATGAAGCTGAGTCCGAATCTGTTTTGCTGCCGTCAACTAGTGGGAGACCTAATGCGGTAGCTTCTGAACAGCACTCACGGAATGTTGGGCCCCGTCTCAATCAACGTCCCTCTCATATTCCGCACCACGGTCTCGTTCGCAGGATAGAACCCCAGTGGTACCGTTACGACCGGCGTCCCAATCATGGCCGGCAGCCCGGGCGAGAAATCCGTTGGCAGAATCAACGCGTCAAGGCTGTAGTTCGCCAGCAAGCCGAGGATACCTTGGGGACCAGCTACTTCTAGATTGTTCTGATAGGCGGCCCAGAACAGGGGACTGGTGTTGTTGAAACCGAGTGCTAACGATTCTACGCAGATTTCCGTGTTAGCATTGTTTGGCCGAAGTAGGTAATGGAGTTGCAAGACAGGTCTCTTGAGTAGAAAGGTTCTCTTGCTCCCGAACCGTGTCTTGCGACTCGACTTCATTACCAAATAGGAAGGATTAGCTCCGAAATGTACGTACGATCCCATACTGCGGTGTCGCGGTCAGGGTAATCTTCTTGTGCGAAGTGGTGGGTGAAGTTTTCTACATCGGCGAGGTCGTGCACGTTTTGCGGGTTGTAGGTTAGCATTGAGAGATACTCGCCCGGGAGATCAGAGACGAAGTCGGCGTCAAGGACGATGTTTTCGTTCGAGCCGTTGTTGTACTGGGCGAGTGCGTACGCCGTAATATTGGTGTTGTCGACGATTGTTGCGCCTGCTTTTTTGATGGTCTCGACAGCAGCGTTAAAGGCGACTATGACCGTGTCATCTGGCTCTTCGGTTGGGTCAATCACATTGCGTGGAATACCGATACGCTTTCCGCGTAGGCTGGAGAAGTTGCAGGCGGCGACGTAATCAGGAGGTGTGTCCCATGGTTGAGCCAACGTGTAGTTGTCGTGCGGATCCTTGCCGGCAATGGCTTGAAGGACATAAGCTGCGTCCTTGACGGTCCTTGCTATTGGACCTACGGTGTCTTGGCGTTGACTGATGGGGATGACCAGGGATCGGGAGGTAAGTCCTACGGTGGGCTTGATACCTACGAGATTGCTAACCTCACTGGGGCTCAGAATGCTGCCGTCGGTTTCTGATCCGAGAGCTGCGAATGCAAGACCGATCGCTGAAGAGACGGCGCTGCCGCTGGAACTTCCACTAGGATCTTGGCCTGGGTAATAGACTCCGTAGCATTGACCGCCATAAGCACTCCACCCATTCGTGCTGTTGTCAGATCTGAAATTCGCCCATTGACTCAAGTTCGCTTTTCCTAGGATAACGACGCCTGCAGCTCTCAGTTTGGAAGCTAGTGTCGAATCTCTTGGCACTTTCGCTCCATATAAAGCAAAGGAGCCTGCGGTGTTGTTCATCTTATCGTTCGTTGCAATGTTGTTTTTAATAATGATCGGTACCCCGTGCAGGGGTCCTCTGGTAGTGCCATTTGCTCGCTCTGCATCCAATCCTGCAGCAATGCTAACAGCGTCCGGGTTAACCTCGGTGACGCAATTGAGGGTTCCGTTGACCTCATTGATCCTTGCAATGTATGCCTGCACGCTGTCAGTTGCGACATAATTTCAATGTTCAAACCAGGTGCATGCATTGACGAGATCAACGCTTGTAAATTCACCAGCCTCAAGCCCAGTCTCGAGCTCTTCTAAGGTGACCTCTATCAATGCTGGGAACCCTCCTAATGCTGAAGAGAAAGAAGATTTTAGTTTGAGTTGTGTAAATATAAGGGGAGACGAGACGCCTCACAAGTCGAATTGGGACATGTCTGTCCGTACACCAGAGTCAACAACAAACAGCAGAGCAAAGATGTGAGAGAGAAGCGTAGAGACATCCTGCTATTCTTCCAGACAGAGCAAGATATTTTAGGGTTAAGGAGACAGAAACGCGAGCATACTGAGAGACCGGCACGGGGTTATGTATATATTTTCCCTTGTAGATAACGAGAATCGAGCAATGCAGGTATTCGCACTGGAGCTTCTCCACCCTTTCCGTCTTTGGAAGTTCAGAAGCCGGTGAGAACGTCATCACAGCATTTACCGCTGAAGAAGGGAGGACTTCAGAGTCGAGGTGATTACTTGCTAGTGGTAAGATAAGGCTGTGGAGTCCCAGGATATTTCCCAAAGAGGAAGCTCGATGACTTACGCTTAATTATACCCCGCATCACGTGGGGCGTTAACGTATGCTTAGTCAGCTCAGCACTCCAATTTTAATTTTACTTCATCTGACAGCATCACCTTTTGTCACGCGTCTCCTCAAGTCATCCATCATGGCAGGGAACTCTTTCGCTGACGGTGGACTTCGGTGTAGCTTTGTGGATCCGTACGCCGTCGATCTCCGCTTAGAATGGAATCCCCACCCTCGGGACAGGGGAGAAGCTATACAGGAGCGTTGGTGGGACTGGATGGATAGAAGAGAGAGTGACACAGTATCGGAAAGCGTCCAGCGGTACAAGAGGGAGCATGCCCTCGAATCTGCCAAAAAATGCGCTGAACGATATGCGCGACCTGGCGAACTACCACGGCGGCAGAGTCATATTGGACGCTGAAGACCCTGGGGAACATGCCTCCGGCCATTCATTTTGGTGGGCCAGAGCAGAATATTACAGATTGGAGCATGAGAAGCTCCAGGAGGATGATTATCATCGGGCCAGTAGGTCAGTGACACCAGGAGTGGCCTACCCAGGTGTGCCTTGGTATACCGAACTCGATCGCGCCAAGTGTGAAGCAGGAAATGTAGCTCGAATGCTAGCCGATTTCCCTGCTGGCAAGGCTTTATTAGAGGCTGAAGATCACGGGAATTTGACCAAGGACGGCGACTACTGGTGGAGCCTAGAGAATTTTCAGAAACCTCCACCTGAGGTTGAGGATCACGGATCCTGCATACTGGCGGAACAAAGAGAAACTTTACAGTGCCCAACTCAAGGTCGAGTTGCAGAGGACGAAACTCGAACGCGCCAAACGCTCCGCAGACTCGAGAGCCCGAGACTTGGCCACTTTCCCTGCCGGCAAGGCCTTGTTAGATGCTGAAGACCACGGGGACTGTGTGGTGGACCCTGGATATTGGTGGAACAAGAAGAAGTATTATGAGGCTGAATACGATAAGCTTCAGGAAGAGTTTTGGGAGCGATGGAAACGTACACATCTAGACGGCGGAGAGACTCCTCTTGAGTCTCTAGAATGCGGAGAATCGCCTCCTGAGGCTCTAAATGCCTCCAGACCAAAGACAAGAGCACGGAAGTCGTCAGCGCCCAGAGAGCGTCCCAGCGCCAGAGTCACTAGGAGTACCACACAGCGAGGGAAAGAGACAGACCGACCACTGTTGGGGTCCACCGCGAGCAGTCCAAATTCGGATGCGGGTACCAAGAAGACAAAGGATGCACGCTCTATCGAGCGCCGCCAAAGCAAGAACAAATACCGACGGCAGAATGCACACGTGGCAGAGAGAAAGCCACCGCCACCGTCCCCGTCCCAAGCCTGCTCTGTTGACCAGAGACCATACAATGGCTACGCGACCCCCAGATCCGACGAATCAAGAACACGACGGTCAACGATCAAGGAGCTGTGCAAGGGCTCAACACAACAAAGACGTCACAAGGTTACAGACAAAATTTCGGACGGGGAACAGAAGAAGAAGTCGTATTCGCAATCGCAAAATCCTTACGTGACTCCGAGCTCCCCAGATTTCTCCACAGTAAGAGCACGACAACGTCGTAAACGCAAGGATATCGCACGGCAGAAACGTCGCCTGGATTGGGATAGTACTTACCTCGAGTCCAGGGCAGTATCACAGCCAACCTCTTCGCGTTTACGCAGCAGCACGGGTATTCACGGAAAGAGGAAACTCTGACATTGGCTAATGAGAGAGGCACGCGACGCCGTCGCCGTCGTCAAAAGTTTGCAACTGGTTTCTAGGATGCTTTTCGTATGATGTTGGCTTGGACGAAGAGGTTCCAGAGATAGACCATGGTGGCTCGATTCGATAACGAGATGGTAAATGCAGAGTAGCTGGGGTGCGAACATTGGTGTCTCAGTAACCGGGCGTTTTTGTCCTGTGTATACATGTCACCCGCAAAGCTGGGGTATTCAGCCTGGGTGCACAGCCAGGCTTCTTATCCTCCAGGTTTTAGTTTGCAGGCTTGTCGCGACACTCTGGTGTCAACTTCCAACATGGACGAATCCTGTGCAAGCATCTCAAACTGGAGCAGGAGCTGAAATCGCTGATAGACTACGGGTTGGAAGTTCAGCGTGACGACTGCAGCAAGACCGCGGAACAGGTTTATGACTATATCACGGAGGTTTGGCGCCGCCCTACATTTGAACATCAACGTATTGACGCATGCTAGTTAGAGATTTCCTACCTTTTTCACGATCGACGTGCTTCCTCAGCCGGTCACGGTCCAAAAGCTCGATTTGAGACTCAATGTGAATCACACTTGTCAAGCGACCAATCAGCTGAAAGACAAAATCCTCAGAATTAGGGAAGAGTATAGGGGGGGTAATAATATCGTATTAGATGCCGAGCAGTACCACCAGAGTATATGTGTGGACCTCTGGATTGCGGTAGAATTATGTCGGAGGTACGGTCTAGCTGAGTTAGAGGAGAAACTACGTAACTTGAAAGGTGTCCCGCAGGAGCCAGTAAAGAAACCGGAGCTTTCAGAGCCAGTAAAAGAGCCAGAGCTTTCAGAATTCATCGAAATCAAGGATTTTCCCAGCCCTATCATGGTTCGAATGTCAGACTTTAGAATCAACGTCTCCCACATCGCCAAACTTACTGGCCGTTTAAGAGCGGCACTAGCGAACTTCAGAAATAGGTTGAGTTCTGAGGCTTACGAGGATTTGCGGGGAAATAGGAAGCGTTAGGGTACGTATTTGGATTTCGATGTTGGAATAGAGCAGTGTCGAGAATACGGACTACCTGAGCTGGAGAAGCGACTCTATAGCTTGAAACATACTTCGGAAGGACCGCTATTAGAAGCAGGAGCCAGGTGATATTCGACCCCGATCCTCGGAATTGAATATAATCTCGGCGCGGAATGAGAGCAGTCAGTCCAGGCGCATCTGGAACCGAGAGGATAACGTTATATCTCGCGAACCTTGTCCGATACAACGAGACCCTTAATTGGTGCCATTAATCCGTTGTGTAAAAGGACGCGATACAAGTCACCTCTACCGGAGGCCAAAGAGGGTAAGGTTCCCTTACAAATCCCCCGGAATACAAACCCTACTAACATATATATTCGCACAGAGTGCCAATGTTCAACATCTACTGCGCCTCCAATGGACCTCCCCCCCAGCGCCACCCAGCCTACGATAACATGAGCGCCGAAGAAGCAATGGCGTTGCGGAATGGGAGCTAAGCTGGGGTTCCAGTCAAGGGCGTAAAGGCAAAATATCAGTTGGCGGTTATGAAGGAGTCGCCGTTGAGGGTGATTGTGGGGGCAGAGGTGTATAAGGCGATTATGGCAAAGATCGAGGCGTATAAGGAGAGTGATAGGAGGTTTGCGAGGCTGGATAATAGTACTGATGTTGAGGGTGTAAGGCTTTTTGAGATGGCTGGGTTTTATGTGTTTGAGTAGCTATACTGAGGTAATGCGGGTAGTATATATAAGCATTGTATGTACATAGCGAGATAGAGTAGATCTATCCTGCGTTCTCCTGATGTTTAGCCTGTTACACACGCTCTTTGATACCAAGGGAGCCAATATATTTCCCCTGCTCACAAGCTCTAGATCGAGCACGCCATGAATGACTTGGCCCGGATAATAGGTCGGCGCTGTTCCCCTGATCGTCAACCGGTACGAAGACTGGAGTGTGGCTGACCCATACTGATCGGACGCGGTGTCTCTGGACTTGAATGGCTGGTTCTCGTGGGCTCTAACTCGTACAGGTACTTTCGAGAGTAGATCTCAAGAGATGCGGAATGTGAGAGACGTGTAGCTTGAGGTGGCCGTGGAGAGGGTAATTAGCGCCTCATCGGTTCGTAGATAATGCAAGCTATAATATCAGTAAACAAACGACAAGACGGGGGAGTGCTACTGAGGCTGAAGTTTGCTAAGATCGCTGCGCCGGCATCTCCAATGGTCTGTCCACCTAGCGCGGAAAGATAGTTTGAATAAGGCTGAAGGATCACCCGGAGTTAACAGTAAAGAGTCTCCCACATACAGAATTTTATGATAAAAGACCCGGTGATATCGCAAAAATATCATTCGTTAGAGCTGACGAGTCGACCACAGCAAGCTAATCGAAGTCGTCGGTGTGGTACCACTCAATCCTCATAGTATCCAAGAAACATCTACCCTGCTATTGCTATGAGACAGCCGTCAGGCTTCTGGATGGGCAATGGATGGCGTCAGTGCCGCAGCAAGTGTTGTTGCTCTTGTTGAGACATCTTTGAAGGTCGTATCTCTTTGCGCGGAGTACTATTCCCATGTCAAAAATGCCAAAAAGGATGCCGATCGATTGTGTCTGGAAGTTAGGGCCTGAAAGCACCACGGACGTCGACGGAAGATGCCAGGATATTGTGCGGCCAACTGCTCGGAGGGGTGATCTTCAGCGCTTTCAGCGACCAAGCTCGGGCAGGAATATGGACTAGATTACAGATGTTGGATAGTCTCGTCCCTTCCATCTTCACCTTCTTCAAGGACGTCCACTATTTGGAGGCGTTGGCAGGCTGCATGACTCGGTCAACCAGGCTTTTGCCTAGGGACACTGTATCCACAGCGCTCGCAGGAGCCTTTTCCGATACAACCGAAAGAACGGATAGAGCTGTCCTCCCAAATTGCAGAGTCCAGCTTTACGTCCTACCCGGCGCAGTCGGTCGATCCAGTGGACTTGGGTCTTCGACAGCTATATGCCTACGCCATGCGCCATTACTCTCAAATGCCCAAAAGTCCCAAACCCTCCAGGCTCCAGCCCACCGATCCGTATCAAAGCCGTCTTCCAATTGCAAGATAGTCGCGAAGAAATCTATACTGGGATCATGTTCGAATACCTGCCCGCGAAAATCGCAACAAAAACAGCTGTGATAGCTACCACGATATCGGATGCTTCACCGGTGATTGTGTCCAACTACAACGGTGTTAGTGTCCGGCAGGCCGATTGCGGTAAGCTGACTTGAAGGACACTGTAGCTCGGCCCTGACACTGTGTAGGCTACCGGTATCTTCTTCCGGTGAAGGTTGCTGACGAGCCTTACGTGTGGGAAGCGTATGTTCATCCAGCCCAGCTTCAGTTCGCGACTAACGCATGCTGTTAGGGGAAGGGCAACTTCGGCGGCGCTAATGTAGCATCTTTCTATGACACACAGTGCACCCGCACTGATGTGTCGTAGGCCTTTTCAACCGCTTCAGATATCCACTTTAGGTACCTTTCAGGACGGAGGTTTAAAGCACAACAATCCGGTTAGGGTTCGCACTCTGGAATTACCCATGCTTCCTACAGCCAGGTTATAAACTAACGACAAGATCGAGCGTGGAACTACTCTGTATCATCTTCCTGTCACTGCCCCCTTTATGTACTCTAGCCATCTATTCAGGAGAGGTTGTCTTTTGGCCCTCATCCTCTAGCTGCTGACGCGCCTTGAGCAAACACCCCGCCTCACCATCCAAGTGCACCTGCCATTTCTTCTGCCGAGCCATTTTGCATATCAATCGCCACGCCTCCTGGGTGAGCATAGCTTCACTAACCTCATTCCCAAAGATAAGATGCAACTTCTTCAGCCCCGTGGCCCTGTTCGTAATGCGCGGATTCCAGCGCGCAAGGTGGAGAGTATGGCAACGCACTGCAGGCGGCGTCATATGGAGGTCATGAGAAAGTGGTGACGATGCTGCTCGACAACGGAGCTGATGTCAGCGCGCAAGGTGGAGAGTTTCCTGTCCCTTGCCGATTGCATTTTCGTTGTGATAGGGCCCCTCTTACGCTGGAGAGATTGTCTTTGCTCAGTGTCTGAGTACACCAGTTTCACGATGGAGCCTTGCAGTCGTACCGTATCTCCCTTGCACGGAATTGTCTCATCGTGGAGCCACAATTTGTGTGCTGTCCGCCCATCGGAGATTTTCACCCTTCCCGAGACATCATCTTATGCAACCAACCGTATTATTTCCGACAAGCTCCGTTCTGATTGGAAGACTCGTAAGGTCGTCGGAACACATGCGAAGGGCTGTGCAAGGTCTTTGGCAGAGGAGTGGAAGGTTGTGGCCAGCGTAGTGGAATGGTTGATGCCTGGGAACTGTACGAGTGCTGCTTAACATGTGATACATACAGCAACTCATGAAGTCTCGTACATGGAATCTTGAATGGTTGCGGTGCGGACGTCTACACTGCTCACGATGGTCGACGCACGAATTTCAATCCCGGAGCTTACCGATGTGTGATTTTGGTATTTCTTGGCGGATCACGTGGAGTTTTGGTAACCAGAAGTGACAGATTACGTAAGATATTGCCAGCTTAAATATCTGGATCAAGCTAATCTCAACAGCTCTTTGATGCTTGATTTTGATGTCAAGCTGGATTTAGGGGAGCAAGATCGGTGTCTGTCCAAGCTTTCGTATGCGGACGGGGCCAACTTCGATTCATATGAGCGGCAAAATGAGCCTTACTGTCTTTCAGACACCCGTATTGCTATTCTTTGCCAGATCATGAAATGGAGTGCCGACCCAAGGAGCATCCATCTACGCTGACGAGCATGAACAATCTCCCGATTGGTGGGCGGGATTTGAAGAAGAGTGATTGTTTTTGCAGTGCTCATTATCCATCAGAATAGCTCAGCTGAAAACTGGGAAACTGAAGTGCCGACCACCCCGGCCGATACCTTAGCAATGGGGAGGCCAAGTTTCAATTCGAGCGGCACATTGCTGAAATGAGTCTCGCGTGCAAGCTTTCTGGGACTCAGCTGCGAAGATATCGTTAGATGTGCGACACAAGCCCTGCGAAAGTCACAGATGGCCAACCTCCCATATTGCCAATCAGTAATGCAACGCTCGCTGATTCGAGTGATTTAAAGGCACGGACGTCCGCTCTGATGGGAAATTTCACCAGCTTGCAACAAAGACGTATAAGGAGCGCGCGTCTCTCATAAGTCAAGGGTCTAAACAGAACGCAACGATTGTTTCAAACGCCACTCCGACTACGAAATATATTCACTCGTCAGTGCTTTACCACCTAACATATTTCCCACCTTGCGCCTTGACATCAGCCCCTTTATCGAGCAGTATCTGTACCACTTTGTCATAACCTCCTGATGACGCTGCCTGCAGAGCGTTGCCATAGTCTCCACCTTGAGCGTTGACATCAGCTCCGTTGTCGAGCAGCATCGTCACCACTTTCTCATGACCTCCATATGACGCCGCCTGCAGAGCGTTGCCATAGTCTCCACCTTGAGCGTTGACATCAGCCCCTTTCTCAAGCAGTATCTGTACCACTTTGTCATAACCTCCTGATGACGCTGCCTGCAGAGCGTTGCCATAGCAATCCACCTTGAGCGTTGACATCAGCCCCTTTGTCGAGCAACATCTGTACCACTTTGATCATAACCTCCTGATGACGCTGCCTCGCAGAGCGGTGCCATACTCTCCACCTTGCGCCTTGATATCAGCCCCTTTATCGAGCAGCATCTGCACTCATTTGATCATGACCTCCTAATAACGCTGCCTGCAGAGCGCTGCCATAGTCTTCACCTTGCGCCTTGACATCAGCCCCTTTATCGAGCAGCATCTGCACCACTTTCTTATGACCTCCTTCTGACGCTGCGTAGAGAGCGTTGCTAAAGCTCTTCACCCTGAGCGCTGACATCAGCCCCTTTATTCGAGGAACATCTGCACTACTTTCTTATGACCTCCTTCTGACGCTGCGTAGAGAGCGTTGCCAAAGCTTTCACCCTGAGCTGACATCAGCCTCTTTATCCAGGAGCATCTGCACCACTTTCTCATAACCTCCTTCGTGACGCTGCGTAGAGAGCGTTGCCAAAATCACCCTGAGCGTTGACAATCAGCCTCTTTATTCAGCAGCATCTGCACCACTTTCTCATGACCTTCTTGTGACGCTGCGTAGAGAGCATTGCCATAATATTCACCCTGAATATTAATATCAACCTCTTTGTCTTAAGGAGCATCTGCACCACTTTCTCATAACCTCCTCGTGACGCTACGCAGCAGAGAGCGTTACCATAATATCCATTCTGAGCGTCAAAATCAGCCTCTTTGTCCAGCAGCATCTGCACCACTTTCTCATAACCTCTTTGTGACGCTGCACATAGAGCGTTATCATAAAGTCCACCTTGAGTGTTGATATTGATATCAGCCCCTTTGTCCAGCAGCATCTGCACCACTTTCTCATGACCTCCTTCTGACGCTGCGCAGAGAGCGTTGGCAAAGCCTTCACCCTGAGCCCCGATATCAGCCCCTTTATTTAAGAAAGTTTCAGCGACGTCTTTCAGTCCAAGCAGAGACGCTATTCCCAGGCTATTCCACTGCGCAGGATATTAGGTAAGCCTCACCACAGTATGTGTCGAACCAGTCACTTCTTTGCGGTAGTGATATATCGCATAGTTTTGCAGCGCCACATGAATCTTTGACTCGTTCGCTATCCTGTGAAACATAATGAATAGCCCAGTTGAGAGCCGCATATTTGAAGAGTTCATCCCTTTGTTGGAGAGGATTGTCTGGATCCAGCTGGTCCACAGGTATAGCGAATTCATGTAAGTTAAGGTAGTCGAGGCAGATCTGGAACATTGTGCAATGGGCCGTTGTCATATCTAAGTATCCTTGCCACTTGTTTGAAGGCAATTCGGTGTTTCGAATAAGGAGGAACTCTCTTGCAGTCTGATGAATCAAGGATACCTTTCCATCGTGAACGCTAACGAAGAGACCGCATATA